CGAAATTGAGAAATTTATTTTAAACAAATTTTTAATAAAATTTGAATTCAAGATAATGTAATGAAAAATTTGAAGATTTAAATTTAAAAATAATTTTAATTAATTATTAGGTAATAAGTACAGTGGGCACACTATATATTAAAACTTTACTCTACAAATTCGTTAATCTTCATGGTGAATTTATCAATTATACTATGGTATAATAATTTATTTCTCCAATTTCTGTAATACGTTATGTTTAGTATATAATATAAAATTGTTTACTGATTAATTTGGCGATACTTTAATTTTATTCTTTAATTAAATAATTAAATAAGGCTAAAAAAACCCTTCTGAATTTACTGTTCTAAATTGAGAAATTTAGAATGAATTTTAAAATTGCAATAATTGCAATATTATTAATATAATGAAATGCTTATTTTTAATACCTGATTACTGATAATTTTGATTTCAGAAAAATTCATTTTGAGTTTTCTTAATTTCTTGCAGATCAATTATTTTTGATGTATACGAGTATAAATAGCATTCAAATATTATGTATATAAAGTTTGACACACAATTAGTTTATTCTTAATATGATATACTCGTACATGCATAACAATAAAAAAAGAAAACAATATTCGTATAAAAAAGTTACTTTTTCCTCTTTTTTTTTTGAAATTTTCTGTGAAATATTTTAATTAGTTTTGTTTTCAACCTTGAATCATGGTAATTACTCTATATGTTCTGATTTATTTTGAATTGTATAAATAATAATATAATTCAAATATGGTATATAGGTATATATCTTATAATTGAATGAACTAGTTTAATTGATTTTCCTTATAATATTATAATGAAAATTGTTAATTGAAAATTAATTAAATGAAATAATTGAACTGTTAGTGAACTAGAAAATTTGAACTTAAATTTACAAGATCATGATTGAAAATAAATATATATGTGTACATATATATATACCATATATAATTAATGGTTTTTTAATTACACGTATTATTATCATATCATAATCAATTTAAATAATTATATTAACAAAAATTATCAATTTTTTTTAAATTTTTTTTTATATTACAAGAGTATAAAGGTATACATTAAGGTTATTTGTAAGATAGAATTTTTTTGTAATTATTCAATATTGGCTATTATTGCATTACTATTCAATTATTGATAAATGATTATTATTACACAATTATTATTGCATATAATAGGGATTACAATAACAATTTGATATTAGACTATCAAAAAACGATTTGATTCGAAAAAAATTAAAAACAAGATCGAGTTTACAAGATATTTTCATTTAAAAAATAATGTAACATGAGCGCTGATCACCATTTTCGATTTTCTTTTTGTCTTCAAAATCTATTTATTTTGCATTATTTAATAATCTCACATATCAAAATAGGAAATAATCACCTTTAGAACTATATACAACATATAGGATAATTGAATGAAAAATACTATATTAAGCTTCTTATATGAACTCTTTTAATAATATTTTCAGTCCATTTTTTTTTTATTTCAATTGATGTGATAATTGCCATTGTTACCTGTAAATAATAATATAATTTGATATTCAACAACAGTTTGACAATGAATTTTTTAACAAGTGTGCTTGCTGTTATACATTTACTGTTATACGCGTATTAATTTTCCTCGTATAGAATAATATAGAATTTTTTTTGTGTGATGATTTAGTCTAAATCAGGCTAAATATAATAAATAAGATTATACATATGAATAAATACCATTTAGCGTGATTTTTAAATGGCATTGCCATACTATAAAATACAGTATTATGTGCTTACATATTTTGTAAATTGCATATTAAGCATGTACGAAAATTAAATCAAAATTATATAATTATGTTTCCTTAAAAAAATATTTTTTTTAAACATCATACACGCATATTCTATATATTCATAAACAAAAATTATAATTATATTATGCTTAACGTAATGTATACATACATAAAGAAGCATATTGATTGAAAATATTATCTATACTTTTAATTTTTTCAACACTATACTCTTATTAATTAAATAAATAAATTATTTGCATGCAAAATTCAAAAATTTTCATAATTTAAAATTTATCTATTAGATTAGCATTTTAGCATAAATATTTGTGTTATGTATATGATATGTACATATGTATATAAAAGTGTTAGGTATGTTATTGGAATTCGTTTTTAATAAAAGAGAATGAAAGAAAAGAATGTTTGCAAAAAAAAAAAATTATTTACGGAAGAAGGAATTAAAAAAATATTTATAAAAAATTAAAAATTAAATGTCTATATGAGGTTACCAAATAAAAATATAACAATACAAAAAATAAGGTAAAAATCATTAAAATTCTACGATAAATAAATGCATTTAAATTCTAAAACAGTTAAAATACAAAAATAAATGCGTTTAGATTTGCTTTTTATTTGCCACTAAATATTGTTTAGATTTATATTTGAAAAAAAGGTGGGAAAATTTTTGTTTACAAGACATAAACACATATACGAATCACACATTTTATGGGCATTAAAATATTTTATTCTAAATATGGAATATATTAATGAATTTACAATATTTGTATGTATAAAAATGTACAGCCGTCAAAACATAAGTAAAACAAAATTTTTTAATTGCATTTGAAATAAAATTAAATACGTGCTTTAGAAATAATTAGGAATACATTATGTATTTTTTTAACACAATATAATTATACTCTTCATTGTAACATAGAACATTGTAAGGCGGCATCTAAAGTTTACTACTATGAAATGATTCAAATACTCTAAAACAGTTGATTATAGACTTAAATGCCATTATAAAGGGTGTTTTACCTAACGAAAATCAGTTCAATTGCATTTTACTACTTTTCAAATATTTTATATTAGAAATAACTAGTTATTTAAGTTTTTAGGTTTTACGCTTTCAAAAGTTATCTAAGTTCTTGGTGAAAATTGCCAATCCGAACTGCATAATAAAGCACAGCCTAATAATACAAGTTGTTTATTTTACAGCCTAATAAGCCAAGTTGTCGTCAATTCCCCTATTATATTATTCAATAGATATTCTGTAAATCATTACATGTTGCAAAAATTATTAATATGAAAAATATAATTAGTTAATAAACTTAATATAGATTTAAAACAGTTAAACAAAAGTTTTGTATAGACCCCATCCAAAAAATGCTTCATTTTTAGGTACATATGTACATTATATTTGCTTCAATAATCCACTACTGCCAGATATTCTTTACTTGCTTTCATATTGACAGTTATTTCAAGACAATTTCCTTAACCTTATATGTATGTTTGAATTTTAAAACTAGTTTCCTAAATTAAAAAAATTTATAGAAAATTACCTTCATAAGCAATCGTTATTAATTATCATTATTTTTATATTAAATAATATCTTAACCATATATTACATATAATTACATTAATTAATTTCTATACATACATATATAGAAATTGAGAAATGAAATTTTTGTTAAAATTTTAAAACACGTAAAATTTTAAATTTTTTTATTTGCAATTAAAATGATGACATACTAACAAATTAAATTTGCAAAATTTCTAAGAAAAAGGAAACAATATAATTATATTGTACATACATATATAATATTGATTCAGTTAGTTTAATTTAATTAATAATATTAAAAAAAAAATTAAATCAATAGAAATGCAAACATAATAAAAAAAAAAATGTAAATAAATAAATTTAAGCCATGTCACAATATTTTAAGTTCAATAAATTATTTGTTTTTATTTTAAAAAATTTTATTTAGTTCATATTTTCTCGACAGGTTTAATACAGTCATATTCATATATATATATATACGTATGTACGTATATATATGTACACATATTTTTTTTCTTCTTTTGTATAATTTTTTGACTTTATACCAACTAATTAAATATTTTGAGTATATGTGCTGATTATTTATACAAGTTTGATCTAAATATTTTAAAGGATATTAAAAATTTGAAAAAAATAAATATGTATTTTTATTATCGTTTATAACACCCTTAAAAAAAATTATACATACATATATAAAACATTTCTAAATGAAAAATAATTTTTTTTTTATTATTTGATATATGTATGTATGTATTGTAATATTGTAAAGACATTATTAATTTAAATAAGTTTTAGTATTAAAATAAATGAACTCAAACTTAGGACTCTGTCAGATACACAATTTTTAGTTTTGCCATTAAAGTTTGATTGCAAATTAATTGCGCTCGCAGCTAAGCAACTAACCTATTTAAAATTATTAAATTTCAATCAGTTTACCAAAAATTACAAAATATTTGATTGCTTATAATTGTATGCTACGAGTATCATACAGAGTTACATGTGTTTGCGCTTGAATATAAACCTATGATAGAATACAAATAAGTATAATCAAACAGTTGCAAAACTAATAAAATTGCATGTATGTCTGCGCTCTTAATGCTAAATTATTTTTATACTAAAATTATATTATTATTAATTAAGCACTTCTTATGATTATTTTCAAATTTTAGTTTGGAAATGATCTGATATTTTATTGAAATAAATGTGTGAGAACCATAAATTTTTTACATTATTACAAGTGAAATATAATTAAATTGAATAGCTTAACAATGTGCACTCTTAAAATTATTGTACTATCGAATTTAAAGAATATCCTACAGTGACCTTGACAAATCTTAAATTTTACACGTTTCTGATTAATTTAAATTTTGTTTTTCTTTTTTCCATATAAATATTCTTTTTTGTTTTTAAAATTTCTGGGAAAGTTTTTCTGTTTCTTGTTTTATTTTTATTGTTATATAATATTTGCTTATAAAGCATTATTAAAATAAAATTTTTATTTAGGCAAATATTATAGGTACTTGTATTTGAAAATCTGTTTTGAAAAAAAAAATAATAATCCTGCATTATATTTAAAAATGCTTTTTCCAAAAACGAAAAAATTAATAATTAATAAATAATTTTTTTTTTATTTATTTTCAGAACAAAAACATCAGTATTATACGAATTAAGTACAGTAACATACGAAAAATCTAATATTTCTTTTCCCTTTTTAATCTCTTTTATAAATTATCATTTTATTATTCATTTTTTCTCCTTCAACTTAGAAGAGAACTATTAAAAAAAACTCGTCTGCATAGAATGGTAGAAGGTGATTCTGATCATAAAAATAAAGAGAGTAAGTGAAACAGAAACTATGTATAAATTACTAAATCTTATGTCAGTCTCTATTATAAAATTATTTTTTTAATATTATTATTATTTTCTATATATAGATTCAAATGTAACCAGTGATATACAAATAAGCGGCAAAGAAGTTGCTGAACTAAAGAAATCTCAACTTCCAATACAATTACAGCCGTCATCATTGTTAAATAACGAGAAAAATTTTGATTTGAATAAAGATTTAGTAATCAATAGTAATCAAAACGAAAATTTTAATAATCTTAATAAAAGTAATATAGATGTTCCGCCACCATTATATTCATCATCGCCAATAAATGAATTATCAGCTGTAGCTGAAAGTAATAATGTTTCGGTAAATAATATTACAAATGGTGAAGTTGGCAGTGGTTGCGGTGGTAACGATGGAGATGATAATAAAAAAGGAAATGGAAAAAATGATAAGAAGGGAAAGAAAGGTAATGGAAAAGATTTACCACCAAAATATGATGCCGAATGTTATGGTGCTGGTAAAGTAAAAGCTGATTTTGAGGAGGCCATCGAATTAACAAAATATGGTCGCTTTCATTATATACTATTAGCAATATGTGGTTTAGTTAGTACCAGTGAAGAAATGGATGTCATATCAATGTCATTTATATTACCATCTGCACAATGTGATCTTAATTTGAATACACAAAATAAGGGATGGTTAAATTCAATTATTTTCATTGGTATGATGGCTGGTGCTTACTTTTGGGGTAGTATAGCTGATTCATTAGGCCGTCGTAAAGTTTTAATTGTTATTTCATTTATGAATGGTTTCTGTATTGTTGCCTCCTCATTTTCACAAAGTTATGAATCATTTATGCTGTTTCGATTTTTAAATGGTGCTGCGTAAGTAAATTTCTTTTACTTAATGCGAATATAAACTTAGATTGTTGATGATTTAATTAATTACGATTTTTTTTATTGTTTAGGCTTGGCGGCAGTGGACCTGTTATTTGGTCTTATTTTGCTGAATTTCAACCAAAAAGTAAGCGTGGCTCTATGTTAAGTTTCATGGCAGCATTTTGGACTTTCGGTAATCTACTGGTAGCTGGTATGGCATGGATAATTATTCCAACACATATTGGATTTGTAACACAATATTTTGTTTACAATAGTTGGCGTGTATTTTTAGTTTTTTGTTCATTCCCATCATTTCTAGTTGCCTTTTTATTATTTTATTTACCAGAATCACCAAAATTCTTATTATCGCGTGGTAAATATGATAAAGCTTTAAATATATTCCGTCGTATTTATTCAATTAATACTGGTAAGGAACCAGAATTATATCCCGTTAAAGAATTAGTTATTGATGAAAAATTACAACAAGAATTAGAAGAATCAAAGAATTCTATACAGGGAAAATATTCAAGAATGTTTGATGGAATGATAGAAAATAGTAAACAGTTGTTTACTTCACCAATATTAAAATTCACACTAATTTCAATATCAATTAATTTCACATTTCATATTGGTTATTATGGTTTAATGATGTGGTTCCCAGAATTATTTCATCGTTTTGATGAATATAGTCGAGCACATCCAGGTGAAGAAGCTGGTGTTTGTACTGTAACTGAATATGTTGTTCAAAAAGGACTTGATCATGCTGAAGACGGTGTTTGTAATTCTGAAATACCAAGTGCTGTATTCATGGAATCATTAATTTCATTAGCATCAGCATTACCAGCTAATGTTATTGCAGTTTTAGGAATGGATCGTTTAGGAAGAAAATTCTTTTTAATATTTTCGACAATTTCAGCTGGTTTATGCTCTGCTGGAATGTATTATGTTTTTAATAAATTTCATAATTTAATTGTTAGTGCTGTATTTAGTGGTGTCATATCATGCGGTAATGCTGCTTTAGATTGTTTAATTACAGAAATTTTTCCAACAAATTTGAGGTAAACTATAAATTTTTTCAATATTTTTTTCATAATTCGCTTATTTTGTTTTTATAATTTTTAGTTTATGAAAACTTTTGTCTTTATCGTCAAATTAATTTTATTCTAATAAAAAGATTTATATCAGAATTTTAATAAACATTTCAAACTATACATACATATAAATATTGTAAATTATAGAATTTATTTAAAATTTTTTAAAGCAATTTAAAATTTATTTAAAATAAAACCAGTTTTATTGAATTATTTATTAAAAAACAATAAAATTTTACACATTTTAATAATTTTTTTTTTGTTTTTAGAGCGACTGGTATTGCCATTTCAATGGTAGCTGCAAGAATGGGTGGAATTATTGGAAATGTGGTTATTGCATCCTTATTGGATACATATTGTCCAGCTCCTACATTTATTGTTGCAGCATTACTTATTGGTGGCGGATTAATGTGCCTTTTATTACCAAATACAACACGTACAGCTTTAAGTTAAAAGAAAAATATTTTTTTTTTGTTTTAAAAAACTTTGTTAAGCGCATAAACCCATATTAATTATTATTTATAATAAATTACATACCATATTTTTTCACTATATGTATATGTACCTACATTATCGACCAAAAATAAAATAAAAAGTTTTTCCTTCAGAAATCTTATCTATATTATAAACATGCATAAATATAAAATTAAAAATATTTAAAAATTTTTCAAGCTCAATTTGTAAATTTTTTTTTAATTCTATAATCTTTTATTTCTATACTATTTTTTTTTTTTTAGTTATTAAAATGTAAAATACAAAAAAAAAAACAAACGAATGTTATATATAATAATATATGTAGATAAATGTAAAAAATATATGTAAATATAATAAGTATAAATTATCAAATTAAAGATATATGAATTTAATAAAAATAATTTTGTGTTGTTTTCTTCTCTGTTTGTGGTACCCTTACTAAGATATTTAATTGTTCTTTGAATTTAAAAATTCTGCTTTGTACTTACTAATATCATAGCCCTATTATAATAGGCGTGTGATATCTTAATAATTAATATTAGTTTGTTCAGGTGTTTTTAGGTAAAAATCATTTTGTATTTCAAAGTAAATAACAAATTTCCAATTAAGTGAACTTGATCAGCAAACTTAATAGAAAAAAAGAACAATGAATTTTATTATTTCCAAAAAGCATAACACATATTTTGCCAAATTTAATACGAAATTTTTGTTACTTTGTCAAAAATTATAATATTAGGAAGAAAGTTTATTGAACTTGTAATTAAATAATTGCAGATATGTATAAAGTTATTTAATATATTATTCATATAGGTATTTTAACAACCTATATAATCACAATCTTTTACTTGAAATATAGTGAGTTGAAAACTTGTGAGGTCGTTAGTATCAAAAATAATTTTGTTTAAATAAGAAACATTTATGCAGACCTTTCTATATAACATTACTTTTTTAAAAATTCTGACAAACGCACTATAGCTTATTGATGTTTGATATAGTTAATTAATGATGATGAATATTACTATCAGATTTCAGCAAGCCCATTTTAAGAAGTTCTAACTACATATAGATTCACTGTAATACTATACTAAGTAAAATACTAAATATAGTTTAATGTGACACTTATAATAGTTCCTATAGATATAATATTTTAAGTTTATTCGTGATTTTGTTTAAATAACTAATCATAATCATTTTTTTTAAAATATCAAATAGAAATACACTAAATATAAAAAAACAACTACTTTAGCATAAATTTTCTGACAGCTTCTATATAAGGCTTAAGCTGGCCACACTTATTTTAATGGAACATTGAAATGGAACGAAAAAAAAAACTTCTCAAAATTTCACTCAGATTTTATTTCGAAAACAAAATAGTGAAAGAGGAATAGCTATCCGCATTTAATATTTTTGTGTGTTAGTAGTACTATCTAATTAAATTTATCACTCACACTCATTGATAACTGAAAATTTTACAAGAATAATAAAAAAAAGCGATTCCATGCTTTTCAAATGTTGATTTATGCGATAAATATGACAATATTAATAAAACGAACATTTTAGTACAGCTGATTAATACCAATATACCGGTGTATAAATAACTATACTTGATTCATAATTTATTTAATTAATTTTGATTAATTTGGAGAAAATTCAAAAATTTCCGAATGCGTTCTCTCATTTGATAGGGCACTATAAACCGTGTATTAACTAACAAAATACACTCATTTTTGTTTAGTGTTCATTTCATCTGATTATTTCTCTGATTCGGATGATAAGTTTTTTGTTTTGTATTTCTCAGTTTTTATTATAGATTTTAGTATTTGTGTGACTTACTGAACGTTTAGACATGTTATTGAAAAATTTCTCCGTTATTGTTTAGCATTAACTTTTACTTATAATATATAAAAATTTTTACAAAATGTTTTTTTTAAGATTGTATTCAATTTGTGTATTTTTTATAGATTTATTAAATTTTTCAATATCAGCATTTTTTGAAACAATATCATTTTTCATTCATATATTTATACCTTCACGTAAGAAATCTATTAAAAATGAAATTATACTAATAGTTGGTGCTAGCAGAGGTATTGGAAGAGCATTAGCACAACTTACTGCCAAATTAGGTGCTACAGTGGTAAAATATATTTTTATTAATTTTAAAATAAATACAATATATGAACTAGGGTAATATTTTTCTTTTTTAATTTTAGGTGTGCCTTGATATAAATATTAAAGACAATAAATCGCTAGTTGAAGAAATACGAAATTTTGGCGGGATTGCATATGAATATACTTGTGATGTTACATCTCAAGAAAATGTTTCAAATACAATTGCAAATATCAAAAAAGAATTAAATACCAATATCACAATGATGTTTCATTGCTGTGGTATACCGAGCATTAGAAAATATTCTACTCAACCACCTCCACTAAGGTCAACAATGGATTTGAGTATATTATCACATTTCTGGGTAAGAAAAAGTATTATGTTACATAATGAAAAAAGATTGAACTATTTGTATATTTCCAATTATGAATTCAAAATTTCCGTGAAAATCATAACTTGGTTTAATAAGCATTAATTAAGTCAACGTCTTGATTGGAACATATCGTTTTAAAAAAATTTATTCGATTATGAAACTTCTAATAAAATTTTTTATTACTTTTATTATAATCAATAATATTGCAATTTATGCAATTTTTGTAAAATAAAAATGATATAACGCTTTTATTAAATTGTAATAATTTTCACATGTCTTTATAATTAACTGATTCATGTATTTATACATGTTTATAAGTAGTAATGTACTTTGTTTCACATGCTTGATCATTTTTTAATACCTGATAGCTTATCTAAATTTTTAAATTAAAAATGGATTTGCAAATTCTTTTTCGAAATATTAGTCACACTACTAATGTATTTACGAAATGGATTTCATTATAGCTGCATTTTTTATTTTGTGTTAGATAGTAACAAACAAAATAATTTTCGCTGAAGTATCAACATTATACAGGAAATAAACGGTCTGCATTATCGTTTTGTAGCTTCTATTTCTGTCCTTTTACTAATAATTCTCCTACTGAACAGTAAAATATTATTTTTAATTTTACAAGCCTTTACCCCATCAATTTCTTTTTATTATTCAATAATAATCATTTTTACACAAAGATGACAAAATTAATATTTTATATTTTTTATGTTTTAGCTTTTAGATGAAGTCTTACCAGAAATGAAACAAAATAAGCATGGTCATATAATATTTTTAACATCAGTTGCTGGAATTAGTGGTATTGAACGGCAGATACCCTTATATGTTGCACAATTTGCTGTAAAAGGCTTATTTGAATCACTCTTAGATGAATTAGCTAAAGAGAAATTGAATAAAAATGTTCTAGTAACATTAGCTCATATATATCCTTTTGTTGTTAATAAAAAGGATAATCATCATGGTTTTTGGTCAAATATTCCAAATTGGTTTGGGCAAATTGATACAGAAGAAGCAGCTAAATTAGTATTAGAAGATGTTTTAAAAAATCATATTGAAATTAGTATACCAAAATATGTTTTATGGTTATCACATATTGTAAAATTACTACCCAGACGTATTATATTAATATTTAGAGAATTTTTAGATACTGGTGTAGATTTAGGTTAAATAAAAACTAAAAAAAATTATTTAATAAACTATTATGTCAAAATTACCATTATGCTCTTATTATGAATGTATAAATCATTTTTAGCCATTCAAATCATTTATTCATATAAAATAAACATAATTAGTAAACATATGTACTTTTAAGATATATGTATATTTTATATACATTTTATATACCTATATGCATATACATATATATTTACTGTTATTTATTCTTTGTAACCTTCTTTCATCCATTTCATTTTTGAGGAAAACTCATATACAAATCAAGTTATTTTAATTTGTTTCTTTTACGTTCTCACATTATGTAATACCAAAACATATTCAATACCTTTAAGTTGTAATTCAGAAAACCTGAATTAAAAGAAATACTTAATCCTCAGTATTATACCACGGCTCGTTTAGAAAAGATCAACTTCGCTAAAATAAGAAAAAGAAAATTTATATAAAAAATTAAAATTAAATCTTAGAGAAAAAAAAAATAAAAAATTAAAAAAGGTCAATGGAACGCTGGCAAAACAAAGTAGCTGTGGTAACAGGTGCTAGTGCAGGAATTGGTGAAGCAATTAGTAAAGATCTTCTAAAAGCCGGTTTAATTGTTGTTGGACTTGCACGTCGTAAAGAAAAACTCGAAAAAATACGTGAAAGTTTACCAGAAAATTTAAAATTAAAATTTCATATGCATAAGTGCGATGTTGGTAAAGAAGAAGATGTTTTATCTGTTTTTAAATGGATTGATAATGAACTGGGTGGAACTGATATATTAATCAATAATGCAGGTTGTCTCAAACCATGTGATTTAGTCGCATTAGACAATACAGAAAAAGTTCAAGAAACTGTTAATACAAATATTATGGGTGTTGTTTATTGCACACGATCGGCATATAATTCAATTCGTGAACGAAAATCTAACGGACATATAATATTAATTAATAGTGTTGCTGGTCATATTGTACCTAATATTGGAACAGATTTACCATCTTTCAACATTTATAGTCCAACAAAACATGCTGTAACTGCTATGAATGAAATTTATCGGCAAGAATTTAAAAGATATGGACTTAATTGTAAAGTTACGGTAATGGCCGTTTAAAAACTTATTTTATATTCTAAAAATTATATAGAACATTGAAAAATATTTTATAAAAATATACTACTCATTTAGTGAATGAATTTCTATTTAAAATCGAAACAATTTTACGAGATTATTTTGCATAAATTGTACACGTACGCTGTATGTACAATGAAAAATGAAACACCTTTTAACCGACCAAAAATGATCAAAACAAAACCGCAGTTTAAAGGGTTACTGTACCATATAAATTACAAAAATAGTGTATATAAATAATATGTATATATACATATATGATTTCTAATTCCAATAGTATTATTACTTTACTTACTCTACATAAGCGTCTGTATTTTTTTCCTATATTTTTTAGAAATTTAATATATTTATGAAGTCTTATTAATAACATACCACACACAATGGCACATTTCTAATTTTTCTTCTATTTTTTTTATTGTTTATTTAAAGAGCATTAGCCCCGGCGCAGTAGATACAGATATATTTCCAGAAGAATGCGCAGATATGATTAAGTCAACGATGCCATTATTAAAATCTGAGGATGTTTCTAATGCGGTACTTTATGTATTAGGTACACCACCACATGTTCAGGTAATTAAAATTATTTAACTTTATAACAATAAAATTTAATATTAGTTTATGAATATAAATACGGAATTTCGAAATAATTAATTATTTCTTAACAATTTTAGATACACGAATTAATAATAAAACCAATGGGAGAAATGTGTTAAAACCAGAACAATGCAACTGAATTGAACGAACTGATTATAATTGCTAATTAAAAAATAATTGTTTTTGAAAATAATATTTTATGATTTAACTTTTTTAAAGGTATACATAGGTACTGATAATTGAATAATCTTAATGGAAAAATACTCCTGAAAATATGCACATTTAATTAATTACGATACTCGAAGCACATTTGACTAACATTATGCAATTTAATAAAAATTTATAAATTTTATAAAATTATTTTATTTGCCCTGTCTAGCCTAGCTATATTATAGATATGTAGCATAGTATGTAATAATTAAGAAAATTAATTACAATAATTGCTATTCTTAATAACACTTATTCATGTTAGATTAATTAATATTATATTGTGAGTTAGCGATTTATCCGCATTTATAAAATTAATTTATAATAGAATATACAGTATGTATAAAATATTTAATATTTTATATATTATTAAATCTACATTAACCGAAATTAATCTCAATTTCTATTTTTGGTTTATTATTCCGATCCTATGATTGAATGAATTGAGATGACATTGAGTATTTTCATTGTGTACAAATAAAATAATTGCTTATCATCTCAAGTTGATTTTTATATCAAGAATACCTTACCACAAATAAATTAATAAAGTCAGTACTATACTTACAATTATATTGTTAATACAACGGCGATCGTCTGAAACAATTTTTTTTTGTTTCTATTTCAAATTTTTTTTAATATTGATTTTAATATATTCAAAAATAAAACATATGGAGCAATGGAAAAATCGTGTAGCTGTTGTAACTGGAAGTAGCTCAGGAATTGGTGCACAAGTTGCAAAAGACTTAGCTAAACATAATATAACTGTAGCAGCACTAGCTAGAAGAGAAGAACTTTTAAATGAAGTTAAAAAATCTTTACCAATTGAATATCAAAAAAATTTTCATTGCTTTCAATGTGATGTAACAGATTTCGTGAAAGTTCAAAAAACTTTTGAATTAATTGAAAAAAATTTTGGTGGAATTGATATATTAATTAATAATGCTGGTGTTGTAAGACCTGGTAATTTGGTAACAATGGATCGTAGTAATATAAGTGAAATAATAAATACAAATGTAACAGCAATTACTGATTGTACAAGATTGGCATTTAAAAGTATGAAAGAACGTAATGTAAACGGTCATGTAATATTAATAAATAGTATTGCCGGACATAAAGTCTTAAATTTTGGTAGTGAAATTGATGTGTCACTCAATTTTTATACAGCTTCAAAATTTGCTGTAACAGCTATGACCGAAACATATCGTCAAGAATTTTATCAGCTTGGAACAAAAGTTAAAATATCGGTATATGAAATTTTATTACATATATGAAATACATGCATACAAATATATATATATAAAGACGTATACATATTGTATGCTTATTATGTATTTATCATAGAGTAAATAATATTGTACAAGATAAAAAAAATTTCATACATGAAAAATTAAAGCAATAATTTTCATAATTTGAATAAATTTTGTTCAAATTTTTTATACACATATGTATATGAAATTTATATTCTTGTATTATTTTAATTACATACATACATATATGTATAATACACACAAAATACGTTTTCTGATCGTAGTATATGAATGTGTATACCTACATATATTTTTTTGTTATTTTCATTTTATGTGAAAAGAGTGTAAGTCCAGGATTAGTGAAAACTGAAATGACCGGCAATCAAATGGAAACTAATACAAATTATCTTGAACCTGAAGATGTATCTAATGCTATAATGTATATATTGAGTACACCACCAAATGTTCAAGTACATGAACTTACAATAAAACCATTGGGTGAACCATTTTAATGAATCAAGATCATGATATATTTACTGTTATACTGTTATAAACAAAAATTGTGTATAATAAAATGAATTTTTACAACTATCTTGAACTTCTTTTGCTAATATACAGGATGGTTCGATCCAAGTGTTCAAGCTCTCGGGAGGTTTTTAAAAAAAAAAAAATTGTATGCGAGGGGCCATTACCCTGCATATATAATAATATGTAAAACCAGAATGCATTTTTTTGTACATATTTTCTGCTACAACCATTATAATATTATGAAAACTGATATGGCAATTTGTGTATATATAAACAATATTTCATTTAATTTTGAATTGCCAATTTATTTACTATATAATGTTCTAGAAAATTAATTTTTTTAAAAGAATAAAATAGTGTTTAAATTAAAAGAATATTTAAAAAATGGAGAATAAATTTCGTTAAAATATATACACGTGAGGCATTTGTACATTACTTTTAATTTTGCTATATAATTTTTTAATATATAAAATTCATATATGCATTTAGATACTTATGTATGTTAATTTGGCAATATTTTTCTACACAATTTTGTTATGTATATCTTTATTTAATGTAAAAAGCTTTTGTTTTTTTTTTTTTGATGCGAAAAATCAACCATGAACTTCTGCACTTGGTCAATTTCATTAATTTGAAAATTCACATTAAAAAACACATATGTATGTATGGTATGTACATAGGAATGCACATATGTATGTTTGAGACTAAATATAATAAAAAAAATCTTATATATCCATTTCTTTTTTAATTTATAAGACAAAAATCAAAATAGAAACAAGTGATACCAGATACATACTTTGTTTGGACTATCAAGACTCATGAAGATACATCGCCATAGAAACAAATACATATTTGTGCCAACACATATAACATAATAATAAATGTATAAATATGGTGTATAAAATATATGTATTATTAATATTATTATGTGTATTTAGATATTTATATTAACTGGATTACTTTCAAAGTACGAAATTCATAAGCATTTTTTATAAATAGTACACAAAAATAAAGTGTAGGTTGTTATTCCAAAATACAAAATTTTGCTTTGCCAACGATAGCCGCATTCGGTCTAGTTTTTTTTTTTTTTAAATACATGTGTTTAAGTAAAAAAAAAAATTGGCTAAAAAACGAGCAAATTTATTTACAAACGCTCGCATATACTGTTTTGTATAAAAAAAAAATATATAGAATACCGTTATTTATTCTTGTTATATATAGAGTCACACAAATAAGTTGACTTTATTCCTTTATAATATATATCTACAAACATAAATATAACTCTTAATTATTTTTCAGCCCACTTTTGATATGATATGAAGATTTTCTAAATGTTTATAAATGTATTTAATTTTATTTAATTTCAATTTTCTCTCAAATAACATTTATGTCACATTGTAAATAGGTTTTTCGACAATAAAAATTTTTGAAATTTAACATTATATTTTATAGAATTTCGTAATTTCATTGTAATAAATAGACAACTAGAGCGTAAAAAGTGAACTATCAACATTAATTTGTTTACATCCTCATTGCTTATATTCATTATTTACTTGTTAGTGGTCGTTTTAATACTATATCATGTATATTGTATAGGAAACTTTAAATTTTTTTACTATTAATACTTTCAAAACAAGTATTCTTTCTATTATATACATACTTTTATATTAATAATTTTTATTAATTAAATATACGATCATATACGATCATATTGCTTTATAAGTACATATACATATTATGTATATCTACTTATGTATATACTGATTTATAAAATATTATTAAAAGTATTATATATTGTACATGAAGAAAAATCTAAAAAAAAAATTTTAAATAAATTTTTAATTTAAGCTTTCAAGTAAATTCCAGAAGGTATATATTGTAATGTATACATATATGTACATATGTGCATTGTATATTATAGTAATCAAACATAAATTTAACCGTAAGTAGAATTGAAAATTTAAAGAGAAGTTTTTGTAACGATTTATCGAATACATTGCATACAATGAGAGTAGTGTAATGATCATACCAAATTTTATATGTTGAGTCCTTAAAAAAATACACTTGAGGTGTTAAAGGAATACAAAGAAACTATTTTTAGAGAAATGTATTTGTATATAATCGTTTTCGGATTTGTTTCCATTTATAATTATAGCTCTTTCGGTTTAAACAGTTTCGTTCCATATTTACATTTGAACTTTACTTAAGGATGTGGTGAATTGATTAGAAATCAATAGTCAGCTGATTAGACTTTATAATAATTTGAATCATTGGAATTGTTAAAATTTTTTTAAATTTATAGCAAAATTATTATTTATTTATTTATTATTATTAAAGAATAATAAATCCATTATTCGATTTCTCTTATAAAATATACTTTCCATTCCTTTAAAACACTATAGAATTATATTAGAAGTTATAGATTTACAATTATAAATATATATAATCAATTATTAACTTATATAAGCATACTTTCAAATAATATGTACTTTACTGTATATAAAATACATATATCAAGTTGTAATAATAAAAAAAAGTAACCAAAATATATCGGAAACTTTTCTAAAATTTTTTTTTGGAGTTCAACATCCTTTAAATTTTATTTACATTCTAAATATGTATAAGAACATAGAACTAAGTTATAATTCAATTAAAAAACAAAAATCACAAATAATTAAATCTAGACTCGCTAATTTTTCTAATAAGCAACATAAACTGAATGAAACCAGTTAAACTCAACTAAATTTTAAGTACCATTATAATAATACAAAGGCGTTATAAGATAAAAATTTTTAATATTGAAAGAATGCAAAATTTATGTTTAAATATACAATATATATTTGTTTATATTTTAAAATTTAAATAATATTATACATATTATATATACATTGAATATAAGTTAATTTATGTACAAAATAATGCATTACATAAACTGTATTTATTTAACAAAGAACATCTATTAACACTATATTATTTCGCGCATTATTTTTCAATTAATGTAAAAATACAAAAATTGTCAACAAAATTGTTTTTTTTTTTTTTCAATTTCCTTAAAAAAAATTTATATTTATATATTCAACAAAAAGATTAATAACATTCTTATGTACCCACAAGTTGAAAATGTATAAATTTAAATTACATTTATCGTATATCGTATACATATATCATATATTATATACTGACGAACATACTATTTCTCATATAAATGATCTTTAAATAATTTCTGTTAATTTTATCATCAATCCGCATCATCTACTTTTCTTTAAATCATAAATATAAACAAAACAGGTAATTGAACTGATAAAAAATAAAATTTTATATAAAAAAAAAAATTTATAAATAAATAAGAAATAAAATTAAAAACTTTTAACTGAGCAATATTTAAAAATAAATAATTGTTTATGTATACTTTCTACCCACATATTTACATATATAAAAAAAATCTTCTGTTTGTATTGTTTTTGATTTATTATCAATTAATAAATTTATAATTATAAAAAATAAAAATTATTTTATCAGTTTGAATTATAATTACTTAATCAGAATTCTTATTGAATTTATATTATAGAAATTTTATGTATAAAAATTAAGATTATTTTAAAGATTTGATCTATTAAATCATTTAAAATTGTCTTAGAATATTACTATAAATATAAAAATTAATTTTATGGTAGATACTATATTACAAATTTTATATTATATTTAATTAATAATATTAAGAATTTGATTTTCTCGGAAAAATTTAATCGAAATTCAAAGAAGAAGCTAAAGAAATCAAAAAGTTTTCCAAGAAATAACAACAATATAAACATTATTTAATTTATTCTAATGGCATACAAAAATTATTAAATACATTTTATGCACATCCACACATATAATATGTATATGCATCTTATGCCTGCATATAAACTGCTCACTGTGTTTTCCAAAAAATTATTTCCAAAAAATTTTGTTAATAAATTTATTTATTTACATTATTCATTTAGTTGCTTTTTAGAAATACAATATATACTTATTTTTTCTATCTTTAACTTAAATAATTCTACTTTGATAATTTTATCATTTAAGAAAAGACGGACAAAAGAAATTCTTTCGATAATGATTATGACAAGATTGACATTGATAACAGTAATAGTACTGGTCGTAATATCAAAGATAATTTTATTTGGTTCGATAAAATTAAACAATATGCTATAATCTATTAAATACAATATATGGCATACTTATGTATACTCAATCTTATATCTTATCAATATTGTATTTTGAAAAAATTTCTAAATTGTTGGTAAACAAGTATACCTACAATTTTTTTTATGTTGTAAAGTAATTTTGTTAACATTTATGGCTTACAAATGTACATATGTGATAATTATAGCATAAAAATTCTTTTCAATAAATGCATAAGATTGTATTTTTCCACATTATACCACAGTATAATATATACTTTTTAAAATTTAACAATATAATTTATTAAAAATAATATTATGTGTATCTATGTATCTATGTTGTTAAATAATAAAAGCAAGTTAAAATTTAAATACAAAAAATAAAAACAAATCACAATAATACGAGTACTAAATAACAAAAATATATGTGCATATGTATATGTATATAAAAAATGTACATATGTTTTTATGGTATCTATATCGTAAATACATATACACTTATTTAATTCTATATGTTTTTGATAATATATTTTTATTTAATAATTTGTATATATGTTATAATATATAGTATATAGATTTGTATATAATATAATAAAGGTTGCCAGGATGTTTTTAAATATTTTATGTTTGATAACAAAATATTTAGTACAAAATATAAAATATTTTACAAAACATTGTATAAATATTTTAAATATTGACATAAACAAAATATTTAATTTGTGTAATTAATTAAATTTGTTGATTATTTGGCGAAAACTTTTTTCGATTCTATATTTAAATTAAACTATAAATATAATTTTGTTTTTTTAGTAATAGATAAATAAGAAATATATTATATGTGTATATGTAAAGTTGCCCATATTTATTTTTCCACCTTCATATAATTAATATTGTAAGATAATTGCTACTGCCAGCATTTTCGTCTAAATGAAATAAGAAATAATTATTTTAATTAAGATTTCTATAATGGAATTTTAAGGTAATTATGCACCTTTTACGTCTGAATTTAATTATCATATATCGGCGCTTACATTTTGGTTAATACCACCTTAAAACTAAATGTTAAAATAAATTCATTTTATTCATTTATGACTTATTTATAATTCTTTTTTTTTATAAACTTATAGGTAAGAATAATTGCTGTAGGTAGTATAATTTATATTATTGTAATAAACACATCTGGTGAGCCTAACATGTGTATATTTATGCATATTATAATAAAATAAAAAATACACTATTGTGACTATTATATACTTACTTATGTATAAAGGCGAGTCTGTGCTTCATTTTTCTGGTTGTTTGTTTGTTTTCTTTCCTTTATTTTTTGTTAAAATTTTTCTTTTCAATTTTTTTTTATTATTTCATTCTTATATTTTTCGTGTTATTTTATTTATTATTGTTGATTACACTTAGTCAATGTGGTTAAATTTAATTTTTATGTATATTTATACTATATAATATTATACATATATGTATATTAAAAAAAAATATACCATCGAACCAATCAAACCAACTAGTCACAATCTATCAGTTAAATTCAAAACATCGCTTTTCTGATTTTCTTAAAATTTAAAAAAAAAGTAAAACATTTTACGGATTTTTTATCCTTTAATTTTTTTTTTAAATATTTAAATTTTATATTTTTGTTTAAAAATGCATATTATAGAAAATAATATTCATATGGAACGTTGGTATAATAAATTGGCAATAGTAACTGGGGCAGATCAAAATATTGGCTGTATTATAGCTGATGCGCTTGTTAATAAAGGTTTAATTGTAATGGGATTAGCCGAAAATATTGATAATGTATTAAAAATACGTTCTGAATTACCAACAACCTTACGCCATCGTTTGTATCCAATACGTTGTGATATAACAAAGGATGATCAAGTTGAAAAAGCCTTCTCATATATACAAAATACTTATGGATGCATTGATATGTTAATTAATTGTGCTGGAATATTATATGGAAATATTTTAAAAAATAATGGTATACTAACAAATGAAAATATAAAAAAGAGTTTAGATTGTAATATTAACGGTATAAAAAATTGCACCGAAAGAGCATATATAAATATGAAAAATCGTATGGCTGACGGACATATTATATTAATAGATAGTTTATTAGGTAATATTAATACAAAATTATTAAGTTATTCAAAAGATGTTATAACGGAATTAACAGAAACTTATCGTAATCAGTTTATCAATGATGGAATTAATAATGTTAAAATAACTGTAAGTATTTATGAAGTTTATTTTAAAAATTCTTATTACTAATTAAAGAATAAAATAAGTATTTATCTATTGCATTAAAAATTAAATTATAAGAGTGTCATTATATTAATTTTGTAAAAATATTTACTTATTAAATAATAAGAAATATTCAATAAGTGACAAAATATAAGATAATATTTCATAAATTGTTCAACTTATTAACATAAGCCTTGTTTCAATTATAAGCATAAGCGAGTCGTAAAAAATTCAGTTTTTAAAGTAAGAACTGAGAAGCTTTAAAAACTCCATATTCAAATTGCACATGAAAATTTTAAAGCTTCTTAATTTTAACTTTAAGAATTTAGGTTTCAAAAACACGGTCACTTAACTAATATATTAATTTTTGCTTATTACCGGATTTTATAATTATTGTTATTTAATTAACATTACAATTGCACTCAACTATTTCTAACATGTGCAAAAAAGTAATATTAATTTGTTCAATAATTTAGCAAAAGTGAATATGTATACTATGATGTTTCTTACAAAAAAGTTATTTTTTTCCCGCAGCGATAATCATGAGCGTCCGCTCATTGATCCCCATCTTTTGAAATCTAAAATTATGTTGATTGTTTAAAAACATTTCCTGAACATTTTATTAAAATCAGTTTTGGGGGGTTTTCGTTTATGCAGTCTGCGTTGAAAGTTCTATATCAAAACTAAAATTTCCAAGTCGCAGCGTTAAACAGTATGCAAAAACTTTACCTAAGTTTTTTTTTTGTTTACGCGGTCTACTAAGATTACAAAATTGCTGTATATTTTTAAAATAAAATAGCTGTGTATTTGAATATTTCAAAATATTTTTTAAAATTCATTCTTTAATGACGAATGTATATATGTACAATTTTTATATCTTCATTTTTTACTTACCTGTTTGGGTATTTGAAGATTATTAAAAAATTCGAAGAGTACTAATTCCAAAACTAATCTGTTTAAGGAAATTTAAATTTTTTAAAACGTTTCCCATATTACTCTTCGAAAATAAATAAAATAAAAAAATTCTTCACATAAAAAACAAAAATGCTTTATATCAAATGCTACTAAGATGGAAAATAATGCTACAAATAAGGAAATTTTTGAAAAAAAAAAATTTATTACTAATAATTTTTTACTAATAAATATAAAAGTTTTACATAGTCATCGGAATCTAATTAATACATCTTGTCTATAATCTAGCCCTAAATTTAGTATGGAATACATAATAAGAATAATTAATAATTTTTTTTCTTTAAAAAAGTTTCAATTAAAATTAAATTAACCTTGGTCTGTTTTAAATCAACTCAATTTATTTTGAGTTCCATAGTTTATTAACTCTAGTTTACATAAGAACAAAAAATTTAGAATGAATTCAGCTAAAAAATTGTTCAATGTCACAACAGTCTTATCAAAAATATTATTTTAAGAACTGATTTTTATAAAATTGAAAGTAATAGTACCATATAGTAATCGAATTATGATAACCCAATTCTTATTTTGTATTCTTGAAATTGTTTATGCATTCGAATAAATACTCTATGGGCAAATATTATAATATTAAAAAAAAATGTATATTTTTAGTACTTATGTTATAATCTTTATAATATTATGTAATTGTACCTCTTTTTTTTAGTGTATTCTTTCTGGACCGAATGAAACTGGAACTGTATCTTCAAATTTAATACGGCAGACTTTAAATTATCCTATACTAAAAGAAAATGAAATTTCAAATGTTATATTATATGCTGTAAGTACACCACCAATGGTGGAAATTCACGAAATTATATTGAAGACAATGTAAATTTGATAGAAATTAAGCAATAAATTAAATATAATTCACATATAATAATATTATAAAATAGTTATTTGAAAAAATTTGGAAAAAAACTACTATAAGTCGACATGAATTAAAACTATATTAAAAATTATGCCTTATAATTATTATCGTATTATATTTTAGAATTTTAATTAAGAATCATCACAAGATATACATACATAAATATTATGTATTTATTAAAATTGCTCTGTAAAAAAAATATTGTATGAAATTTATATTCAATTAAAAATAAATTAAAATTAATTTTCAAACTTTGTAATGTTTTGCTTTTCGTAATAATTCATATATAAGTAGGTATATGTATTATATATTGTGTATTTTATTTCAACATATGTAATATATATGTATATATTACACTATAATGTAGTTGCATTTATAAATATTTTTATATTTTATATTGAAATTATTTTAATGAGTTCAACCACAATTACCTACATACATCCATACACACATGTTATATGTATGTATAAAAAATAAATTCGTAAATGGTTAAATTTGCATAAAATATCTAATATGAATGTAAATTGTAGTTTATTAATGTATTAAATCATTTCAAATATTTATATTATTATCGAACAAAGTTACATACTGTTGTATATGTATATACTTGCATTCGTACCTTGATACATTAATATAGCCACAGATAAAATTTATACATCTTGGGAAATTGAGTATGACAATTTTTTTTTTTACTTTTTTTAGCAATTAGAATTGTAGCAAGTGCAAAAGCTTAAGTTTTATAGTATATAAAGTAAGTAGAATAAGTCAATGATTTATTTCATACCACAAAGTTAAGGTATGAATACGTGTTTGAATCACCAACGTCATATAATTTACCTAAACTTTGCATATTATGCAAAAAATTAAATAATTTTTTAACCATTAAATATTTTTTATATAAAAATTTATTGAACAAAAATATTATACATATTTTTTTAATGGATCGATGGAATGGAAAAATTGCCGTTGTAACTGGAGCTGGTTCAGGTAATGGAGCAGCTATAACAAAAGATTTGTTAAGAAATTATATTAAAGTAATTGGACTTGATATAAATCTTGAAGCACTAGAAAATTTAAAAAGAACCATTTCAAATAATTTTAAAGAAAATTTTTTTGCTAAAAAATGTAATGTTACCGATTTTGCCGAAGTTGATGCAGTTTTTGAATGGATTTTTTCTAATTTTGATGGAATTGATATTTTGGTAAATAACGCTGGTGTTGCACGTGATGGTAATTTATGTACAATGGACCCAAAGGATGTCCAATTTATTTTGAACACTAATGTAATGGGCTATGTTCATTGTACACGCAAAGCTTTTATAAATATGAAAACTAGAAAATTTGACGGTCATATTATTTTAATAAACAGTGCATTGGGCCATCGAGTTGTACCACTGGGTAATTCAATGTCGGTGAATATATATGCTCCCTCAAAATTTGCTATTACGGCTATGACTGAGATTTATAGAGAGGAATTTTTCAGCGAAGGAACAAAAATAAAAATTACAGTAAGTCATGTGAATGAAATACGAATAATATGTAAGTAGCTGTTAAATAAATTCCATTTGTAGAGTATTTCCCCAGGAATGGTCCATACACCAATGATTGGAGAAGAAGTAAAGGAAAAGGTAAAAAACATTCTTTATCCAGAAGATATTGCACAGGCTGTGATTTATGCGATCAGTACCCCGCCTCATGTTCAAATTCATGAAATATCCTTGAAACCATTTGGAGAACCGGTTTGAACATTCATGAATGTTTTTTCAAAGCCCTTTTGCATATATAAGTCTCATTTTACTTTTCTATTAAAGCAAGCTATGTACGTACATAGATACAAATACAACATATTAAACCTAGAAGTGAACAAAATAATTATTTGCCTTCTTACGTTGAGAAAATGATAATAAATTAATTTGTTTATCTTTAAAAATTTTATTTATTCAAGCTAATTTTTGTAATGACCATACCACCATACAACTAATGAATTTTCATACTTTACTTCTATTTCGTTTTCTTTTAAATTTGTTGAATCTATTCCTACTTCTGTAGATTCCTGAGTAAACTTATATTGACCCGACGTCGTACATATCACCGGTCGAATTGTGGAGAAGCCAACAGAATTACAACAATCATAATGCAGGTTAAACTAATGATTTAAAAAAAAATTTTTAGGGAAATTATTGATTTTAAATGTAAAAATCTACTTGATATTCAGATGTGATATCAGATGTAATATCCCAAGCTCTAATCATTCCATCTGTGCCTCCAGTTAACAAATATTTACCGCAAACACTTATATCAAAATATATTCTTTGGTTCGTCTCTACTTGCCTAAAGTATTTTTGAACTGGTGATTTAAAATTTCTCAAATCCCATTGCAATATAAGTTTATCTTTCCTTGCACCACTAAATAATCTTTGCCCACTTGAGTCAACTTTCAATAACGTAACGCCACCTGAATGCCCAGGAATTGTTGTGAGACATCCTAGATTTGTAGCTCTTATATCGTAAATGTTTATTGTTGAATTCCAAGACCCCGATACTATCATATCTGGGTGATTATAATGCATCGAAAGTGCCGAAACAGCATTTTTTGATTTAATTTCAATATAGTCTCGTCCAGGTCTATTGAATTTGAAAAAATAAAAAAATTACAATAAATATAAGTTAAAACAAGTTACATGCTAGTTTGAAACACTTTCAACGACTTTTTATAACCACCAATAATGTATTCTCCAGTTGGCGAAAATATGCAGGAAATGGAGGTTTCTATAATTTTTTTTTTTATTATAAGTTCATTACGGATTTATATTCAAACATATACCTACTTCATCGAATTGATCGTAGCCCCTATAAGTTCCTCTCAATTCACCGGTGAAGGCATCCCACATGTGTATTGGTTCATGTTGTCTAGATGCTATCCAACTAAAAGTTTTAAAAGAACTAGTGAAGTAGACTAATAATAATAATTACCTACCAACAAGTCGATGGATCATTACTATTCATCTGCGGGAACCAATTATAATCATATACGGTTCCACTTTCTGGAACAATAACAGCTGGAGCTAAATCATTTAATTCCCTTTCTGATTTAGAAACCACATTTGTTTGATATAAATCCGAAGGCAGCTCAAAAACTTGCATTCCTAAATATTTTTAAATTCATTTTACTAAATGATTTAAATTTTTGTATGAAACTTTAAATTTTAATAATTATGTAAAACTAATAACCTTCCCCATTGATGGCTGTTAATACACAGGTTCCGTCAGGTGACCATAAGCATCCTCTTAAGTATCTTTGACAACAACTGTCAGATTTCCATACTGCTCTGCCTATTTCAAATAGCGAAAAATTCTCCGAAGTTGGCTCAAATTTGAGAATATCAAGATCCAGAATATCAGATAACTCATATACATCATTTCCCCTAACAAAATTATCATCAGTATTACTTTGAGATTCTTCAATCAAATTTCTTTCTTCATTAATTACTTTTGAGTTTTTGTCAGAACTATTTTTATCGGATATATTATCATGGCTTTTCGCAATATTTTCCGCGCCAACTTTAATATCAAAATCTAAAGCATTGTTTAAGCACTTTTTTTCCACATTGAGACCATCCTCTATTTCCATATCATTCTGTATTTGTTTCGCGTTGCAATCCATGTCAACTTCTATTTCAAAATTTAATCCTTGAAGCTTTTCGATTTCCATTGTCATAATTGGATTATTTATTTCAAGATATTTCTGAAATTTTCAAATATTTGAACTACAACTTTCCAATTACACTATGTAGGCGCTGAATAAATAACAAAATAAAAAATACAACATATTGGTTTGATACCTATGTCAGGATTAAATGTATCAGAAGATTTACATGTATCAGATTGATAATTACATATCGCGATAACTTAATCTAAATATACATAGGTAAGTTATTAAAGTATTTTACTTTATAATTAGATATAAAAGCTTATTCCATTTTTTAATAATTATTAAATTATCTAATATTTAAAATATTAACGTTTTTTTTTAAATTTATTTATGTTAATTTAATAAGAAAATGACTTACGTTGTATCAAATTTAACAGTAATTTCAATGACTTCCGACCTATTAGAATTTAAATTTTCACACAAAATTATACTTTTTTAAACAGTATGATTAACTTTTGGTTTTGAAATATAAAAAATTGTAAATTAAAGAATAATCAAGTATTTGAAATATAAAATTTAATTTAGTTGAACATTCACGTCAAATACTTGAAAATTTTCCTTTGAAATTCAGCTAACTTTACTAAGTGACTTTAGTAAAGTTCTAAAAGTTTTGATTATTGCATACATAAACCAATTGATAAAAGTGATTCGTGTGATTAATAAAGTTTTTGATACTTCTACAATAAATACCACTATCCCAGCATTTACACATACAAGTTACTTGCATGCAAGTTTGTATAATATTAATTGTCAATTAGTTTTTCGAAATGTCAAATTACTTGCTATTATGACGTAGGCGTTTAGCAAGTTAATTTTTGAAAATGTCTTTGAGAAGAAAACAACTAGCTATATATATTGATTGTTTATAAATTTTAGAAACCATAAGTTTGCTAAGTTTAATTTTTTCAAAACAAAATTCAAAAATTTTAAATTAAAAAAAAAAAAATCAAAACAACAAATTTTTTTTTGTGAATTTCTCAATATGTCAAATTACTTGCTCAAATTACTGGCAGCAAAATTTTCTTGCAAGTTGAACTGCAAGTAAACAAGCAAGTAGAAATATTTCAATGTGTTAGTAAAATTTTTGTATGTATTGCAACTTTCTTGCAAGTAACTTGTACGTGTAAATGCTGGGTATCTCTGATTTATTGTAGAATTATGCTGAGTGTCAGGGATTTGATACTCAGCATAATCTTTCAAATTGATTTTCCTTTGAAATACGAATTCTCAAATCTACCTGTTACACTATAAAATATTATTGTTATTAAAAAATCACTAATTATTAATTGTCTTAAAGTTTATTTGTTCACCTATCTTTAAAAATTTTATTTATTAAAATAATTTTCGTAATGACTAATTACATAAGTATTCACAAAAATACTAATATTGAATTTATTTTTACATTTTTGTATATTAAATTTTAAGGAATCTATCAAATATATCAGGTACATTTTTTGTTTTGATTAATCATTAGCAGTTGTACATTATTTTGATAGTATGTTTGATAGTACCTTTGACGCTGTTTATGATACAATAATAAACGGGAGTCCTACCTTTGATTCAAATTGTCAAAATACTCAAATGAAAGAAAAATAAATAAGATCGATGATAAATTTGGACGTGGAACTACAAAAACTTTGAATAGGGGATCAATTAATTATTATTTATTCACCGGAACAAATTACTTGCAATACGCGAATTGATAAGGAAAAATAGAACATTACCTAGCAGAACTAAAACCAAATTATTCGAAGAGAAATGTCAATTTACTTATAAACATTGTGATACTGCTAGAAAAGTGCTCAAAAATTGTTAGAATGATATTAGAATTAACTTGGAAAATTCTTGTGCTTTAACAAGGTTGTGTACTCGGCCAATGTAATCAGCTAAAAAAATTTTTCATAAATTTTTAATTTTCTTTTTACAACTCGCCTATATTTGGGTGAAACAGTTAACATCTTTTATGTTACCTATCCCTAAATATTAAAAATAAAAAAATACATTAACTTTTTTTTTAACAAATGACGCTAAGATTTTTAAATAGTTCTAATGGTTCGATAAGAGCTCTGCTAATAGTTATAGTATTGTGGGCGTTTTTAGTTTATTTATTTGCAATTAAATTATTAAATCCACAATATAATTCGGACCCAGATGACGCTGTAAGACGTGTTAATCAGGCATTAAAATCTCTAGAAGAATCCAGGCAAAGAAATGTAGAATTGACAAAAGTCTTCGATTTTTTTATCAGGTGAGTGAGACAAATAGGAAATACATACAGGCTAAATACACAGCTTGTGCTAGAAATTATTTTATATTAATTACGAACATTGAAGTATGTATATTGAAATGAATACGTTGTTGACTGTTACATTACAATTAGGCTTACTTATGTATAATCATTTAGAAACATTTTTTTTGTTTTAGTGAAGACAATAAAGAAGAGCAAGTAAAATTGTTACGGTCTATTGAAAATCCAAATTTTGGAAGGTTATCATCAATAGGCGCACCTAGTTCAGAATATGAACAAATTAGGAGGCGTATTCGAACAAATACCCAAGAATTTTGGAATTTTTTTAGTTCGGAATTAGAACAAATTAGATTAAAGTGTTCAAAAACTAATCCTGATCTTTTAAAACAAATTAATAACATATTAGAATTAGGTGCTGAACATAAACGATCATTACTAAATGATCAAGATCGCATGCGAGAGCTTGATGGTTATGAAAGTTGGCGAAAAAAGGAATCCGAAGATTTAAGTAATTTAGTTCAGAATCGTTTGTATTACTTGCAAAATCCGAAAGATTGCAAAAACGCTAAAAAATTAGTATGCAAATTAAATAAAGGTTGCGGCTATGGTTGCCAACTTCATCACGTTGTATATTGTTTTATAGTTGCTTATGCAACGGAACGTACATTAATTTTAAAGTCCAGAGGATGGCGGTATCATAAAGGAGGTTGGGAGGAAGTTTTTGATCCTATTTCCAGTACATGTACAAATATTGACACAACATCTGCAACTGCTTGGCCAGGCCATCATAACTCGGAAATTGTTATACTACCAATAATCGATTCACTTGTACCCAGGCCACCATATTTACCGCTATCTGTACCAGAAGACTTAGCACCACGACTGATTAGATTACATGGAGACCCAATAGTTTGGTGGGTTGGCCAATTTTTAAAATATTTGTTAAAACCAAAATCTGAAACAAAAGAACTTTTGCAAAATGGAATGGCAAAGTTAGGTTGGAAAACGCCTATAGTTGGGTATAAAAATTTAGTAACAGTTTTATTATATGTACTTAATTTTTTGTGTGTTTTAGTGTACACGTCAGGCGAACAGATAAAGTAGGAACTGAAGCAGCTTTCCATAGTATTGATGAATATATGTCATATGTTGAAGACTATTATTTAACTTTAGAAATGAATAACACAAGAATAGTACGAAGAATATTTTTAGCTTCTGATGATCCTCGTGTGATATCGGAAGCAAAAAACAAGTATCCTCAATATGAAATATTGGGCGATTACGAGGTGGCAAAAATGGCAGCAGTTTCTACTAGATACACGGACTCTTCACTAAATGGAATTATATTAGATATTCATATGTTATCGTTATGTGATTATTTAGTTTGTACATTTAGTTCACAAGTTTGCAGAGTTGCATATGAAATAATGCAAACTCTTTATCCAGATGCTTCCCATAGATTTAAATCATTGGATGATATTTATTACTATGGTGGCCAGAACGCTCATAACAGAATTGCTGTATTACCGCACAAACGACGCAATAAAGATGAAATTCATTTAAACGTGGGTGATTCAATAGGCATTGCTGGTAATCATTGGAATGGCTTTTCAAAAGGTAAAAATAAAAGAACAAATGAAATTGGTTTATTTCCATCATTTAAAGTAAATGATAAAGTGGAAAAAGTTAAACTACCAACATATCCAAATGTTTGAAATGGATTAATTTTAATTTTTGGTACCGTTTATGTTGTGACAATTTTAAAATTCGTTTTTTATTTTTAAGCAAAGTTATTACAACTCTTTTTTTTATATTTGGTCCAAATCTTTGAATCGAATTATTTTAGCGAATCAAAAGTAATGATGATTTTTTGAATTTCGGATATTAGTTTTATTTTAAACTATATACATAAATGTTTAAAATCTAAAGTTTCTTAAGAAGTACAAAACCCTTAGAATACTCTATAAAGCGAACTAAATTTTATCCACCCAGTTACATTAATTCTTTTAATAAGATGCGAAGTGATTGGTTTAAAACGAAATTTTATATGTTATTGTTGTTTAATGATAAATTTGTCTTAACTCATAATCTTGCACTCAAAAAAGCATTTAAAATTACAAATCGTCATTTTGAAAAATTTTGTTTTAATCTCATGTTGAAACCTGATGTACATAAACATTATGATCAATTTGCACGCATATAATCTACAGCAATGGTCCTTCATAAAAAGAAATTTGCACAATGTAATATTTGAATACTTTTATAACTTTTAACTTTTGTATGTTCATAAAAGTAGATTAAAAACAAACAGACACAAACTTAATTAATATAGAATTAAATGTTGTTAAATTATCGCTATTTTGTAAACTTACATTCCATTTAAGCTACAAAAACCTTCAAAATGCTTCAAAATTTCTGTTCGCTTGATTCTTTAGATTAAATCAATAAGCTCTTTAAAACTTAATTAACTTTACTTGCTCTCTATAAACCTTTTTTTCAATTTTACGCTTAACTTTATTATTAAATCCTATTATATTAGTTAACATCTTATAAAAAAATGCTTTATTTTATTCGAAATTCATTATCCATAAAAAAAAAAACGAATATATCTTTAAACGAGATAAAAAAAATTAATATTATTAAATCATTAAATTTAGCTTTGTTGAACAAAAAAATATAAAAATAAAAATCTCATTATTATTAGACAAAATTTGTTTCTTTTTATAAGTTTTTGGAATAAAATGTATGACTTTAGTTGTTTTTATTTAAAAAAAAATATGAAAAAGTCTAATAAAATAAAAAATTATCTACAAAACATTTTTAAAATTATTACAATTATAACATTAATCTAGTTAACATATTTTAAGAGAATATACTCTTGAAAAGAAGCACACATTAAAAAAAATTACATATTTTAAAATACATTTTAAAATATGTAATTTTTATATTTTAGCAATAGAATGTTTTTGCTAACAAAACATTTACTTTTCTTCTTGGTTCTATAATGGGTTTGTTTCATTTTTCATTATGTTAATTTTTAAAGTCGTATGTTTTGTTCAAAAATGTCTCATAAATTTTTCAATTAAATTGTTTTATTACTTTTGCTTTGAAAATTTAAGGTGAACATTTTAGATTAGAATGTGATATAAATAGTGTAAAAAACTGAAAAAATAATTTAATATGTTGACAAAGTATTTATACATTGTAAAATATTTTTTTTTCTTCAAAACAAAATATGTATTTAAAATCAAAAACAAGAAAATCAATATATGTTATTCTAAATGCAATAATTAAATCTAGCTCATAATTAAGAAATGTAAAAAAAAAGTAAAAATTTATAATTTAAAAAAAAAAAACAAATAGAAAAAGTAATTATATGCCAATAAAACAAAAAGAAAAATTCATTTTTAAAAACAATAATTGAGTTTGAATGTTGCATTTTATTGCAATTGGCCTATTTCTATATAGATAACAAAATTTTTTTATCTAAATCATAAATTTAAAAAAGAAATAAAAATAATTTGAATTGAATCTTTAAAATCTTTCAAAGCTGTTTTTTTTTTCAAGATAATAACAAACACAAAAGATGCATATAATTTTATAAAATAATTTTAAATAAAGTTTATTATATAATTACAAAACAAAAAACTTCAATTAAATATTTATTTATTTAGGTCCCAGCATATCTTCAGGCCTGACCCATTGTTTGAATTGTTCTTCAGTTAAATATCCTAATTTAATGGCAGATTCTTTCAATGTTGTACCTTCTTTATGAGCAGTCTTTGCAATTTTTGCTGCTTTGTCGTAACCAATATGTGGATTGAGGGCAGTTACTAACATCAAAGATTCATTCATAATCTTATTAATTCGATCACGATTAGCTTGAATTCCAACAACGCAATTCGATGAGAAGGTTCTGCAACCATCAGCTATGAAAAAAAAATTTGTATATATGAATACAATTTTTTTTATAAAACAAGTTATACATACAAAGTAATCTAATAGATCTTAGAACATTTGAAACAACTAGGGGTTTAAATACATTTAGTTCGAAATGTCCATTAGATCCTCCTATTGTTACAGCTACTTGATTTCCCATAACTTGAGCACATAACATTGTCATTGACTCACATTGTGTAGGATTAACCTTACCGGGCATAATTGAGCTGCCAGGCTCATTTTCTGGCAACATCAATTCCCCTAAACCACATCTAGGCCCAGAGCCCAAGAAGCGAATATCGTTTGCAATTTTCATTAAACTTGTTGCAATAGTATTTAGGCAACCGTGTACCTCTACCATAGCGTCACGTGCAGCTAACGCCTCAAATTTATTTGGAGCCGTAACAAATGGTAAATTTGTTAATTCAGAAATTCGTTTTGCACACTTTTCTGCAAAACCTTTTCTTGTATTCAAACCAGTTCCAACAGCAGTACCTCCTAAAGCTAATTCATAAACTCTTGGCAAGGCAGCATCTATACGTGCTAAAGCATTGGTTAATTGTTGCGAATAGCCACTAAATTCCTGTCCAAGTGTTAAAGGTACTGCGTCCATTGTATGTGTACGCCCAATTTTAATTATATCCTTGAATTCATCAGATTTAGCTTTTAATGCGTCCCGTAAAATTGTTATTGCAGGTTTTAAGTTATTATTTAATTCCATGGCAACGGAAATATGAATTGCCGTGGGAAAAGTGTCATTTGAACTTTGCGATTTATTGACATGATCATTTGGATGAACTGGATCTTTCGAACCTAGTTTTCCACCCAATAATTCAATAGCACGATTACTTATAACCTCATTAACATTCATGTTACTTTGAGTGCCCGATCCAGTTTGCCAAATCACTAAAGGGAAATGACCTTCATCATATAATCTTCCAGATATAACGTCATCGGCTGCTTTTGAAATGGCATCACCTAATTTTGGGTCCAGCCCGTATTCCTTATTAACTTCAGCTGCAGCTTTCTTTAAAATACCCATAGCTATAACAACTGGTTTCTAAAAAAATTTTTTAGTCATTCTATATGTACATATGTATATGAGTATAATTTCAATTATAGCGATACGAATTTGCTTACCGGCATACGCTCTGGAGTACCACCTATCGGAAAGTTGATTTGAGATCGCATTGTTTGAGCACCATAATACTTATCAGCTGGCACTTTCAGCTCACCAAAAGTGTCGGTTTCTAGACGAAAACCAGACTAAAAGTTTTTTTACAAAAGTTTAAAATTATATTAAAATATTTCAATAAATACGAAAACTTAAATAGGTACTACTACATAGAAGGATAGTAAAGAGTATTATTTGCTTATTTATATTGAACCTATGACTGAATTACGATCTTGGTACGTTATATTCTAGCATATTTATTACGTATTTATCTACATAAATTTTATATGGCAAGTACAAAGCTTTTTGTTATCAACATCAAATTTGTATTTTAAAGTGTATTTATAATTAGAGATTGTTAAGAAATAAATTTGTTTTTTAGGTACGTGGTTGTTTTTTATAGAAAAGAAAATGGAACTGGTTTTGAAAAAAAAGAACATTTGAATTTATAATTTAATTATAAAAAGCAACACAACCGAATTTTTTCATTGAGTTTAAAAGCATGTTAGTTATAAAAGTTGGAAGAAAAAAAACTCATAGTTTTATAACTATGCAACACTCTGAGTATTTAATGCAATATTCGTTGAAATCTCTATAATTTAAAAATTATAAAAATAAGAATAAAACTTTAACAATATGGGATGGAGACTTATATGTACCAATATGTATGCATATAGGTTCCCTACATATGTATGTATATTCATATGTAGATTTTTCAATATATATATCATGTATATTCAGCTGCGTTTCAAATAACTTATAAATAGAAGTTCAAAATTTATTTTATTGTATTTTTAAACACATAGTTATGCTTATAACGTACCACATTTTCTTTAGATTGTGCACCATTAAATTCTACATCTGAATGAATTTTCTCTGCCATTTTATTGACAATGTAAGATTAACATTAAATTTTTTTCAATTAAATTATAAGTTCAAAATGCGCTTATTTTCTTCACAAAGATGTTTTATCATCTACTTCAATTAGAAAACTAGTTCTATTATTCCTATCTCTCAGTGAGTTAACAGTCTACAAGTAATTATAAAAGAAAAAAGAATACAAGAAAACAAACATACAAAACAATGTGTTTTGGGGGTATTATCAATATGTAATTTTGTAATATTATAAAACCGGGTAGGTAGGAAAAATATAGTGACAAACTATATATTGCACCTTGTATTTAACAATAATATATCTGTGTGATTATTAAAAATTCAATTTCTAACATTTTAAATTTTTAATATAATAAGTTTGTATTTGTTTTTCGTTTAATTGAATATGTGTGCATATTTTGCTGTTAGGGTCGCAAAATGAATTTCTTGGTGTTTACTATTCACACACTCATATTTTAGGTAAAACAGCTGAAGCTAAAAAATAGATTCTTAAATTTACACTACACAATAATTTTTTTTTTCAATGTAATGTTGTAAAATTTACAAGGAATGTATAACGATAATGCACAATGTTTTTTATTTTTTAATATTGAATACTTTTTAAAAGTTATTTAATACTTGTTATAAGGTAATGTTACATAATTTTTGTATATAAAATGTTATGTATAAAGTCTTACCATAGCTCTAATCATATTATTTTTTATTAATTGTACAGAGCATTGGCTCGAATTTTTCATTAAACGCAATGCCATTTTTGTTCTGTTTTATATTTCAAAATTTCTATTTATTTTAATGATAAATGGTAAGCTATTTAGTATTTGATGAAGTTGAAGGGCTAGACAAGTCAGGTAGAAAATCTGCTGTCAGTTGTCACCTTTATAAACTCTGATATAAAAATTGTCATTTTGTCAACACCTTAAATCCCTATTGTGATTTTGTTAAATTCATTGTGAATTAAAAATAGTAAGTATTTAGACTACAAATTAAAATTTTGACCGAAATGACGTTTTAAAATATATAGGCATTTGATATAGAAATAATTTTATAACCAAAATTTTTCGGTTACAAGAATATGTATTGGAATAAACACAAATCAAAAACCTCTGGTTTTACATTTTTTGTGTTTCTATTTCAATATTTTTAAATCCATAAGAAGTTACTGTTCATTTTTCATAAACAAGTGCAAAATGAAAAAAAAATATTTCTCTAACGTAACAAGCAAATTTCAGGAGTAATAAGTCTATACATACAAAAATATCAAAACCATTGATATACATAAGTTATAAAAAAACTAAACTGAGATCTGTACTGCATTTCATAATTAGAATAAACTTATTGTTTTATTTTCATATTAAAAATTCCATTATTTGACTGTGACGTGAATATGGATCGGCGTGAGGCATTTACGTTAGGGGTACTAAATTGCTGCTAAATATTTCACTTATTGTGAACTTTTAAACTGACAGTTCTGTTCACAGTAGTTACAAAAAAATACTTTATCAAATCGGTCGTAATATATCCTTAGTTTTATTTAATTAAAATTAATAATATAAATTGCATAACGAAATTGAAAATAGGTGGATAAATAACTAACTCAAATGTGCATTAATAAAATTTCACAAAAACTCCAAATAATTCTTCGTCTAAGGGCGCAAGTAAAATAATTCGAAAGATCTTTTGTGTGATCCAATAGAAAAACAAGCCATCTTTACTGTCAACAAATTTTCATTACTGCAATTTTTAGTTACTCTTAAAATGTCTCATAGTCCTTCACCATCTGCCACTGGCGGTCAACAGCCAATAGTTAAGATTGGACACTATACACTTGGAGCTACATTAGGTATAGGAACTTTTGGTAAAGTTAAAATTGGAGAACATCAGTTAACAAAGCATAAAGTTGCTGTAAAAATTTTAAATCGTCAGAAAATCAAAAGTCTTGATGTGGTTGGGAAAATTCGTAGAGAAATTCAAAATTTAAAGTTGTTTCGTCATCCACATATAATAAAATTATATCAGGTAAAACAAAATCATATTCATAAAAAATAATGAAACAAAATGTACGTGTACAAGTCATTTTCAAGGATTTCAACTTTATTAACTTCCTAGATCGAAATTTCTTAATAGAATTAAAAATAAGTACAATTTATCTTAAAATAACTTTCCATGATTTTATTTTTTGCTTAGGTCATATCAACTCCAACAGACATTTTCATGATCATGGAGTATGTTAGCGGGGGAGAGTTATTCGATTACATTGTTAAGCACGGAAAATTACAAGAACATGAAGCAAGGAGATTTTTTCAACAAATTATATCAGGGGTAGATTACTGTCACAGACATATGATAGTTCATCGGGATTTGAAACCTGAAAACCTTTTACTTGACCATAACATGCACGTAAAAATCGCTGATTTTGGTTTATCTAATATGATGTTGGATGGTGAATTCTTAAGAACAAGTTGTGGTTCACCTAACTATGCAGCACCGGAAGTAATTTCAGGAAAGCTTTATGCTGGACCAGAAGTTGATATTTGGTCTTGTGGAGTAATATTATACGCATTACTTTGTGGCACTTTGCCATTTGATGACGAGCATGTTCCGACATTATTCCGCAAAATAAAATCTGGAATATTCCCAATACCTGAGTATTTAAACAAACAAGTGGTAAATTTGGTATGTCAAATGTTACAGGTAGACCCATTAAAACGTGCAACAATTGAAGAGATAAAAAAACATGAGTGGTTTCAGAAAGATCTACCGAGTTATTTGTTTCCATCATCTATTGAACAAGATAGCAATGTAATTGATACCTACGCTGTGTCTGAAGTGTGCGATAAATTTGGTGTCAAAGAGTCAGAAGTTCATAATGCTCTGTTAAGCGGAGATCCACATGACCAGCTAGCTATCGCATATCATTTAATTATAGACAATAAACGTTTTGCCGATGAGGCTGCCAAAGCAGAAATCAAAGATTTCTTTGTAGCTGGAAGTCCTCCACCCGTAAATATTGGCTCCGTTGATAAAAAATCAGATGATATACAACCAGGCAGTTCCGTTGGCAGCACAGGCAGCGCTGGAAGTTCTGCACCTATTCGTCCTCATCCAGAAAGGATCGCACCTTTGCGTGAAAGAGTATTGAATGCTAATACTGGTCCAACAACCATATCTATTCAAGAGAAACATAGAGGAACGCCAATTAAAAGAGCTAAGTGGCATTTGGGCATTAGATCTCAAAGTAAGCCTAATGATATTATGTTAGAAGTCTATAGAGCCATGAAAACCCTTGATTATGAATGGAAAATTATAAATCCCTTCCACGTTCGGGTTAGGAGACTTAACAAACAATCCGGAAAATACGCAAAAATGTCATTGCAATTGTATCAAGTTGACGCTAAAAGCTATTTACTTGATTTTAAATCACTTACAAACGATGAAGTTGAACAAGGAGACGATGTTATAATGGAAAGCTTAACCCCACCACCGCTATCAACAACTGGTTGTGGTACCTTGATGCCTCATCAAACGACCGGTCATCATACAATGGAATTTTTCGAAATGTGTGCTGCTTTAATAATTCAATTAGCACGATAAATTAAAGATTTTTGGCTGTTTTTAGTTTCTTTTTATAACACACTTTAATACAATAATTTTTAATTCTTTTTTTTATCGTTAAAATAAATGTTCAAAACAAGATATATGCAAGTATATAACGTTGCAATATTTCATAAAAAGTTATGCTTTTATAATATGTATTTTTTATATATGTATATATATTTTTTTTTGTTTTTGTTTTCATCTTAGATTTTTAGTATATAAGGCAAAAATTATTATTGTATGACTTGTCTGTCGTAATATTCATTAATATTATCATTATAAAATTAAAATTGAAATAAAGCGATGCGGCGACCAATTTTGGATGTTTAATTAAAATAAATTAAAAACTATTAGAATGATCAAACTTATTTTACTAAGAAAAATATTATACAGCTACAACGTAACTTAATTTTTAGTGTAAAATCTATTCTAAATTTATGTTTCTAGAGGAGGCCAAATCAAAGAGATTTGGCTAAGATCGACTCCATATAAAAGATCAGCAAATTGTTCCATTAAGTCTAAAAAAACAATTTTTAACATTATTACAAATTCTCTTATTTTTCGATTTTACTTACAATTTTTATTAGTTTTCCAAACATTTTCCAACTTTGATTTGGAATTAACCTGGTTCTTCACCAAACACTTTATGAAATTAGCAACATATTCATTTAAATTAGACCAACTTTTTGTAACTGAAGAAGGTGTAATTTTCAATTTGTTTTTATATTCGGCCAATCTTGGAAAAACATCCCCATTTAAAAGAAACATGCCAAAATATCGACAAGATTTTTCGTTTAACGGCATTTCAATTTCTGATGTTGGTAATAGCCAACCCGCTTTGCCAAAACTAGCTTCAACGTAACAATAAACTTTTCCATCAAGTTGATTATACTTCGGTGCGGGATCTTCCTTAATATTAAGTATATTACATGCTTTTGGAACGTATGTTAACAACCATTCCGGTTCAATAGCTGTAACACCGCGCATAAACGTTTTTGTCGAGTCACCGTTTTGAATTTCGTAAACTTCTTGATAAATTACCCATTCAGGTAATTTTTTTTTTAATACAGAGTTAGAGTGAATAAAAACGGGCTCTTCCAATTCACTGCAATTATAAGCATATTTCATTTTTCGCTTTTCGTTCTTATCAGAGATTTCTTCAGTTGGAAATTTGCGGGCAACCTGATCACCCATACCGGAAAGTAAGATTTGACGCAAATATTTTGCTTGAAGATCTGTTGGTGGTTCCATTTTCGGATCGACCGATAAATTACAGTTGGGTATATTTAAATTAATTTCATTTGTCAATTGAATACGCAACTTTCTAACTTCAATCACTGCTTTTTTTCTCAATCCATTTTGTTCACAAAAAGTATCCATTTTGCCTAAAATTTAGAGATATTGAAATAACTATGAGGAGATATTGTATAAACAAAGGTTGAAGTAGCGAGATGTCTAAAGCCCTTACCTAGAGATCCGGCGTATTCAGAAGCACCAACAGCTCGCAGTAAGACCATAGCATCTCCCAATAATAAGGAATGACCACTTCCTGCCCAACTTCTACGTTTATCTTGCCACTTAGAGTTATTTACGTTGATATCATCCAAGCTTTGGGTTACTTCCAAAAAAATTTCTTGAATAGAAAGTCCTGCTACCAAACTAACAACGTATGCTAGAAGATTTTTTTGATGACTCAATGCTAACATTTTACCGTATCGTGGCGCAACTGGGAAAGCAGATATTGCTTGTCCTAAAGCAGTCACTTTCGCTATTTTCCCATGTGAATCTGTTTCCGCATCTTCCAATGCTCCCAATAGTGTTAAACGTTTTTCTGCTGCTTCCAGTTGAATAATATCAGGCGGAGATGGAAATGGGAAATTTATTACTTTGTCTATTCCGATGCACTTCATTTGTAACATCAAATCATCAACAGGCTTTCTCTTTATGTCTGGCATAGCAAAGTCTTCAAACTCATCATTAAACACGGCACTTGAGTACAATCTATAGCAATGACCAGGACCTGTCCGCCCAGCTCGACCAGCTCTTTGGTTTGCAGAAGCTTTACTTGTAAATGTAACATTAAATGAACTAACTCCGGTTACTTTTTCATATAAACGAGTTTTTTGTCTTCCTGAGTCAACAACATATTTAATATTAGGTATTGTAAGAGAAGTTTCTGCTACATTTGTGCTTACAACGCACAATCGACATCCTTCAGGTGGTGAGTCAAAGACCCTTATTTGTTTTTCTGATGAAAGAAGGGAATACAACGGCAACACCCAAAGCGGTTCTTTAGTTTTTTCCAAAATATCATCTTCTTCACTATTTTCATCATCTAAATCGCTATGTGTAGTTTCTGTATTTTCCTTATCTTCAAATAAATCAGCTTCAGTGTCGTCGGTCGGCAGTTTGTAATCATCTAAATTAATTTTTGGTAAATTTGATGTTTGTGCCGCAAATTTCTTTTTGCAAGACTTCACTTTCTTAATGGCTTTTTTAATATCGAATTCATCAAAATTTATATCATCAACTTCAGCGCTATCAGCAATTCCTTGGTTATTTGAATTATTAAAATTTTTTGGTAGTGGGAAGGCTTTCTTTAGTTTACGACATAGAACTTTAACCTCTAATTGTCCTGTTAGAAATACTAAAATTCCTCCATCCGGCAGTTTTGAATGAATTTTTATTACTTTTTTAAAAGCCTCTTTCACATAATCTTCAGCCGTCCTTTTTTGAAAATGTATGGTAACTGGATATTGTCTAGCTTCTATTTTTAAAAGAGGAGGAGGAATTTTGAATAGTTTCGGATTATTTAGAAAGTCTTCGACTCTCAACGTAGCCGACATAATTATAAGTTTAAGCGGGTCTTTCTTTTTGCCTCGAACATAAATTATACGAGAAAGTAATCCAATCAAAATGTCAGTATAAGATGTTCTTTCATGGGCTTCGTCCAGAATAACAACTGAATATTTTTTTAAAAGGAAATCTGTTTCAATCTCTTTTAGTAGAACTCCATCTGTCATAAACTTTATTTTTGTATTATCTGTGACATTGCCTTCAAAACGAATCAAATAAGAAACAATTTTATCTGAAAGATTCATTTCTTTTCCCACTCTTTTGGACATTGAAATGGCAGCAACACGACGAGGTTCTGTAATTCCAATCAACTTCTTTTCAGCATAACCGGCTTCATAAAGGAATTGGGGAATTTGAGTTGTTTTACCTATATTAGTTTATATTAAGACATTATAATTTAAAAATGTTTTTTAATATTTTTAAATACCGCTTCCAGTCTCCCCAGCAATAATTACAACAGTATTTTCACGAATTGTTTCCATGATCTGCTGCTCCTCAGCCAGAATTGGGAGCTTTAATCTAGCTATCTGAACTGATGGTTCTCTATCCACGTGAATATAGACTGCGGGTTTTGAAGCATTTTCATCAATTGTGGAAATACTTTTTGTGTTTAGATCTAAAAGAAAAAATTAAAAAACTTAATGTATCATAAATTAATATATTTATAAATTATTTACCATTTTGTTTTATTTTACTCTGTACCTCCTCCATAGTATTGTTATTAATTAAAATATTTTCTTGTAGTTCTTCTTTTTGATTGTTAGGTTTTATGTGGTTCACTCCAACTGTTTCAGTAAAATTATTTTCAGATTGTTTTTCTGTATCGGTATCAGAACTCATATCATCTATGTCTTGTTCGAACCCCACAATATTATCGTCCCTCGCTTTTTTGCATGTTTCCTCATCGCTACTGTTTCTGATATCAGTATAACCAGATAAAAGAGCCAATCTTTTTCTCTTACATTTTCCTGCTATACTACTAATTTTGATAGACTGAACTGCACCACTTTTTTGCACTACTTTGATATCATTTTCTATTTTTTGCAAATTCTTCAAACCTACAGTTTGTATTTGACTAATCGACGTATAATTTTTTAATTCATCTTGGGGAACTTGCACTGCCGCAAGGGCTGCCAGTAGTTCTGCTCTCTGGAAATCACAATTAAAATTATATATGTATATAATTATATTAATGATAATAATAATAATAATAATAATAATAATAATAATAACAATAATAATAATAATATTAATATATACATAATTTTTTTACATTATAAAAAAAATTATGGGACATATCAAATTTTTATTATAGTTTTCAAATAAAATAATGTTTAGTTATAATTAATTAATTTCTTATACAGAATTTTATATTTTTTAAAATTATCTGAAACTAATAAAATTCTATTGATATAAACTTTGTTTCTACCTCTTCTTTTTTCTTTTTTTTATCAACCACTTTCTCCAACAACTTCCTCTGTTTTTTTGACAATATTTTGGTAATTTGATTTTGTTTAGGTTTTATAATTTTGGTTTGTCGTTTTTTAGATGGGAGAACTAAAGCATTAGCTTCATCTTGACCCCCATACTCTAATATTTCGCCAGGAATATCTATTTGAATCTGTAAAGTGCAAATTAAAATTTTACTTTTAATTTAAAACAAAATTTTAGTTTATTGTATTTTGAAGATATTTCATATCCACCATGTTAAAAACAAAGTTTACCTTTTCCGTTTCTTTATTATCAATCATTCGTTTAGAACAACTTCGAGCTTTGGCATTAAAACGTTTTTTACCCATAATTAATGTTTAAATTTAATAAATAAAAAAACTCTCAACCATTTAATTTTTCATATGAGATATGCTATAAATCATATGGATTTACATAAATTGCTTTTTTGTTTACAAAATTTTCACGTGTATCTTAATTTGACACTTTAGAAAATCCAAACATTTCAAACAACCTGCACATTTCAATTTTTTTAGGTGACCAGAATATTTTTATCAGAAATACGAACATAAGCGAAACTAAAAAATGACAAACTTTTCTTGTATTTTTTGCTGTAAGGTTTGTGGCGGCACTTTCGCAGAACTACGTGCTAAAATATATTGATTTTATAGTTAAAGTAGCGTAACATTAACGGGCTGAGTTGTTATAAAGGTTATAAAATTTTCTTACGAAGGAATTCTTAAATTCATACTATTTTCATTAAGAGATTCGTGCTTGTAACCACAGGTTTTATGAATATTTGACAAACTTTGTTAATATTAAAAAAAGTGAGGTGAAGAAAAGTCAAATCAAATTTTATAAAATTTTCTAGTTTTTTATTTGAAATTTTCATAATTACTTACAAGAATCTAAAGTAAAAATGACAACTTTGAGGCCATTTACTTGTAATGATATGTTTAAATTCAATAATGTGTATGTTAATATTTTTTGTTGATTAAAAAAAAAACTAAATATAGATCGTTATACGTATGTATATATGTATGTATGTATGCATTTTAGAAATTTGGATCCACTTACCGAAACATATGGGTTAGCATTTTATATGCAATATTTAGCTCATTGGCCTGAATATTTTCAAGTAGCAGAGTCGCCTAGTGGAGAAATAATGGGATATAGTAAGTTCTAACATTTTTAGCTTAAATTCCGTAAATAATTATGAATCAAATTTTTGTTTTTTTTTTTGGAATCGTAGTCATGGGTAAAGCAGAAGGGCATCAAGAAAATTTTCATGGTCATGTTACCGCGCTTACAGTTTCTCCTGATTACAGGAGGTTAGGATTAGCAGCGCTTCTCATGAATTTCTTGGAAGATGTTTCTGAAAAGTAAACATAATTATTTAAAATTTTTTTTTATTTTTTACTTCATTTTTCTTAGAAAGCAAGCTTATTTTGTGGATTTATTTGTAAGGGTAAGTAATGCGATTGCTATTAACATGTATCGAAATCTGGGTTATATAGTATACAGAACTGTATTAGAATATTACTCTGGTGATCCTGATGAAGACGCATATGGTATGATCTTTTATCTTATATCTTGTTATTTAAATATAAAAAGTTACATATTGACTTTCGGTTTATTTCTAGATATGAGAAAAGCTCTTTCTCGTGATGTTGAAAAAAAGTCTATAATACCTTTAACACATCCTGTACGTCCTGAAGATGTAGATTGATTTGAGTGTTATTATTTATCCTAATTATTAACAAAATACGGAAATATTGTTTGTTCAAGATTTAACTTTATTTTTTATTATTAAGATTCAATTACAGACAGAATGGTATCATACAATATCTATTTACATATAAACCAAAAAATTCCATTTTAAGAACTCAATTTGTTTCCTATAATTTTTGTACTATGTTGGTGCTAACTAAACATTACATATTCTATTTATTAAGCCTATAAAACTTTCTTCATCTATTTTTAATAGCAGTGATCAATTTAAAAGTAACACTTATTTAGTTATCCAAGCACTATGTGTATGTTAAGATTTTTTAAATTTATGTGTTTGATTTGAGTGGATATAGTGTTAATTTTAGAAAAATTGAGGCATGCTGATTTTGAAATTTTTTTACAGATTACTATGAAGCAGCTAAGGCAATATCAAAAAGTAAATTTTATTACTTAAAACTCTTTTATAAGCATTTTTTACTTTGAAATGAATTGAAACGATGTAATAATGTAATATAAATTTAAATTATATGGAAGATTTAGTAGAAAAAAGGAAAATTTATTTTCCTCATATTGTGACAAATATAAATTATAATAAAATTTTATAGTATTTAAGTGTTTATTTTTTTAACAATTTAATTTATTTTTGAAAGTCCTTCCTACTCTATTCTTTCAATTTTATTTTCCTCTTCAATTTCTGTGTTCGCCTTTTGCTTTTTCCAGTTTTTAGCTGCCGCTAGCAATTTCAAATTCGGTCTAGCCATTTCATCTTCAGGAAAGATATAGTCAAACACTTCTTCCCAACCTTCCTCTGTACCATTTTCTGAAACAATTTTCTGCCTTTTTTTCACCCTCCTGGGCATTTTTTCTAATACATTTTGCAAAAATTCTTGATCATTATTTTCTTTTTCGAAATCTCTCCATGCTTCCAATAATATTACTCTGGATTCTTTTTCACCAATTTGTCGCAGTGCATTATTTGCTTTTTCAAATATTTTTCTTGCAGATGTAACATTAGAAATTTCCTGTTGGTTTTCGCACGTTTTTTCAAACTTTGCATAGGAAATCCAAACTTTTACATGTTGAGTTCTAGCAAGTAAACGTTCATAAAGTTGTCTAGCTAATTCGACTTCCCCTTGCTGTACTTCAAAATCTATATATGCTTTCCATAACAGTTCAGGCATATCTAATCTTGGTTGTGTGATTGCTAATTCATAAATGGCCCTGGCGCGATCTGTATCACCTAGCAAATTTTCTAACTCTGCAAATTTCATCCAAGTTACACAATTTTCTGGACCAAACTCAAGAAATTTCTCGTACAAAATTCTACATCTGTCAAATTCTCTTAACTGGATCTCAAGTTCAATGTATCCCCTAAAAAGTTTATCTCTTGGACACATTCCTATTGCCACTCCTAAAGTTTTTCGTGCTTGTTGCAAATTTTTGCATCTGATTTCGAATTGAGAATATAAAAGCCATATTTTGCTAAAAGTGAAAATTTTGTGTGGAATTAGCTCCAAACAAGTTTTATATACTTGTCTAGTTCTTTCTTCGTCATGAATCTCCAGTTCTTCATATAAAGCGTAATATATCCACAGATAAATGTAACGACGCCAAAGATTTTTATCTTTAGTTGGAGGTACATTTGCTATAGCACGTTCATAAGTTTCACGAATTAAGTTTACGTCCCCTTAAATTTTAAAATAAAAAAATCCATGTAAAAATATGAAATGAAAAAAAACTAGGTATATCTAAGTTAATACTACCTTCACTTTCCACCAATCGTAAGTAATCGAACCATGCATCGTAGTTGTTCGGATTTTCCAAAACTTCTTGTTCATACTGTTGTTTTCTTTTTGACACTATAACGTTTTCTATTCCAGCACGATCTCCATATTTTTTTTCGTGAATTGTATAGCATTTGTAAACTTCATGAGTTTGTGATTTTGGTAAATGATCAAGTGCATATTTATATATAACTCTAGCACGATCATGCTCCTTTTGTCCTTCCTCAAACTTTGCAAACGCAATATAAAGGTTTTCATCGATTACATCTTGCCCAAAAAATTCAATTGCGCGTTCATAAATTTTTCTTGCACTTCTTATAAAACCATGGTTCTCCTCGAACCGTGCGTATTTAATCCAATTTTTAACATCAGGGTGAACATAAACAAATCTTTCATAAATTTGTCTAGCTCTATCAATTTCTTTATAACGAAGCTCAAAATTAATATACGTTTGCCACGCTTGCTCTTCTGGTTGCCATTCCATCCAACGTTCAAATACTTGACGAGCACCAGCAACGTTTTCTAACATCTCTTCCATATATGTATACTTATACCAAAATTGATTTACTCTTGGCATAATAGTAACCGCACGATCCCATAAATTTCTCGCATGGTTTACTTGTTTATTTTTCATTTCCATTTCTGCATACTTCAACCAAAATGTTATATTACGGTGATCATTGTCCAACGCTCTTTCCCATATTGATCGTGCTCGTTGAATCTCTTTTTGTGATTCCTCCCATTGTGCATACTTAATCCAATAACTCACTACTTGACGATTTTTTCTGATATTATCTTCAAAAAGTTTACGTTTTCGTTGCTGGTAATCTGCTAATTCTGCAGGGTCTGAAATTTTTTGTTTGGGTGGGGGTGGTAATATTTCTAAATCACGTTCTTTAGCTTCTCTAAGAAGTTGCTCTGCCGTGATTTGGGTTTCAGCAGGCGCCTTATTTTTTACCTAAAACACGCATAAATCCATACATTTAATAATTCAATTGATTATTTACTATTTCATATTACCTTTGCTACTTTTGGCATTTTTTGCGGTTTTTCCATTTTTAAATATTTTATAGGAAAATTTGTTCAAAGACTAACTATTTTTAAAATGAAAAAAAAATAATTGTTGTAAAGTTTATACATACAAAAACACAATAAGAGCTCAAAAATCAAAATTAAAACAAAAACAAAAAAAAACAATTGTTGTTGTCAAAATTACTTTCACAAATGTCAAACAAGATTGACACTTCCAACGTATTGTGCTAAATATATTGTGTATGTTGTACACTATGTCCTTTTATACGCTGTTTTTTTCTAAAAGTTTACGTTTCAGCATTTTCTTAAATTCTTAATAAACAAAAATTTTTTGTTTTCATTTTTGTGAAAGCTATAACAAGCCTCTTGTATATACATTAATATATTAATATATATGTATAATTATTTTATTGAATAATGTCAGTTTCAATAATAAAGAAAATAGTTTATTACGTGTAGTACTTTAATGATATTGCGAGTTTTCTTTTCGAATTTTTTTCATTGTATATTAAAAGAGAACTTAAAAAAAAATAAAACTCTAGATAAAAGTAATATTATCACTGATATTTACATTAGTTCTCTTTAGTATGCATATTCTAATTATTAAAAGTCGTTTTTTATCAAAAAGGGATAAGCATGGAAAGTTTATGAAAAGAATTTCAAGTTCGTATTTATTTTATAGAAGAATTATTACTTTCCTATTATAATAGGAGATATTAAAATGAATAATTTTTCTATTATTAACGAGATGTCGCATCTATCTTATAATGGAATTTATTCGAACAAAAATTAGTTCCTTTCATATATTCAGTGTACATTTTACATTATGCATTTAAATGTGGATCAAATTCTAACCAAAAAGTTTATTTCAATTACAAAACTATAACAGTTTATTATTTAACTTCGTTTATTGTTATATGTAAGTATTTATATAAATATAAAAATAACAAAGAATTTTTCTCTAAAAATATTGTTCTCATCATTTGCCTATTATAATTGTAATTTTGTATATTTCTTTTTACATAAAGAAAGATATTTAACATTTTCTTAATTTAAATAACATAATGATTTAGAGGTAATTGCTCAAGAAATTATATTAAAACTTTTAAAAATAAACTTTAATTCTGTAAAAACTATAATTATCTAATAATGATTTGTTTTATTTTTATGACCATTAACAATATTTCCATTATTAGTAACATTCGAATGGTTATTTTGAAATGAATATTCAATTGGTTGTCTTCTCATTATTTTTCCAGATGTTATTAATCTACCAAACCCTTCCTACAAATTTCGGTATTTTATTTTGTCTTATTTTATTTTTACAAAAATTTACCTCATGCGCGAAAGCGTAACCAGATCTTAATGATTGTCTATGTTTTCTTGATGGATTATAATTTGAACTGCAAGCGGAATTCAATTTTTCTGAATTTGAACGTTTTGATTTATTTTGATTAACCCGAATCTTAAAATTTAATAAAATGTAAAATAATATACTTTTACATAGAAAATAGCAATACTTGATGAGCTAAACTAGGTTTCACATCAACATAATAACAGCGTATGGCTAATATGGGTGCTGTTAAAATAACAAGAGCTAATACTGTTGTAAACCAAAAAGTAGCTTCCATAATTGCATGAGTCAATGAACCAATATCTGTCATTTGAAATTATATGAAAAATTGTAAAATAAATTTTAGATACAGATACAGATTTATTACAAAAAAAAACCTTACATGGACCACCCAAGATATAATTATAAAAATAATCAAATATAAAATATGTTAGCAAACTACACCATATTGTAATATGATTGAATACTGTCCAGTAAGATGTCTCCAAAGCAATCTATAAGATGTTTATTATTTATTTCAAAAGAAAATAAATTTTTATGTTGTACGATTTTCAATTACTTGGGTTGTGTTATCCAATATTAGAATAGTTGCTATCACTGATCCCAAAGTCATTGTATCGTTTAAAATATGCCCATTCGAAGACAATCCGTCTTTGTATGCACCTAAAATATGTAATAGAAAATTTAATAGTTAAAAATGGGATTTGCAATAAAATATTGTTATATTAGTATTTATATACCATATGGTATTAAGAATAAAATCATCGAACTGAATACACCATGTAATACTCGTTGTATAAACTCTCTTGTATTAAATAATACGTTATCTATACCAGCTAAATATAAAAGTGGATATTCAGTACTACAATGTTCATTAACGTCTTGCTCAAATACCCCAAGAGCCAATACTGGTAATGATGTATAAAATAAGTTGTATACTGATATGTACATAGGATCAAATACAGTCTATAATATAGATAAAAAAATGTCATGTATTTTCAATCATATTTTTAAATGGAAATATATACCTGAGCACTAAATCCACAAAAAAATGCATACCAAAAGTGGCATAAAGTGAATGCAAAATTTTTATAAAAAAAATATCTTAAAAATTTACACATTCTATAATATGACCACCGACCATGTATTAGCAATAATCTTTCTAAATGTTTAAATTGTGATATTGAATAGTCACTGGCCAATACAGCTTGCATACCTTCTTGCCCCGAAATTCCGACTCCTATATGAGCGACTGTTAAAAATTTAAATAGTTTTAATATAGCTCTTATCTGTTCTTGTCTATAATGAAAATTATGAAAAACTTTTTGTTCACGTCATATAAAACCTTTTATCATTGAAACATCATTGGCACCATCTCCTATAGCTAGGGTTACTGCTTTTTTTGTACGTTTAATTAAGTCTACAACTAAAGCTTTTTGTAATGGTGTGACTCTGCAACAAATAACAGCCTTACATTGAGACGTAATTTCCAAAAATCTGTCGGTATAAAATTTAAAATTAAATATATATCTAGTATGACTAAAACTGATTTATAAATATTAAAGTTTTTTTCTGGTTACCGTTCTTCAAACTCAGGTGTTAAACAATGAACTAATGAAATTCCATTGATTACAATAGCAAAACCATCATGATTTTCTGTATTCTTGGCATTATTTTCAGTATACTGGGTAGTAAATGTTACAACTGAAACTGCTGGTGGACTTTTCTTTGCCGTTTTATTTTTATGATTACCGCATTCATCTAAACATTCACCTGAAGATTTTGTTTCTATAAATGTACAAAACATAATATTACACATATTTGATTGAAAAATTTTAAGTCACTCACTTAAAGGCTTAAAAGTATTAACGATTCTAATTGATTCTTTAAATTTTTTCAGTTGATTTTCTACCTCTGTTTTAGTATTACCATCTATGATAAAAACATCAATTAAATCATCTGATAATAGTTCACATGAATAGCCTATATTTATTGCAGTTTCTAAAATTTTCAGTGTGTTAAGTAGGTTTTTAAAATAAATGAAAAAAAAAATAATTTTAAGAACTGATTTTCCTTACCCTGTTTATCACCAGTTAACATCCAAATTTTTATACCAGCATTTTTCAATTTGAATATTGTTTGAGGTACTCCATCTTGTAATTTATCTTCGATTGCAGTAGCTCCAACAAGATCCATTTCTGATTCAATTTCTTCATATAAATTTTCAATAATTTTAGTTTTTGATGATGACAAAGATAAAGCTGTTTCATTCAATTTCTTTTTCCATGCATTGTAGATGCTGTCATCAATAAATTTTTCAGCTAAAACTAAGGTTCTAAGGCCTTCACCAGCAAATTTCTAAAAATTAATCTATTATTTACAAAATTCTGTTTTGGAAGTACTCTTACATTTAAGTGATCTTGAGTTAATTTTTTTAAGGTATTATTTCCCGGCTTTAATCGATCATAAATTACATTATCAGCTCCTTTACAATAAATGCAAATTCTACCATTTTTCTTTAAAATTACTGACATTCTTTTACGAACATTATTGAAGTCCAAAATATTTAATAGTTCATATTCCTATAAAAACATTTTTAGAATTAATTTATGCATTGGTTTATGCATGTATAATTTTATATTTTCAGTTTACTTCTCTTTTTCCAAGAATTTCTATTGTTATACTTTCCGGCGTTCGTGAACGAAATATAAATCCAAAATTTCTTGCCGCTGAAACAAGTGCTGCCTCATCTGGACTCTGTGCTTTGTATTCAAGCCTGAAAGTTATACGAGATAATAATAATGCAAGATATTTTAAAACAATCACTTTTTTATTAATCACTGTATTTATGCGAAAAGTTTAGCAAATATTTACCTTCCATTAATTTTTTCTGGCATCACTGTATGACATACAGCTAGGAGCCGAAAGAAATTTATTACATCTTTGTTTTCCGCCTTGATAGCATCTATTAAACTGTTGTCGTACCATTTAAACCCAGATTCGTATTCGGGGTTGGACGATAAATCTAACGGTAATTTGTCCTGAAAAATTATTATTAATTATAAATTTTATTTTTATATTTATTTAGTTTTTTGGTTAAAACACTTACTTCAGAACTATAATCAATTGAAGATATATCTGAGACAGATTCAATTACTTCGCCATAATTTTGTCCATTAATACTGCATTTATTAAATGTCATAATATTTTGTGTTAAAGTTCCTGTTTTATCAGTAAATATAAATTGTATTTGTCCTAAATCTTCATTTAGTGTTGTAGTTCTGGCTTTGGCATATGTTTTTGTTTTGGCATCGTACATTTTTTTATCCCAATTTATAAAAAAAGATTGAACAAAACGTATAACCTATATGTATAAAGTATATTATAATTATAATGTTAATTTTATCAATGCTTTAAAATTTATTGTACTTCTACTGAAACATAAAGTGAAATTGGTACTACAGTATTCATAACAATAGCATATGAAAAAAATACAAGTAATCCTATAATTGCTGCACCTAAAACACCATTAGTTGGTACAGTAGTATCCCTTGGATTATAAATCTAAAAAATTAAAGTTTAATATAAAAAAAGCTATAGGTATAGGTCTAATAAATTTTTTTAATAATTTGCAATACCTGAAATGCTTCACCAATCAAAACTTCCCATATAAAACACGCTATGCTGCACATAACACATATTATTATTAAAAATATTACAATCTGAAATTTTGTAATTTAGTTGATGTTTTCTTTAATCAAATATTAAACTTAAAATTACAATATTTTTGTTTTTTTTTCAGAAATCAGACTAATATGAATAAAAAATTAAGCAAGCACAAATAAAAAACGTGAGGATTCAGTTCCTATTTGTGTTATTAAAAATTTTTTTAACTCATCTCTTTGAATTATTTTCAATTTAGTGTAATAAGCACATTACTTATTAATTAAAACAACTACACGTTGTATTAGTAATTCAGTATTTTTAAACTTAATTTTTTTCATATTGTAAGATGCTGTTTCTGAGAACACTTACTCCAATTATAATATTATTTAAATAACGATCAATATTTGTTCTTTTAAATAATGTTTTTCCAGAATTTTGCATTAATTTTGTATCTCTACCAGCAAAAATTACAACACCATAACACCATTCAGTGTTCCTTAAAACACATCCACGTAGTAATATATTTTCATTATCTAATGGTAATTGTTGTTTATTCCATATTAAAATTCCTTCAAATTGATTTAATAAATTATTTGGTTGTTCGCATGTAATTTCACCGTCAAATGAATTAAAGAAACCATTTAAACGACCCATTTCAGCTGTTTGCGGCAAACATTGTTTTGATTTCAAATTTGATTCACCATCTAATTCTGTTGTTTCAATATAACATAAACCATTTGGCTCACTTGTTGATAATAATAATATATCAGCTGGAACTAATTTGTTATTTTCTACAAGTATTATGTCTCCAACCTATACATGTAAGAATAATTATATATGTATACATTATTTTATTATAAATTAATAAATAATATTTTAATAAATGATTTTAATAACCTGAATATTAGACCATTTTTCAACAACGATTTGATTATTACGAAATGATTTTGATTTTCGATTATTAACTTGAGCATCTGATATATGCCTTTGCTAAAAAACCAAAGTAAAAATTTTGAAAAGACTGGAAAATATTACTTTAATTATTAATAATTTAAAATTAAATTTTACTATACACTAAACATCTATGGAAAGTTTATAAAAAACTCATTCAACAAAAATTGTGTGTTTACTGTATTTTGAATATCGTAAAAAAAAATTAAAAACAATTCAAAAATAAATTTACAATATCATCATAAGCATCTTTTATTCCAGTTAGTGTTAAAACTCCAATTAATGGTATTGCAGTTGTTATTGGTGTTAAAGATGAAATTATTGGTATCAATTGTAAGGCCAATAATATTAAAAAATAGAAATTTGCAAGTCTTTGAAATTGTTCCAATAAATTTAAAGGTAAAAATGTTATTAATGAATATTTTGATGTTTTTATTCGATTGTTCTAAAAATCAAAAACACATTTAATAATTAATAATTTTAATTTAAAAAAAAATTTCAATTTTTACCACATATTTAAATTTTGAATTAAATTTTCTATCATTTGCTTTAATTTTACGGAAATTGGTGTTGTCTAAAATAAATGAAAAAAAAATTTTTATTTGAAAAAAATAAATAAATATTCTATGCTTATACCGTTATAATCAAACATATGACTGTTACCACCAATCGTCTTTGCGCTACTAATTTTATTTCCATTCATATTAAATTTTTTGTTATCATCATTTAAATCATGATGATTATTATCATTATTTACATGATCCGATTGTTCTTGTAATGATGAAACTTTATTTGTGTTGGCTGAACCAGGCAAAAGATTTTTAAAAAATGAGTAAATGTTATCACCGGTAAAACCCATATTTAGTTTTTTTTCTTTAAATTTTATTTACTGAAAGCACAAAGAGTAAAGATTTTTTTTTAATTTTTACTTTTTTTTGCAATTTTTTATTTAATTAAACAAGTATTTTTTTTCTAAGACGTATAATAAAGTGTTTATCGGTATTTTGTAAAAAGATTAAGGTTTTCAGTTTTCTAAATATAAAATTTAAAAAAAGTTTCAAAACCAATTTTATTGTGGAAACTAAGTAATTTTAATATCCTTAGATGTTATTCTTAGTCGTAGAGAATATAATTTTATTAAGTTCACCAGTATATGTACGGTGAACTGTACTACAGTTAAGCCCGGGATTACCTACTAGTAAGGGTTGACTAATTACTAAAAATAGAATGAGTTAATTTAAAAAAGAAAATATCAAAAAGTTATACATTTTTTAAAATATTTTGTGTTTTTAATTTTCTTATACCTAATTACATTTTAAACAAAAAAGCCGATCTATATTCCATTAAAACCAATCTATATTCCATTAAAATTTTATAAATTTTAGTATAAATAAAATTAGCGGAGGTTCTGAATTAAAGTGTAAAAAACCACATTTTTTATAATACGATATCAGTATATTGAAAATATATCATAAATTGAAATTCCTGATAGGTTAACCAAGGTTTGATAATTGGTATTTCATAAGCTTTATTTAGTTATGAAAAGTTTATAAATATATTTTATGAGTTGATATTAGATCAAATGCAAGTATTTATAATATGGTCAAAGGAGTATAAAGCACGTTAACAGCATATTATGACCAAAGTTCCTGCCCTAAACACACGATTTACCTTATATTTTTCTTATTTTAAAATTAGCTATTATACTCAAAAGTCTGTACAAAACCTTTAATGAGTTTATATATATATGTAATATAATATTCTTAATAAAAATATTTGCTCTGCAATGCAAAACTTATTTGTTATATTTCAAAATAAATTTATTAAATATTGTTATATAATTTTATTTAATGTGAAAATCAATCAATATAAATTAATAGAGTAAAAGTTCTATATAAAATAATTAATTTAGAAACAAAATTTATGTGGGCAGTTTACGATATATGTATATGTATTTATTTGAGAATATTTGAAAATTTAATGAAATTACTATAAAAATAATTAAGTATGGTGGTTAAATTATATGTATATACATATATATATAAACAGTATTAAATATTATTGATAAAGCTATAAAAACAGAATTTCTTTAAAAAAGTTTGAATACCTTTGCTTTTTTATTAAAAATATTCATTTAAGTAAATTTAAAAATATTGAAAAATCAATGTAGAATTGAGTTATTTCAGAATTTATTTAAGAATAGAATTAAATTAAAACAAATGAGTATATATCAAAAAATTTGATCAAACTTTAAGAAAAAGCTATGTGTTTTACATTAATTTATTATAGAAAAAATTTAGCCTTTTGGATATAAAATTTATATTTTAATCTTTATGTATTTTATTTCCAGAATTTATTTTTAGCTATAATATAAATCGGTTAATTAAACTGATTATTTCATAACTTCTAATCTAAATCACAATTATTTATTTTGGCTAAACATTAAATATCATCCCTATGGGTTAAATTTATTTAATTTACACAAAAAAAAGCCATTTGAATTGAATAAATATTTGGTTAAATCGCTTACATTATAAAATTCGTTAATTTTGTATGAATTTGATTACAAAAATGATTTGAGATTTTGATAAATATTTAAATAAATCATAATGCTTATACAATAAATTATATTTATACAAATATTTGCACTTTATAAAAGAATTTAAATATTAATTGAGTAGATGAATAAATCTTTTTCTATATTGTAAACTCAGCGTGATTTGTTAATGAATAAAATATAAATAATAAACATTAATTGTTTTAAACTGATTAAACTGATGAATCTGATCTATATGAGAAGAGATGAAACAACTTTAGTTGGATGTTGAAAGCGTTTTTTTGTAAAATAAATATTTTAACAATTTTCTTGAAAATAAATAAAATTTAATGCATGCTCCTACATATATACATATATGGGATCAAATTTCTAAATTTTCTTAGAAAAGAAATAATAGATAGTTTTATATATTTTATTAAAACTTAAATTTAAATTCCATAAAGTTAAAAATAAATCGATTTCATTGATTTTACATAAAAATTATTTTTGATAGACACATCTATAATACATATGTAATTTGTTTTCGAAAACATTTTTAAAAAATGTTATATGTATTCCAAATTGTATACAAATTTGTATGTAAATTGAACGCTTACTTCTGTTATAATGTATATGTAAGTACGTAGTATTATACATATATTGTGAAGAAAGTTTTCAATATCACGCCTCAACTATTTTCCCTACTAATTTTAAAATTTAATTTTTTTTTTTAGATCAAATTATGAAGGATAATCAATTTATCTACGTAGAATGTATACCTATCATAATATACATATATACAATATACACGTACTTATTTAATTTTAAATACAGAATTTAAAATTTATTAATAATAAATGTAAATGTGTTATTAAAAAATATAACAAAAAAGAAATATAACAAAAAATTTGTTATATTTTTTTTTCCTCTAAAATTTTTTTTAAATGTTTTTTTTTTTTATTTTGTTGTCATACTTAACTTTTTATTAAAAAGGGAAGAAAAGAAAAATTTTTCAAAAGAAGTTTAAAGTATGGGTATAACAAAGTGTAATGAAAATAATAATAACAATAGAAAAAGAAAAGAATAGAAACAAAAAAGAAAAAATGAAAAAACTTGACCGTCATTGATTTCAATTTTTAATAAGGTATATTGATTTCTATTATACCAATAAGTATTATCTACAATGGTAAATAAGTACCTATTTACTAAACTTCTTATATATATATATATACATTACTATTTAAAACACTTATTAATATGTCATTAAAATGATAATATTATACAATTCTAACCAAATATACTATACGTTAAGTATGTAATATACACCAAATATGTATTATATAGAGACATATGTATTATGTACAATTTATACATTAGAAGTATGTACAATTAAAAAAAATATTTATATATGTATATACATGTTATAATTCTTATTCTTTAAATTTTGTTAAGACAAAGAAAATTATTTTAAAATAACAGTTCTTACAAACTTTTAAGTACATACATATATGTATGCATATATTAATAAGAGTTATGTATTACGAACATAATAATAATATTTAACGTCTATATTTATATATTTAATGCTTGTATAATTTATTCATATAAAATTTATAATGTGACGTGGTTGTAAATTAAATTTTTAAAAATATTTTTTTTTTAATATTACATAATCCATGTTAATTTTTGTAATTTTAATTAGAAAATATTAAAATTTTAAAATAATTTTACTTAACGTATAATTATTTTTTTATGATTTACGTATATAATATATTTTTTTATTATATACATATATATTTTTTGTTTTTATTTTCAAATTTGAATCATTAAATTTAAGCTAAAAATTAATAAAAATTTAATTATGTTATTAAATTATATTATTTCAAAATTTCATAAACACAAAATTTATTTGTTTTTTTTTTAATAATTCACGTATTTTATAATATTATTTTCTTATTTAATATATATTATTATATGTAAACTATTTGTATATAATTCATAATTACTATAAATGTATGTGTTTATAATTCTTTTCCCTTATATATATATATATTATGTAATAAATTTTAAAATGCGTATAAAATTAATTAAATTTTAAAATATCTTTTACATATTTAATGTATAAAACTGCGTATTTTATTTTTATATATATTATTAAATTAAAATATTAAATTTTCTTTGTAAAATTTAATGATACACTATAATAATTTTAATTATCCTTTATACCACATATTATGATATCATATATGTATGTATGTGTGTATATTTATTATATAACTCTAATTTAAATAAAATTTTAATAAAATGAAATCAAATTAATTAACTTGAATAGATTTTTTTTTTCAAAAAAACAAAAATTACATCAAATTTAATATTAATATATTAAAATTTCTATTATACTAACAGAAAATAAAACCAAGAAAATAAATGAAATAATTATTTTATAATAAAATCCATTATATATAATATATAGCAATTAAACTCTTCAAAAAAAAAAAAGAAAAAAACGGATTTAATATTTCGTATAGTATAACTTTTGTACGTCTTTAATTTAATACTTTTACTTGAATACTAAACTCTTATAATAACGAAAATCAAAAAAAAATATAATATTATATTGAACAGTATTGTTAGAATATGAAAGAAATTTATTTTTTAAAATTTTAGTGTTACATATACACGTACATGGGTATTAAATATACTTATATACATACATACATATATATAATAATACATTTATAAAAAAATTCATTCTTTAAATTTAATATTTTCCTACCGTTCTTTTCTATATAATTTATATATGTTTGTATAACAATTTTATATTACATTATATATGTACATATCTGGTAGGATATTTTGATATTGTTAAATTTATAATGTAATAAGAAAAAACTTGAATAAGGATTGTACTTGAACTTGTAATAATATTTTTTATTTATGTTATTTTTCTGGTTTTTTATTATTTTATTAACTACTTTTTAATAATTACTATGAAATGGTAATGTAAATATTGTGAAAAAAGAGATAATAATATGAAAAAAGAAAATAAGTAAAAAAACGTGTTCAGTGTTTTTGATTTTGTCCGTTTTTCTTTTTTTTTTCGTAGGTATAGCTGGCTGGTAGGTACTATAAAAATGTTAATATTAATTTTATAAAAAAAAAGGATAATGTTATGTGTAGAGTGTTATTGTTGTTATTTTTTTTTTCTTTTTTTTTGTGTAATAAAACATGAAAATGAATATTTTTGTTTTCATTTTATTTCTTATTTACATGTGTACACATTAAAAAACCTCAAATAATTTTATTATGTATACGTTTTAATGTGTTTTTGTATATATGTATATACAATAATTAACAACTGTTGATATGTGAGTTGGTTGACAAAAAAAAAAAGAAACAAAAAAATAAATTGTGAGAAGTTGAAAAAAGTTAAAGAAAAGTTAAAGAAATTTTAATGTCCTTTATACTATATATATGTATATATACATATATATATTTATAATGTGTAGTGATCCTTGACTTTTTTTATAATTATAGATATTTATACACAAATATTTATTTATTTTATTTATACAGTGTAAAAAATTTAGTTCAAAATTGTTGAATATTTATTTAATCGATTGTGTGATTTTGAATTTTTTCCCTATATAGGCACATATATGTACATATGTATATGTATGTAAATTGCAGATTTTTTTAATTTATATTATATTTTTTTGATTTTCGACAAGAATTTTTCATAATTAGAGATAATCTATGTGAAAATATTTAAATTGTATAAAAATAAACCTTTTTCTTATGTACATAACGAAATTTAATGTGTATTTAATTTTTTGCAATATATATATAATGAAGAAGTTATTATTAGATCATGCATGCTAATATCTATTTACATATTCATATATTTATGTTTATATAATGAACCCTAACTTCAAAACTGCAATAATAAGCTTACTTAATATACAATTAACATTACTTAAATGTGGTATTGTAATGTAATTATCACACATTTTTTAAATGTATATAACAAAGGGTTTAAATATATTCTAATTTTAGACCAAAAATTATTTCAGTTATTTTGATAGATAATGTTTCCAAAATATATTAGTTTTCCAAAATATATTATGTGCTTCACCGATATAACATATATGAAGTCATGAAAATAGAACATCTTTTTCCGTATATTTTATAAATTAGTTGCTATTTTCTATATACATCTATATATCATTTCGAAAAATCATTTAAAATTTTTGGAAAAAATGGTTTGTAAAATATGTACATATTAAAAACTTACAAATAATTCATATTAATATCATAAAGATTAATTTCCTTGTGTACATGATAACTTCTTAACTTATAAATCTTATGTTAATTAAAAAAAAATTAATTAACCATTCATATTTGATTATCTTATAGTTTTTAAATGAATATTGAAAAAAAAAATGCAACAAATTGCAAATAAATAACAAATTATAGTGAGTAAGACTACGAAAATATGGTAATTTCATGTTAAAAGTTGTAGACATGTCATATGTGGATATAAAGCCCATCATTTTCAAATGTTTAATTATTATTTAGTGGCATAAACTTTATGATACATATGGCGTGTGTTATCATTTGTCTGACTAAAATAAATAAAAAAATATTGGTTGAAACAACTTTAATATTAATGTAAAATACATATTAATATTATAATTGATTTATACGTTAAGTGTATTAGAATTGTGCTGCATAAAATTCATACAATCGCAACGTTAGTGCAATTACCGTTTTCTATTTCATCTTATTAAAGTTTTTAAAAATTTTACTTTAAAAAATATTTTTGAATGAAATACTATAGTTATCATATTATTCTTAGACAGTTGTTAGATAAATTAATTGAAGTTGTGTAAAGTAAAAAAAAAAAATAATTATAAATAATTCCAATATTTTTAATTTTACAAATAAACATAAGAAACATATGTACATATTATTTTATATTTTTTCTTTACAATAATAAGTGTGAGCTTGAATTTTATTAGCTATGCACATGTGTTTTATAATATCCTATATTCTATAAAATACAATATTTATCATAATGCATAAAGTTGTTTTATTTTCGAAACTAAATTTGTTTTATAAGAATGTATCTTAAACTAAAAGTTTGTATCAGTTAATATCACATAAATCGATGTAGTTTTCCACTATTTTCAATATTGTCTAAAAAAGATAAAACGTAAAAATTAATTAAATTTTATGATATTTAAAATTTTCTCTACAGGTTTTTTTTTAAGAGGAAAATGATAATTAAATTTTGTGTGAAATTATATCAAATATTTAAATATTCTAAATCATTACCTTTAAAAGTACTATGTTTATAGGTTTTCTTAATATCAGTTTTTCTAATAATTTATAAGAAGTTTTTGATGACATTTGTAACTATTGATAATAATAGTCTATTATTATAAAACGGTAGTAATTATTGTAATAATATACGTGAAGTTTATTTAATTAGATGTTAAAAGCATTATAAAATTATATATGCAATGTTAAATTTCCTATATATATTACCAAAGTTTTTATAACTTTAAACTTTTTATAACTTTATTCAAATAAAGAAGAGATGTAGTTCTCCCAAAATTTAATTCGTTTACAAAAAAGAATAAAAAGAAAATGTTTAAAACTTACAAAACTTTAATATTGGGCTGTGTTACCTTTGTATTATTTAAAAGTGTTCAAAGTGGAGTATGTATATTATATTACCTTTAAAGTACTTTTAAGACGACATAATATTTAATGTTTATTAATAATACTTACATGAAATTAAAATAATATAACTTTTTATTAATTTTCGTGCTAGACCACTTTAGAACAATATAAGGAAGGTGGACGCATGATGAGAAGTATTTGTTCACCAAAATTTCAAATATCACCGGGTAAGTATTTTGCAAAATATATATACTAGGCACATAGGTACACATCCATAGATAGTATATAATATGGTTTAGGTATTTATATAAAACTCCTAATGTTAAAAACACTTCTTATCTGCGTAAAAATATTTAATTTAAATTTTAATTAGAATATTATTTTATAACATGCATTTTTTAAAAAAAACTCTTACTTAATTATTTTTATAGAAATATGGGCACAACTGGAGGAAAAACAAACTCCTGATGATCGAAATGTAAAATGTTTTATTAATTGCATTTTCGAAACTTCAAAAGCTGTAAATATTATTGAAATATTATTTGATATTAAGTTCATGTAAAAAATATTATTTTGTATATTATTTATATAAAATTTTCTTGATATTTAAAGATGAAAAGAGGAAAATACCAATTGGATATAGCATTAAAACAAGTAGATATGATGGTTCCAGATCATATGAAGGATGATTATAAAAATGGTTTTTCAGCTTGCAAAGATGCAGGTAAGATTATACATTAAAAATAACATTATCAACAATTATATTAAGTTATTAAATCTACCTTATTCTAACTTTTGTATGGATTTTTAATTATTTTCAGGTAAAGGATTCAAGGATTATTGTGATATTTCCTATGAAGTTTATAAATGCATATTGGCTGAAATTCCAAGTTTCATTGTTCCATAATATTTTATAATATAATATGTATAATTTATTTTTCATTATATATATACATACATATAAATAACCAAGAGAATAATGTTTCATTTGCAATATTTTGTTTAATAAATACTTACATTTGTATAAGTTTACTGGCACAAAACATGTTTTACTTAGTTTGTAATTCTCCAATTTTGTTAAATCAAAAGTAGTTAATGCATGTTGATTGTTGTTTTTTAATCCTTTTAATTAACAGGTTTTAGTTCTAGCTTAAACTTTAAATGATTTTAGATTTTCTTTGTAACACGTAGAATATTAAGTGCGTGAAGAATCCCTTGATATAAATTTTTTATAACAATACTGGGCTCTAAACCTATTGCTACAATAATCAATTCAAGGTAACATATACTAGCTCTAGAAAATTAAGTTGGACTACGTTTCCAATAATGATGAAGATTTTGGATTTCTATTTATATATTGGTCTTTACTTTAAATTTTTATTATTAAAGTTTCTTACACACTTTAAGAATAGGCTACTATACATGTTTTACAATAATAAGTACATATGTGAAAAACGAAAGCTTATTTAATTTAACTGCCATCTATTGGTGAGAATGATAACAATATTTTGAAAAATACAAATGGAAATATTACCATCACTATGTATGAGAAAACAAATGTCAATCATTTAAATGTCACAACAAAAGTGAAAGTTAAAAAATGCACAAATTTTTTTTATTATGACATTTTAGCCGATTTTTGATCGTCAACACAATCCAATTAAAATTTTCGAAAGGAGTTTATTAAAAATTTTTCAAAATTTTTTTAAGAATGCAACCTATAAATTCTTTTAATATGGATCGTTCTGGGGTAGGCACAAGTTCAGAATTGGATTATGGTGCGGATCCAGCATCAGGAGGTTTTTTTAGTGCAGATTATAAAAAACATGAAGATTTAAAGCAAATGTTGGATAGCAATAAAGATAGTCTTAAATTGGAGGCCATGAAACGTATCATAAGTATGGTTGCAAAAGGACGTGATGCGTCTGAATTATTTCCAGCTGTTGTTAAAAATGTAGTGTCGAAGAATATTGAAGTGAAAAAACTAGTGTACGTTTTTCTGATGAGATATGCAGAAGAGCAACAAGATTTGGCATTGTTGTCAATAAGTACTTTTCAAAGAGCTCTAAAAGATCCTAATCAGTTAATTAGAGCCAGCGCTCTTCGTGTTCTTTCGAGTATTCGTGTTTCAATTATTGTCCCGATTGTTATGTTAGCCATAAGGGAATCAGCATCAGATATGAGTCCTTATGTGAGAAAAACTGCAGCCCATGCAATTCCTAAATTATACTCCCTGGATCCGGAGCAAAAGGAAGAGTTAGTTGTTATTATTGAAAGACTGTTGGGTGATAGGACAACATTGGTTGTGGGTTCAGCGGTAATGGCATTTGATGAAGTTTGCCCCGAACGGGTAGATTTAATTCATAAGAACTTTCGAAAATTGTGTAATCTTTTGATAGATGTTGATGAATGGGGTCAAGTTATTATTATTAACATGCTCACTAGATATGCTCGAACGCAATTTGCTAATCCAAACCTTGAGGTTCGTTTCAAAAAATTTTAATATCAGTTTTAAAATTTTTATTTAAATTTAATGTTTGCAAATATTAAAAAACGTATTACTTTTTGTAGGATGTTCAAAGTGATGGAAAATTTTATTCGGACGCGTCAGATGATAGTGATTCTATAGATTCTAGTTTACTAGATAAGGCGATTACTAAAAATAGTCCTAATGTCTTAGATGTGGATCATAAACTGCTTTTACGTCAAACGAAACCTTTATTGCAAAGTAGAAATGCTGCAGTTGTTATGGCTGTATCTCAATTATTTCATCATGTAGCTCCAAGAAATGAAGTACTTTTGATAGCAAAAGCACTGATACGACATCTTCGTAGTTATAAAGAAATTCAAAGCGTTGTTCTAACATGTGTTGCATCATTAACCATAACAAGAAAATATATATTCGAACCGCATTTAAAATCTTTCTTCGTACGTAATAGTGATCCAACCCATATTAAACTTTTGAAATTAGAAATTTTGACTAATCTTGCAACTGAAGTAACAATATCTATAATTCTGAGGGAATTTCAAACTTACATCGCCAACAGTGACAACTATTTTGTGGCAGCTACAATCCAAGCAATCGGGCGATGTGCTTCATCTATAGAAGAAATCAGCGAAACTTGTCTAAATGGACTGATTCACCTATTATCAAGCAAAAATGGTACGTCTCAATATTAGTACATCCCAAAAACTCCTTCTTAAATTTGCTCTTTTTTTTTTAGAACATGTAGTTGCTGAAAGTGTGGTTGTTATAAAGCGACTTTTGCAATCGAAAGCAGCGGAAAACTCAGAAATAATATCTCAAATGGCCAAGCTATTGAATTTCATAACAATTCCAGCAGCAAGAGCGTCAATTCTTTGGCTTATCGGTGAATATACAGAAAAAATACCAAAAATAGCTCCAGATGTCTTGAGAAAATTGGCGAAAACTTTTGGTGATGAGGTGAAAATTATTTTTATTATTAATATAAGAGTCTATCAGATCAGTTTTCAATTTCAATTAATGCATTTTTCAGGAAAACATTGTCAAGATGCAAATATTAAATCTTACGTTGAAACTTTATTTAACTAATCCAGAAAATGACTTACTTTATCAATATATTTTTAACTTAGCGAGATATGATCAAAACTATGATATTCGTGATCGAGCCAGATTATTGAAATTTTTTATATATCCTGATAAAGAGGGATCTAAAATTTCAACAAGAGCAAAAGACATTTTTTTATCTTCAAAGCCTTATCCCACTGCACAAAGTAAACATAGTGAGAGAGATCAATATCAGTTAGGTTCTTTATCCCATTATATGAACATAAGAGCTGCTGGATATAAAGATTTACCAGATTTTCCTGAAGTTCCACCAGATCCATCCGTTAGAAACATAGAAAAAACTAAAATTCAAAGCAATTTGAATTTTTCGTCAGACAATGTCGTCGAAAAATTAATCAGAAAATCAAAATTCCCAGATGAAGAATACAATTCAGAATCTTCCGACTATTCAGAAACATCCTCTGAATCAAGCACGGAAAACAGTTCTGGCGGTGAAGATGACGCTGAAGAGTCTGATGAACGAAATGGGAAAAGTAAGTTTGGAATTGAAAATGATTCTAAAAAAGAAAAAAAAATTGAAAGTGATAGCGAAGAAGACGAAGGTGATACAGAAACCAATAGCGGCAGTAGCGATGAAAGCTCTTCGGAATCCGAGAATGATTCTACTTCATCAAGTGATGAGGAATCCGAAGATCAACAAGCTGATGAAAAAATTCAGGCAAATGATGATAAATATTCTAATAAAAAGAAATTAGATAAGGATAAAACAACGAAAGTTGAACAGAAAACTTTCCAACGACAAGATACAAGCAATTTAGATTTGCTTTTAAATTTAGAAAATGTTCAATCATTTGGAAAAATTATGACACCCACTCGGGATATCAGTTTTGAATCAGGTAATGATAACCAAAAATTTATTTCTTTTGTATGTGACGATATCTATCGTTTACAGGAACAACTTCATCAATACAAACACACCTATCACCTAACATCGAGTTAGTTAGTTCAAGTTATATAGAACATCAATTCGTCGAATTAGTAAATAAAGTTTCTGGACATGGCTTAGAAATACTTTATCGATACACAAGAACTCCACATTTGGGCTTGAACATGATTTCAATTGAATTAGAATTCAAAAATCATTCTTATAAAGAACTAACAAATATTCATATGGGTAAAATTAAAACTCCGACAGGACTCGGAATATCTATAAATGAATTTCCACAAATTGATATTATACATCCCATGCAGACATGCCAGGGTATACTTGGAGTAAATTTTAATGATTCAACCCATGAAATTGAGTTCGAAATAATTTTCAATCAAACTGAAAAGTGTTTAGTTACTTTTAAACCACGTGTAGGGGAACTCGTAAGGTCTGTTAAAATACCAGAAAAGATATTTAAAAATGAGCGTTTGAATTTACGTGGAATGAATGAACATCAATTTATAATTAAAAATTCAAATGATTCTTTGGAAGATATTAAACAAAAAATTTACAAAGTCATAAATGTTAGTAACGTTGAGTCTTCGGTCGGTAATACAGAAATTCTTTTTGCTGGCCAAACGATTACGAATAAAAATTTGGTATTAATTAGTATAGAATTTATTGAACAGACAAATGATTCTTCAAGAGATACAGTTATTACAGTAAACTGTGAAAACGTTGTGTTAGGGTCATTGTTACTTAATGAAATCAAAAAGTTTATTTTTGCTTAAGGAAATCAATCTCACCATGACTTAGAAACGTGGTTTAAAAATTTTTAAATAAAGGGAAAATACTATAAAGAAAAAATACAGTGGCGAAATTATTTTATTTTAAAACTGCAATAGATATTGATTTAAATAAAATATCTACGTATAAGTTTAAATTATCTTTTTATTCTAAAAAATTTATATCTATTCTTTTTAGGTAGAAATTGATGAAAAATAGTTATAGAAACTAACATAAAACATTTCGTACTGACGAACCCTTATTAACATACATATATTAGGAATATCAGAAACAAATATGTATATATGATTTTAATTAATGGAATTAATTACAAATTGAATTTCTCGTTAAAAAATTAGAAATATTGTTTGATTTGTTCCCAGGATCAAATTATTATCCGTCTTGTACGAACACCTGTGGAAAACTAACCGTTTACTTAAAAATGTCAAACTTTATAACGGACAACAACATTTTGCGATTTGATGTATAAAATGTTTCTAACATAATGAAATGTTGCTAACGGAATGTTCTCTATATTGAAATACATTTTGACAGCAATTTTCTTTTACAATTTTTACCTTGCCACAGTGATTCCATATAAGTTGAGGCAAGTTCTTGAAAATTTTTTCATTTTAAAATAATTTTCAAAGCAATTTTGAAATTCTAAAGAAACAGAAACAAAAAGAAAAATTGATTCGCCTATGGCTGAGTCAGAATTAAATATTGATAATTTAATATCGAGGTTACTTGAAAGTACGTATTTTTTATATGGTTAATTAATTAAGATTTTTAAATTTGCTAGTAAATTTTTGTTTTAAAATGAAGTTTATATTATTAATCCTAATAGTAAAAATATAAAAAAAAAATAATAAAATACAAGAAAAAAATTCTACGCAAGGTCTTAAATTTTAATCCCTCCAATTTTTAAACGTAAATAAATCGATTATAAAACGAATAAAAGTAAAAAAGGGAATAGCAGTAAAATATAAAAACAAAGGGAAAGTGATTGTCAAGTGCAAGAAATTTTGTATTCAAAATAAAATTCAATGCTCATGTAATTAAATATTATTTTTCATTATAATCTTACAAAGTAGTTATTATCCATTTTTAATACAATTAACCGACTTTGTTTAATTGAGGCTATTGTTATTACAAGAAATCAAGTAATGTGTTCAGATTTAAATAAATTTAATCTTTTCCATTTTGTTATTAAATACTGATAACATTTCTATTTTAAAAAAATATTGCATGAATAACAAGATAAAATCAAATTTTAATTATAAGATACCCAATATTTAATTTGTACAATACATATTTGTTTTTCTTAATCAATAAAAACTTTTTTCGATCTGTTACGAGAAAAAAATTTGTCAATTTTTATTTTAATTTTAAAAATTTTAAATATTGATACTTTTCGAATTTTTAATTACATATATATTTTTTCCCTTGAAGATTTTAAACGTTTAAAAGAAGTTGAGTTGCCAAAGGCGTCTTCAACAGAAGATGTTATTCATCAGAATGGTGATACTATACAGCTTATAAGGTATCCTAAGGAAGAATGCAAGAAAAAAAGATTAAGGGATTATTTTGTTTCAGAATTTGGTATTCTTTTTTTTAAATTTTATATTTTCTATAGAGGAGTAGATAAGTAGTTCGAATTTTGGTAGCAAATGCCAGAGTATTCTTCTTAATATTAAATATCGTATGATGCTAGTTTTAGATAAAATTAAAAAAAGTTTTTTAAAAAAATTAATAAAAATAAATTCAAATTTAAACGAAAAGTTCGAGGATGTCGTACTAATAAACCAGTTGTTATGAATGAAAATGAACTACGATGTTTATGTTTGAAAGCAAGAGAAATTTTTTTACAACAACCAATTCTTTTGGAATTGGAAGCACCTCTTATAATATGCGGTGATATACATGGACAATTTACAGATCTTTTGCGATTATTTGAACATGGAGGTTTTCCACCTACTTCAAATTATTTATTTCTTGGTGATTATGTTGATCGAGGTAAACAATCATTAGAAACAGTATGTTTATTATTGGCATATAAAATAAAATATCCAGAAAATTTTTTTTTATTACGTGGAAATCATGAATGTGCTAGCATCAATAGAATTTATGGTAAATTCTCTTTTATAATATATTCATAAATGTTAAATTAATTAAGATAATTTTTTATTAAATTATTTAAGGTTTCTATGATGAATGCAAACGGAGATATAATATTAAATTATGGAAAACTTTTACAGATTGTTTTAATTGTTTACCGGTAGCGGCACTAATAGATGATAAAATATTTTGCTGTCATGGTGGTTTATCACCAGAATTGGATAATTTTGATCAAATAAAAAGTATACCACGTCCAATTGATATACCAGATGCTGGATTTTTATGTGATTTATTATGGAGTGATCCAGAAAAAGATAGTCAAGGTTGGAAAGAAAATGATCGTGGCGTCAGTTTTACATTTGGCGCAGACGTTGTTCAGAAATTTTTATCTAAACATGATTTAGATTTAATTTGTAGAGCTCACCAGGTATTTAAGAATATTGAAAGTTTCTTTTATAATTTATAAAACATTTTTAAGGTGGTTGAAGATGGTTATGAATTTTTTGCGAATCGTCAACTTGTTACTTTATTTTCTGCTCCAAATTATTGTGGTGAATTTGATAATGCTGGTAATTTTCATCAAAAAAAAAAAAATTGCACTGTTTTAAAATGGAGTTATTATAAAAATTTTTTAATATATAAAAAAATATTTCAGGTGGTATGATGACTGTAGATGAAAGTTTAATGTGCTCTTTTCAAGTAAAGAATAATTTTATTTTTTGGTTTTAATATCTAATTTATGTTTTCTATTTAATAAATTTTATCTAATAATGTTTTCCATTTATAACAGATACTTAAACCTTCAGAGAAAAAATTAAAATATGTTCTCAGTAGTAGTAACAATAATAATAACAACAATAATAGTTCCAGTGGCACCAAAGGACCCATTAATCAAAAAGCTTTCACTTCCGATTCGAGTTTGAAATAAATAAATTTGAATCATATATAAAATAAATATATATATATATATATACATATAATAAAATTTAAAGTGTATTTCACCGGAAGTCAATTATGTAACCATATGAATTCATTATAGATAAAATTTATTTTTGAAATCATTAAATAAATAAAAGAGAAATAATAACATATTTTTCAGCATTAAACCAATGTTTTATTTAAAATCATATTGCATTTGTTTTGTAAGGTAATTGTTTTGATTTCAAAATTGTAAATATTTTATTAAATGTGTGACATTACGAAATAGTAAGGATTTTTCAAAAAATAGAATTTATAAATTTTGAATTTCAAAATGTAGATCATAATAATGTTATAATATGAAAGCTTATAATTTAAATAATTTTACTATTAATTTTCATTTTAACATTTCAAATGAAATTGAAAATTGAGAAATCCTGGCGATTGAAAGTTTTTAACTTTAAATTTTAAAATGAAACCTGCAATTTAAGTATTTTGTTTTTAATTGCATTTCAACTGAAAAAATGTAATTTAAAAAATTATATAAAATATAAAATTTTTGTTTTTACATTTACGCTTAATTTAATTTTAAAGAAAATAATACAAAATAAATAAAATATTTTAAGCTAATTAGATCATAATTCTTAGACTTTAATTTCAAGGTAGAGAAAAATAAATGTTTATAAAAATACGGTAATCAGGTAACATACGAGTAAAATACCTTCATCTTTTTTATTATGACTTTCGGTTTACTGAATTGCGCATGTACTTATATCAAACATCCTTCTTGACAGTGAAATTTCAAAAAATTTTTTGTTTTTTTTTTTTTGTTTTTGCAATAAAGAAAGAAAAAACGGAAAAACTAATATTGCAAATTATTATTATAAAATGAAAACAAAGATTTTAATATTAAATATTTAATATAAGATTATAATGATAAAAAATTTAATTTTTCCTAATAATTATATACAAAACAAAAACCTAATAAAAAAATATAAATATTTGAAAGTGAAAATTATAAATTGAAATTACTCGTGTATAAAAGTGCCAAAATCAAGTTTCCTTTTTATTCCTATATATATATATACATAAATATAATAAAATAATTTTATTTATATACCTTAAATAAATTTATATACCTTAAAAGTTTTAAAAAATGGTTATTTTATATAGTAATTAAATTTATTACAGCTTTAATGGTAAAATTTAATTGAATTTTTTTTAAATATTTTTTTTTTTAATATATTGTTCCTGTGTACTACTGTATAAATCAATTTGTTATAGAATGTATATACATATATATATATATGTATATATTACAATATAATGATATATATGTATATATTACAATATAATGATAGAATCTAAAAATAAAATTATGAAGCACCTATAAGGACTCTATTATATTGTAAAAACAATAAAATATAAAAAGTATCTAATTGAGTTAATCGATTTGTACATATATAATAATTGTATTTTATTATCTTATTGTATTATTGAATATTAGTTGTTCATAAATATTTGCATAAGTATAGGCAACACAAAATAAAAATGTATAATATACGAGTATTTATAATTTATTCCATATATACGAGTACATTGTATGAGTATCTGTAAATATTTTATGTTTTTATACTTTTATTTCATATACTTACACGTATTAGTATATCTTGCAATATTTATAATACATATTAAAAATTTAAGAATTTACTAGAGCCAAAAAAAAAGTTTAAGCAATAAATTTCAAAATATTTGGAACTATTGAATATTTGTGCACGTATTACGTATGTATTTAATATTTTTGTATATAAGAAATTTTTCCAATATTGTATAAATTATATTTATTGCTTCTAATTAAAACGATTTGGACAATATTCAATTATAATTTATTAAAAAACATAATAATAAAGCCAGTTAAATTTTATATAGAAAAAAAAATTCACGTGAATTGATTGCTTTACCTTTTTACTTTTCTTTTACACTTATATGTATACTTAATATGTTCAGAATGGACATTAATACGTAGAGACAAACAAATATAGTTAATATAGAAATAAACTTTAATATGCGGTACATTTAGTATTTTTTTCGCACAGTTTTATTTATTAATATTTAGTATGCAAGGCACGCAAGTTATTGAAAATACTTGAATTTTTTTTGTACTATTTTTGTTCTTGTTTTTTTTTTTGTTTATTGAGAGATTGCATTCAGAGTTTAATTTGAACTTCAAATGATATTTTTAATTAAATAAAATTGTTTTTATATATCAGTTTTTTTATAATTATTGACGTAATAAGTTTAATTCAATCAAAATTTTTTTAATTTAGAATTAATATTAAAATGAAATATTAAATTAAAATTGAAAAAAAATTATAATTTTTCAACTCTAATAATGTTTAAAAATTAAAAACTAATAAATTTTTCGAAAGTATATACATATGTATATCATTATACAAATTGAGTTCACATAAAATACCGTCTCATAACAGTAGTACGGTTATTAAAATTACTATGATTTATAAAAAAAATTTATTTTTTTTTTTAATTTCTTACTGAATATTTATAGTTTAAATTTATACTAAAAGTTCCAAATGGTAAAATAAATAATAACTATATAAGAGAAAAATTTAAAATGATTTTAAAAAATAAAGATAAATAAATAAAAGAGTGACCGGCCCTTCAACTTAAAAAACAAGAAGTTTTGAAAAGAAATTTTTTCAATTAATATAACAACGATCAAAATGATACAAACAATCGAGTGTAACCATTTAGTTGGACGTACAGATCTGGCAGAACATTTAGATATTGAGAGAAAAAGTAAACTTTTAAATAATTCAAATATTCATACAATATCATCGTCGAAAATAAATAAATTAACAACACCTCCTCCACCACCGCCACGTAGAATTAAAAAAATTGTCGAAAAAAATACTGAAGAATTAAGTGAAAAAAATATTAAAGAGGAACAAAATACAAAAAACGATCAGAATACAGAAAATGAAGCTTCAAAGTAAGTACACATTTGGAGAAATAATTTATTAATTAGTAAAGACTAAATTATAAAGTTTAAATTATTAATTAATTGATTTTTAAATGTACATAAATATTAAATACTTATAAAGGTTTTTTTTTTAATTTTAATTTTAGTTTTGATCCAAAAGAACAACAATTTATACAAGAACGTGTCCAAAAATTAGTAAGACGTTTTTCACAACGTACAAATAATGCAAAAATTTCAATAAATTTACCAATAGCAACAAGTAGTAATGAAAATTCACCAAGAAAAATTAGCACAACATCACAAATATCAAATCATTTTGATAATAATAATAAAGATGATAAAGATGATGATAATGATGATAATAAACCAAATGAAAATAATCAAAATATATCAAAAGATAATTCGAATGCAAAATTATTTGAAGCAGATGATGCATCATTACAAAATGAAGCATCTAAATCATGCACAAAATTATGTAAATTTCGTCATTTATTTTCAGGTGTCTTAGATCCACAAGGGAAATTTTATATATCATGGTTATGTATAGTATCAGTAACATTTTTATATAATGCTTGGGTAATACCATTACGATCAGCATTTCCAACACAAACAGAAGAGAATACAAGTAGTTGGTTAATAGCAGATTTTTGTGCTGATTCAATTTATTTAATTGATGTTTTATTTGTTAAACATCGTGTTATGTATTTATTTGAGGGATTTTGGGTTAAAAATAAAGATTCGACTAGAAAGAATTATATGAGAAAATTACAATTTAAGGTATATATTATTAAAATACATAATACATATTAATTAATTATATTATTTGAAATAATTTTTTTTAACAAAATTTATAGCTTGATTTATTATCATTAACACCATTGGATTTAATGTATTTTAAATATGGAACCGAAGCTGTATATTTTAGATTTCCAAGATTATTAAAAATTCAAAGCTTTTGGGAATTTTTCAAACTTTTAGATAGACTAACGTCTTCACCACATATTGTATTTTAAAATCCGAATTGTATTTATTTTGTGCTTAACTTTAATTCAAAAATCTTTAATTTTAGGTTAGAATATCGAAAACTTTAACATACATGCTTTACATGATACATTTAACTGCATGTTGTTATTATCTTTATAGTAAATATCAAGGTGCGAACTTACATAAATTTGATAAATATTTTTTGAACTTTTTTAAAACAATTATTTGTTTATTAAGGCCTCGGCTCAAACAGATGGGTATTTAGTGGAAAAGGACATCCGTACGTTAGATGTTTTGCTTTTGCTACGAAAACTGCTACTTCTATTGGTAAAACAAATTTAAAATATGTGCATTATAGTAGATTATTATAAATTAAATTATTAAATATTTTAGGAAAAAATCCAAAACCAAGTACTGAAGGAGAATATATGTTTATGACAGCCGCTTGGTTAATGGGAGTTTTTGTATTTGCCTTATTGATTGGTCAAATTCGTGATATCATTAGTACAGCAACTCGAACTAAAAATGAATATCGTCAATTAGAAGATGAAACTTTGGCTTATATGAGAAATTTAAATTTACCAAGTGAAATGCAAAGAAGAGTTAAAATGTGGTTTAAATTTACATGGGACCAACAACGAACATTAGGTGAATGATAAAATTTTTTATTTCTTTTTATATAAATTGTAAAATGTAAAATTTTTCTAAATCGGAAATAAATACTTTTCTTTTTTATGCTTTATTTTAGATGAAAGTCATATTACAGATGCATTACCAAATAATTTAAAAACAGATATCGCAATTTCTGTACACATTCAAACCTTATCAAAAGTTCAATTATTTGCTGATTGCGAACAAGCTTTATTACGAGATCTCGTTCTTAAATTGAGGGCTGTAACATTTTTGCCAGGTGATTATGTTTGCCGTAAAGGTGAAGTCGGCAAAGAAATGTATATTGTTAAATTAGGCCAAGTTCAAGTTATGGGCGGATCTGATAATAAACTTGTTTTAGCTACATTATCAGAAGGTTCTGTATTTGGTGAAATTAGTTTATTAGCAATGAATGGTGCTGAAGGAAATCGGCGTACAGCTGATGTTAAATCAAAAGGTTTTTCAAATTTGTTTGTACTTTCGAAAAGTGATTTGAATGAAGTGATAACATATTACCCAAATGCCCAAGCAATATTAAAAAAACGTGCAAGAAGTTTAATGCGTAAAAATGCGGCACGTGAAAAAGAAGAAGCAGCACAAAATTATAAAGCTGAAGTAATAATAGGTAATAAATGTGATGGTAATCCACCAGCAAAGATTGTTATAACGAAAGCATCAAGGAGAAGAAAAAGAAAAGATCGTGATAGGGATAGGGATAGAGATAGATCAAAAGAAATACGAGATAAAGAAAATGATATGCAAAATGGCTTTAATAAAGATTTTGAATCGGAAAATATTTTATCTGGTTGTAATGTTGGGCGTAATTCGATTTCTTCAGAACTATTAATGTCAATACAAAATGAATTAAATAAAGAAAATGAAGAAAATGGTATAGAAAATCAATGTTGTGATGTAAAGGAAGGAGAAGCAGATGGTTATGGTGAAACCAATATAGATGATTCAAATAATACAGTAGTTTAAAAATGCGATACTATGTAAATTAAAATCATAGGATTTTCACAAAAAATAGAACACAAATTTTCAAAATTCAATGTAAAATTTCATATTGTGTCAAAAATAATTATTTTAAAAATTTTTAATTAAATTTGTATCTATTTATGTATATTGTGATGATTAAACATAAATGTTTAGTGCTAAAACGAATTGTAAAATAAGTTGAAAAAAAAAAATTTTAAAGGATCAACTTATGGTCTTTTTTAAAACATTTGCAAATTCACTAATACATATATACATAAGTATTTGTTCTAAGATTTTAAAAATCAATAAAATAACTACGCGGGGATTAACTATAAATGAACAAGGCTCCATAATACTGTAATCGCTTTCAATTTAAGAATCTGTTTGTTTTTAAAATTCAAAAATGTCTTCTTTAAAATTACGCAATGATAGTTTTCTTCTCTATAGTTTTACGCTTTTAAGTTTACTTATAATGCTCTGAAAATATTCAATTAAATTTCATCCAACCAATTTCAGAGTACCTAAAAATGAATAATAATTATTATGAATATCTATAAAAAATTCTTTTAGTACTAAACTGTGCCTAATCAATTTTAAAATGTATATAAATGTATGCAAGTGCAAAAAAAATCAGCCAATTACATACAGATAAATATTTTAATGTAACTAATAAATTCTTTTTATAATTTTGAAAATTTTTAATAACACAATAAAAGAATGGAATATTAAAAAACATAATTTGATATTAAGTTATAAACGAGAATCAAAATAAACACTATAAATGTAATAAAAAAAAAAGAAAAAAATATTTTTTTTTTGTAAAATGTTTCAGCACTGAAATTATGTTTGTTAATTTGTTTGATGTTTATAAAGAAAAAAATATGAAAATGTAAAAAAAAAAAATGCAAAATCATGAAATCTCAAAAATAAAACAAAAATATATTTTTTTTTCTTCTTATTTATAAAATAAAAATTTTTAAAAATTTAAATTATCTTATAAATATGCAATAAATTTCAAACAATTTTACTTAGAATCAAATAAAACTGAGTTTTCTTTAAGGTTAATACTTTCAGTAGGAATACAAGAAAGTAGATTTATAGTAAGTATACACCCTCGCTTTTCCATTTCTTTCTCTTTCCACTTTCAAATTAGAATTATACTTTTTTTCTGATGGATATTTCATTTTTCCAATTAGATTACTCATTTTTTAAATTGGCTTTTGCATTTTTTTACAAATTATTGACTAAATCTTCAAAAAGAAAGTGAATAAATAAAGATTAAATTTTGAATACGTTTTAGAGAAAACGAAATAATTGTCCTCACCGGAAAATTACATCATACAAACATATATACATGACTTTCATTCCGCTTCTTTTTGCTGGGCAAGTAAAATAACGAGATACATATACGATCACACTCAATATATTTCAATAATTTTGAATCTTATTGACGAAGACAGTCACTAATTTGCATGTGTATAAAATAATTTGCGCTTGGTTTATATAATCAACTATTTTATATTTAAAATGTTAAAATCCTAATAACCTCATAATCTTTAGTATGAAAAAATTTGTTGATAATATAATAATATTTTAGAATTTAATTTTATAAAATCTATTATTCTGCTTCAATAGTGGATAGTAGAAATTCTGCTGAGGATAGTAGAATTTCCAATAAATATTAAATTTATTTTACGAGTAGATTGCGAGTATATATATATATACATATATATATATATATATAAATATTTATTAGTAGACAAAACCCGCAAATTAAAGGATTATGTAAATAATATGTTTACTACGAGAAATTAGTGTTACCTTCTTTCTTAAAATGAATTATAGTAAAATAAAACTCAATTATATCTATTATTAATTAATATTACCTATATTTATAGTAATAAATTAATTATTTTCACAAATATTGCAAATTATAATATATTATTTTTTTTTTTTCGTACTTTTTCTTTATAAAATCGATTTTACAAGGATTAGCACAATAGGTAGAACGTTTAAAAATAAATTAAAATTATATTTATATAATATATAATAAATTTATATTGATTTTATAATAATATTTATATGCACATATATACATATATATATTTCAAATATATGTACATATATATATTTTTTTTATTTAACATAATCTTTTAAGTATATAACATAAAATTTATTTATTAATTAAAATATTAAAATTAATTAAAATTATTTATTTTAATTTTTTTTTTTTTGTTTTATTTTCTTATTTTATATATGTAGCAAAAAAATTATAATAAATATGTGCGTATATAATTATTCATATAGGTAATTTTATTATTTAATTAATATATTTCTTTCTGATGTTTCAATGTGTATTAGTATAAACATATAAGTATATATGTGTATTTGTGTAGGTATATACGAAAAAGAAAAGCTATTATATATATTTATTTAAATTATTTTATGTTTCATTTTTTATATTTATGTGAATTTTCGTCTTATTTTTCGTGTTTAACTGTATTCATATTTAATTAAATATAGAATTTCAAAAATTGTTTTTATTTTTTATATTTGAGAAATTTCGAATTAATAATAATTAATTGTGAATTTTAAAACAGAAGATGAATTATTTTTTTTTTTAATAATTTTATATAGAAGTATAAAAAATGTACTTATAGAAATTTGAAATGAAAATTTTTTTTTTGTATCTCGTTTTTATTTAAAAAATTACATTAATTAGTTCTGTATAATTCTGTATGTACTCTTTTTTATTTTTCATTTGTTTTTGTCTAGTTTCAGAAATATTTTATGTAAAAAAAATTTTTTTAGAAGAATTTCCGAATTCATATGTGAAGTTTTTATATAATTTATGAATTCTTATTTAAAGATAATTTTTCTATTAATTTCTTCTTCTTTTTTTTTTATAATATAATCAATATTTTTATTGCATTTAAACACTATTATTTTATTTTTATTATTATCATTAGTCATTATATTGTTTTCGGAGGATAACTCAGCAGTATTGATTTGATATTTATGTATATGAATTTCACAAATTATGTAATTTTAAAATTAAATGTTATAAAATAAAAGCAAAAATTTCGAAAAGTAGATTAAAAAGAAGAAATAGAACAATTAAAAGAAAAGGGAAATTTTTTTAATAGTGACCACTGTCAAGATAACATGAATTAATACTTAAAATTTTTGTCTTTTTAAATTAATAGAATAATTATGCAAAGAAACAAAATGACAAGTTTAAAAGACGAGCATAATTTTTAATTTAATTGTTTTGTATTAGTATATGTATTACATTTAGTATTTCGTAAAATTTCAATAAGAAAATTATAATAGTATTAAATGCAGAATGTTATTATTTCGTATATATTTTAGTAAATATTTAAATTTATAAATTTTCAATTGAAAAAAAAAATGAAAAACATTAACTTTATTAAATTATTGCTATTTTCTTTTCTTTAAAATAAATAATTAAATAAAATATACAGACTGCGTATATAATGCAACAGTATGTATTTAATAAACATTAGTACATACAATGTATTATATTAAAAATCTTACATGCAAAATAAGAAAAAACACACAATATGCGTTCTGATATTTATATAAAAATATAAAAACAAATTATTAGTTACTAAAATTATTATCATATATTTTTTTTATATCATTTAAAATAATTTTGAAAAATAAAAGTATTTTAAAGTACTATAATAATAAATATATTTATTTTTTTTTTTAAATTCAACCTTTTTAATTATTTTTATAGGATTTTATGTATGATTAGTAGAAAATTATGAAAAAATTAATTCTTTTTTTTTTATCTATTTTTAATTATACATAAAATACTAATAATAAAAAGCTTATTAAAATTATTTTATAAAATTTGGTATTAAAATTATTTTTTAAACAAGAAAATTGTATTAAATATTTTTTTTAAATTTTATATATATATAATTATATAATTTATTATGTAAGTATATATATATATACATATATAAAATAGAAAATCTTAAAGAAATTTTAATTTTAAACGTATTTTAAAAATAGTGATATAATAACATAACAACAATATTTTTATAAGTTAAACTTTATTTAAATTCCTTTCATTTGTTATAATTTTAATCAATTCATTAATCACATATTTTATTAAATGAATATAAATATAATTTTTGGATATATATAAGAAAAAATATTTTAAGTAAAAATATACACTCATACTCTGTTATAAAAGAATCACTTGAGGAGATGGTTTTTAAAACTATTAAGATATTCTGTATAGAATTTAAAATTCCGAATTTTACTCTTAAAATTATAAAATTTTTCAAATACAAAATCCTTTCACCTCAAGTGATGTATCTAAAAGAATATGAATGATTATTAAAATAATATGTTCTTTTTAAAATATTTTTTAAAACGTTTTTAGATGATTTTATGTATATAGCTTAATTAATAAAAATTATTATAGAGAATATTATTTAAAGTATCTGTTATATTAAATATGTTTTAAGGTTTTAATAAAAAAAATGGTCACCATGTTATAACATACAATAATAGTATATATTATATGATATATTTGTTAAAATTTTGAAAATTAAAATTATATGATTTAAACATTTAAGTATAATATAGTTTGTATGAGACTTAAAATAAATCCAATTTAAAAGTAATTAATTTTATAGCTATAACAAAATTTTTTTTATTAAGTTTGTTCATTAGTTTTTAGTTTAAATTTCTTTACATTAATTATTTCATATGTATATAGAAATATTTTAATATCACAATAATTAAAATCAATTTGAATATGATAATATGTATTTTAAAATTTTAAAAGATTAATTGCTAATTTTAATTACATAAATATTTTAAGAAATTGGAAATTTTTTTTGAATAAATTGCAACAAAAGAAAAAATTATTTTCTTAAAATACTAAGTAATTAAAAATAATATTATAATGTTTTATTAAAAATTATATATATTTATATATAAATTATTGTTAAAATAAATTCAAATATTAAAAAAATAAAATTTTTTATTCTGTTCATGTTTTGCTTAATAACCGTTTTCAAAATTTTCTTTTCTTAATCCTAAAAATGCGCAGGAGTAATTATAAGAAATAAAATATTTTAGAAAGAAACGCTAAATAACTGACTAATTCAATGCAAAATCATAAAATATTTTAAAATAATGTTTAAAAAAAAATTATGACTAAATTTTTTAAAAAAGAGTTTCTGTACAAATGAATTGAAAAATAATAATAAATGTTTTTCGTGTTATTTCTTTTGTTTTTTTAATTTTTGGTCCTTACTATTTTAATAATGTTAGTATTAATTTTTTTGTGTTTTGATTGGTATTTCATTTTATATTATTGATATTTTAAAATAAGAAAAATTTAAGAACAAAATTTTGATTTTTTCATAAATATATATATTTATTCATATATACATATATTAATATATTAAAATACTGAATAATGGCTATATATATATTAAAAAAAAGAAATTTTTTTCGATATTATTTTAATGACATTTTATAGACATTATATAGAAATATTACAATGTTAATTTTAAGGTTTTGTGTAACTTACGGAGTTATTTTGTTTTTTAAATTTTTCTATAATAATTTAACAGCGTTTATAAACAATAGAATTTAATTTCGATAAATCGGTATAGCGTTTTTAGTTACGTTTATTTGTGTTATTTTTTTTTTTTTTGGTTTTGTTTTCTTGTTTTTCTTGTTTTTTACTTTTTTTAAACTTATACATATTATCATTTTTGTCAAAAATGATGATAAAAGCCTAACTATTTTAAAAATATTACTGCGCAAGTGAATTTATTTCGCATTTTAGCAGAATAAAATAATTGTATATTTGTAATGTATGTATATATCGTTTTAATAACATAATCTTTCAAAAAAATAATTTTCTATAATATTTAAAAGTTATAGATAAATAAAAATTAAGATAAAGTGTATGTAAAATTAAGTTAAATAAAATATAATCTACATATTTATTTAATTTCATATATAAATAATAGTATTAACATAATATACATATTAATATTGTTCAGGGTTAGAAGTAAAAGATACCACAACACAGCACTAATTGATGAAATCAAATTTAAAAACTATCCCGTTTGCATGTATAAACAAATCATTTATAATTCTTTAAAATCGTTGGAAGCACTCGGGAATTTTAACAAATATTAGAATAAGCTTTGTTATTTTTAGTTTTTAGCGAATGCTTTATTAGGATAATTTTATTTATTTAATAAATATAATAAAAGTTCATTCAAAATTTGAACCAAATTTAATATGATATTGAACGTAAGAGGATTGCTAAAAAGAAATTATCGTTTCTAGACTTATTTTTTAAATGGCTCAATATGTATGAAAAATTCAATTATATTTACTTTAAAATTATGAATGTAATATTCATAAAACATAAGGTTTATGGAACCAATAAAATTATCGAATAAAATTGAAATAATTTTGACTAGTCTTAAAATTAATTCTTAATATTTATATTGCAATATTATTATTTTTTAAAATAAACAAGAAATTTATTGTCTCGCATTTGTCCTCAAAAAAATAAAATAAAATAAAACAATATGCACACATTGTATAACACATTGTATAACACATTGTAGAAAAACATCTATTCTATAAAACAAATGAGAAAAAAATAATTTCTTATTTAATTTTATATTAATTTACAATATAAATTTATAAAAAAGAAATTGTAATGCATATACATACATATATATACAAATATATACTAGTACTATAATTAAATTTTAAAATGAAATTGTATATAGGTATACATATTTCTTTTTTTTCGTGGCATTATTAATTTTAACATTTAATATATATTTCCATATGCGAATTTATTTTTTATTAAATGTTATATAATCATAATCCAAATAAATAGATATAACAGGCGTATATATTTAAAATTTTATGTAAATAGATGTCGTAATCATAATAATTCACAGATTTTATTATTTGTATATATAGAAAAAGGCAAAAAAAAAATTAAAATAGTTTAAATGTTAATTTGTTTTTTAATTGTTTTCAAATGTTCTGAATTTTGTTGTTTTGAATTTTTATATAATAACTTTCATATATATTTACATATATATGAATATATGTATTCACTATATATTATGTACTTTATATAAGCATATTTAATATCCACATAAATATTTCATCTTACATTTTTTTATTTCATAATATAAAAATTTTTTTTCTTTATCATTCAATTAAACTATCTACGATTTTTTTTTGTTTTTAATTACATTTTATCATAAAATTATCATTATTTTAATTATCTATTTCCGTTTTTTATTTCTATTTTCAATAAATATAAATTTTCATTTTAAAATTTACTATTTTTTTTTTCTTATGTAATATGTTTGTAAATATAATTATATTTATATAATGTACACATCTATTTATAAATTTTTATATATATATATGTATATATGGATTGTTTGAAAATGTTGTATTTAAATAGTAGAAAATTTTTTTTTCTGTTAATAGGTATGCAATGTCTATACTTCGCTATATGGTTACTAAATGCTAGCTTAAAACGTACACGTGAATATGATATTTTATTTTAATCGGTATTGCATATTAAAGATTTTAATGAGTTATGATATTTATATTTAGTATTTTATTAATGAAAATTAAAAACATTTATAAATTGGAAACAGATTAGAAGATATACTGCAAAACATTTTTGAATGATACATAAAGGAAAAAACAAAAATATAAAATGCAATTTTCGGTATAAAATAATTTAAGGCTTTCATTATAATAACTCGAAAAATATACTTCTGGACTTTACAAGTTAATTGTTACAAACTTTGGCTCCATTTATGTGATATGTTGAATATCAGAACATAAGCGCAATACTAAACTTTTGATTTGCATTGTTTGATATCTATACATATATATTATGTATGTGAATATGTACAATTTGAAAGGAAATAATATGAGTATATACTAACTATTTACATATAAATGAATTTGCAATTTTAAAACAAACAATGTAAACTTTCTAACTTCACCGGGATACTTGAGCTTTATATTATGCAAAGTAAAAATATTCTTCGAAAAACAATTAATGTTTAATATTTTTGTAATAATATATTACAAAAAAAAAAAAACAAATCAGAGAATTCACATTTTTTAATTTCATTAAATATATTTCAAACTTTAGTTAAGATAGTTTTAAGAATATTATTTTGATTTTTTGTTTGGCTAGCATTTTAGATATTTTTTAATAATAAATAAAAAATTAATTTAATAAAGAAAAAAATAATAATGATAATTTAATTATTTCGTCTAATTCTATCTTGTTAAATATTTATCACTACATTTTTGTATTAGTTTTATATAATCAATGTATAATCCCTTTTATAATTAAAATTTAATTTTACAAAATTGTTTATTTTTCTTTACATATACATATAAATACATTATGTATATACTACATAATATTATACATGCGAGTTTTATATTCCGGTATTGTAAGAGATTCAGTTTTTTTTTTAATTTATTTTTTTTAATTAAATTATATATATATATTAATAAAACGAGAAAAAGATTGCAAATTATTACGAAATTTGCAAGAAGCATTCTCAATATGTTCATAGAAAATTTAAAAATTTTCGATTTTATTAATTTTTTTTAGATTTTCGTTTGAAATTGTTATACTTTACATAATATACGAGTATTTATGTATAAGAAATATATATTAGTTAAGATTTTAAATTTTTAATGAGGAAATAAATAATTTAAATTTTTCATTTACACATATTTGGTAAAAATTACAAAGCAAATGAAATTTAATTTTTGTTGAAGATTCATATCAATTAAGATAAAAAATGTATAAATTACGAGTACAATTTTATAATAAATAAATTTTGTAATAAGTTAAATTAAATATAAATGTAATTTAAAGTTTTTACATATGTTATATTCATTTCATTATTTTTTTATTAGAATATTAATAACAATTAATTAAATATCGAAAATTATTGATGTATAATTAATTATTCAGAAAGGTTTTATATTAAGATCTTAACGGACATTATGTATATTATATATATATATTATTTTCTTGAACCATCATATTACCAAATTTACCAAAATTTGAATTATAATCATTTTGTAAAGGAATTAATTATAGATAACTATAGAATTTTGAGTTAAGGTCTATACTTTAAGACTGAACAAATTTCACTGTAATTTCAAGTCATGTATAATTTTACATAAGTAATTCAAGTAATAATCAACATACAATAAATTTTAATTCTAATAAAATATTTCAAAAGGAATTTAATTGCAACTCTAACCGCGACAATTGAAACATATATATATATTACAAAAATGTAGTATATAAAGTATTAAATAAATTTCTAAATAATAAGATATAAATTACTATAAAAGATTTATTTATACATTTTTTGAATCTATGTATATATACACATAATATATAAATTGTTAAATGTTTTTGTAAGTACTGACATTCTAACTATATAAATTATTATTCATAAAATAATTGAAATTAAAATTATTATAAATTATTTTTATATTATAAATGTATGTATGTATGTTTATGTGTTGGATTATTTTATATATGAATATATACGCACACATTTCGGTTTTTTCTTTGGTTGTTTTTTAACTATAACAATAGATATAATTTTTTTTAAATATATACAATTATGTATTTTAATTTATAATTTTTAGAATATTTACAATATTTTTAATTAAAATTAAAAATAAAAAAGGACAAAAAAAATTGAAATTTTTACTTAATTATTTTTGACTTTAATTTTTTCTGTTTTTTTTACTCTTTTTTTATATAAAGATTTTTTTTTTGTTTTTATATATTGGCACTGGATAACCGATAGCCATATTTTTAATTTTCGTTTCGTATATACATAATATATTGCAAATATATTTATATATCTATATACATATATATATATATATATGAATTTTGTATTTTTTGTCTTTTCTTTTTAGGTTTTATTTATTTTTTTTTTTTTTGAATTTTTTAATTTTTTATTTTGATTTTAAAAAGAGAAATTTAAAATATGATTATTAGTAAATACCAAAATGCCGTTTCTATATATTTTGTGTTATTTATTATTTCTTTTTTCTTTGTATTTATATTATATTTATTTATTTATATTTTACGTATATATATATATATATATATATTTATATATATATAAATATACATTATATAATTTGGTTAATTTTCTTTGTTAATTTTCTTCTAAACCCACATTTGACTATCCCTTCTATCCCGTCGTAATCTAATTCTTTGCTAGCACCAATCTTCTTCATCGGAATCTGAATGTCTTACATGAGGACCTTTTGGTTTATAACCATTTAAAACAGGTGAGGGTAAAACACGTCCTGTTCTACCCATAGCAACAGCTTGTTCAAATGAAAGTGGAGCTATATATTCCAGTCTAAAAATAAAAATATATATACGTTAATATAATTTTTGATTAGACAAATTAAACAATGAAAATTACTAATTCAAAAATGAATAAAGAATTTTCAGTTTTATAGTATTACAATTGCATTATAAATTTATTATTAACTTTTTCGAAAGACTGCATTACAGCAACTTAATACTCTCTTAGTAATGGTGAAATTTCACATGATTTTTAAATTTTAAATAAATTATAAATAAAAAATTTTTAGTAACAACGATCGGAACTCTGTATCCGATCTATTTAACATTTTTAAACAATTTTTATGAAGTATTAAAGAAAGTGTTGAAATTTTATATCAAGCGTAGTTTGCCATAACGACGACCACTTTCAAAATCAACCTATTCTTTTGTTTTTATTATTTGAAAAGATTGTCACACTGGTTGTCAATATAGTGATCTAGCAGGTTTTTCGAGAATATCTAAAGCTCGGAATATAGAATATTCGAATACATTTTTCACTATTTTTAAATTAATAAACATTTTCGGGAACTAAAAGATTTAACATATAAACGATTCTGTTTCATTAATTTAACTTAAAATAATAATCTTTAAAAATTATAATTTAATTATGTAACCTTTCTCTATCAATTTCAGGATCATAATCCATATCATAACAATCATGTTCCTCTTCTGGATATTCACAACATAATTCATAATCACGTATTCTATCTCTAAATGGATCACGTTCCCTATCACGATCACGTTCTTTTAAATATGTATCAACCGGATATCGTATTGCATCACGATTGTACATTAGAGAATGAACACTATGCGGTGTTGAACGGTGTGTCTAAAATAAATAAATAAATATTTATTATATATACAATTTGCATAAAATTAAATTTATTTAATTAAGCTATTTTATTATAAGAATTTTTTTTTATCATTTATTTATTTCAGCTCCAAGAAGTCTAAATATATATACATACATATTATTTCAAAATTATACATAATTTATTCTTTTATTATTGTAAGCACACACATATTTACTATTTTTTTTGTATTAATTTATTAATATTATTATATAATATAACTTACGTGCGTTGGGCTTGCATTTAATTTTGGAAAATTGATATTTGATGGTTTTAATTGGAGTGTTGAAGGCTTACATGGCGTTGGAGGTAATCTACGTCCAATGCCACCTCTACGTGTTGTTAGAGCTGGATAACTATGTTGTACATAATGGCCTAAAAATTTTTTTAATTTCGATGTTTTGTTTTTGGATTTATTTTATTTTTGTTGTTGTTGTTGTTTGTTTTGTTATATATGCGTGTAGTTGTTATTTTTTTCATTTTTATAGGGAGAAATAAAAATAAACAATTTATTAAAGTTATAATTTTATTTTAAAATACTAAAAAAAATGTAGGCATTATATACGAGCATTATACGAACGACATAATATCTTTTTGCATATTTTCAGAAGGAAAAGCATTTTATTAATCTTCTACATACAAAAAAAAAAAATACACGTAGCATGAATTAGAATGAAAACAAGTTTTTTTTTTCTTTGAATCGTGAAAAATAATGTTATATGCTTCCTATATTCAGATAATTTCCATATTAGTAAGAAAAAACCTTTTATATTATTATTTGAAAATCCTATATGTATAAATTCTAAAATCGATGGGTATATATATATACTTAGTGAAACGTTTAAACAGGATTACTTTTTTTCTATATTTTTTCCTATTTAGGGTTCGTTTGATTGACTTCCTTTTTTTCTGTTTTTTTTTTTTCTCATTATGGAATGAATTGTGTTATATTTCTATTTCTTTAAAATCGCATTTTTTTTTCAAACCTTCTTTCTGCCATGTAATTTATCCCTACATATATAAATGTATGTTATGGTACAAAGATCATTATTATATGCGTTATTAACTTTTTGTTATTTTTATTGTTTTTCTCTGTACTTCAGCATGAATATTTACCCTATGAATGTCATACTTTCTATACTATTTACTTATTATGTTTATGTATTATTTTTTATTATATTATGTAAGTATGTATAGAATGTTAAATGTGAACGAGCAAACATATATCGCTGTTAGTTGTGTTATGAAATTTATGTAATTTTTTTTTAGTTTTATATAGCATTATAATTTAATTATATGTTTATAATCTTGATTTGTTTTTGTTTTGTTGTTATTTTGTATATTTTAAATATTTATATACATATATATATATGCGTATTTTCACGTTTTGTTATGTTTATTTTATTGTACATACTTATCCATATAACAAAAAAAAAATTATTTATGGTGATTTAACTATGATGAATTTCTATTATATTATTAATTTACTATATTATATAGAATGGTATTAGAAACGAAATATGCATGTGAAATACGCGAGAAAATGAAATTTATAAAAATTTATGACAAGTTTTGAATTTAAGAGAAATATATATGAAATTTGAAAAAAATTGATGAGGTATCCTTTAACTACATAATTACATATGTATAAATTGAAAATTGTCCCTAACATATCTTCCTCTTTCTTATGCCTGAAGAATTCAAGATTTACTACTAATATTTAATTCATTATTTTTATCCTTACATTTTGGTAGCCTTTTATCATTATTTAATGCATTATTGTAAATACGAGTATTATTATACGTGAACATTAAAACGGAAAGATTCTAAGAGAAATTGCATAAATTAAGGTGTTTGTAATAAGGATATATGTATGCATTTCAAAAAAAGAATTGAAATGTTTTGGAAGACTCTAACTGTATTTTAATATACTGTATTGAATATAATGTTAGAATTGTTTATTATTCTGTTACTGTTAAACAAAAAAACATATTATTTAGTAATTCTTTAAATTTTAGAAATGAAACTACTTAATAAATTAATAAATGTAAGAAAAGGAATAATACATACATATCTTGTAAATTTTAATAGAACAGACTTTTCCCTTATATTTTTGTAATCCTTTTTTAATATGATATATCTATAAATATTTTGCATTATACACCGTCTATATTATTCTTTATTTTATATATTGATGGTACTATGTACAAACATGAACTAATTAAATTGAATGTGAAATTGACTGAATTCTACAATTTAAAATATGAAGGTCAGATATATAATTTATGCAGGTTGGGATTCATATATATAGGGCTTGGAATTCAACTACAATTTCTATTTTTCATTCTGTACTTTGTTTTACAATATTTTGGATAAGTAAATACAATTATGAGTTTACATAATATACGTGTACATTATATAGTTGGTTTTAATGTAAATATTTATATATATATATATGCATATATATATTTGTACTTCAAATTTTAAATCTTTTAGTTTTTTTCTTAATTTTTCATTAAAGATTTTATTTTGTTCTTTTTAGATTTCTTTTAATTTCTTGTTTTTTTTTGATTTTATAGAAAGCCAATTAATAGTTTTTTTTGTTTTTGTACCCATTCTATTTGCTCTAAGTCTATTATTTTCATGCATCTCCTGTAGTCGTGTAGGACTTGGCGAACGAGATCTGCGATATAGGCTAGTTGTCCCATAGTAGGGATAATGCTGATATTGATTTTGCTTACTTCTTGGCAGGTGGCCAGCAAAATGTGTTGGTGATGGTGATCTTGCTGGACTTGTTGACGCTGACCATGAACCTAAATATTTATGAAAAAAAAAAAAACAAAATAAAAAAAAAACAAAACAAAAATAATATAAAAAAAAAACCAACACAAAAAGACAAAAATAAATAAAAGAGAGAAAGAGAGAGAAACCACTTATGAAAAAAACGTGTAAATCACCATTTTGTTTTTTTTTTGCAATCATTTTTTTTGTAAGATTTTTAATGATTAATTTTAAAAAGCCTAAACAATATATTTATAAGGCAAAATACCAACACAACACAATGATTCTTGAACAAAAAAAATTTTTTTTTTATATATTTTTAAAATCTAATTTTTTTTTGTTTAGGAAAAGAAAATGCGGTGAAGAAAAATTATTTATTAAATTTAAAAACATTATGTGCGCGATTATTTATTTTAAAAATTTGTATTTATAAGTGTATTTATATATTACACTGAGAGAAAAAAAATTGTAATTGTCGATTAACACTAAAATAAATTTAAACTAAGTTTAACAAGTTAGGCACCATATATCATCTGTTAAACGATCGAAAATGAGTGAAATATTTGTTCGGAACATTCGGATTTCAATAAATTTTGGCGTAAATTAACACACCCAAGCTTTTTTGCTTACGATCTCTATCCCAAAAAAGATAGAAGCTTCAAACAAACACTTTTTAAAAGGGCTGTTAAAGGGTTTAAAATAAAGGAGAGCGAATTATTTGGGTTTATACGTTTTTTCGGAAATACAGGCATTCGAACTTTAGAAAGACTTTAAATTTTTGTATTTTTTTACTTATTTTTTCGCCGACAATTTCTCATGAAATTTATTATACTCGTACTTATTGTGTTTAATAGTTAATTCAAATTCGTTTCAGTGTTGACCCAGAATTTCAAATATTTTCTCCTCAGTGTATAGTATGTATGTATTATATAATATATAATTAATATTAATTATTTTTCTTTTTTAAATTAAATTTGACTGTTTTATTTTGTGGTTTATTCTTGTGTTTTTTATTTGGTTGTGTGTGTTCAAAATACAATATTTATAAATATGTTTATCGTGGATTATTGTGTTTGTTTTTTTTTTAACATAATAAGATGACAATATAATGCACATTCCATATTTTTTGTGTTTCACATGTATATATTTGTTTCTATATATTATATACTGAAAAAAAAAAAAATCCTGTAAAAAATGATTTAAAATTAAGGATTTCCAAAAAAAGCGATAAAAGGAAGTTGTGTGTTTTTTGTTTTGTTTATTTCATTTTTAAAAATTTTAATATACTGTAAAAAATATAAATATAATTATTTAAAGTAAATGTTTTACAATAATTATGTGTGTGGTAATGAAATATATTTTGTGTATTTTTCTTGGTTGATTTTTATATTATTTGTATAGCAAAATTAATAGTAAAATGAAAAAAAAAACAGAAGAAAATAATATATATTATTTTGTATATACCAAAACACGTAAACATATGAAGAAAAATAAAAATTATAATGAGTTTTTTTTGTTTTCAATTCAGTGATGAGTTCCATATTTTCAGTATATCGATTAAATTATTGATTTATGAATATTTTTTTTTGTACATTAATAAAAGAAGAACAGTACTCGCAGCTTTAAAAGTTTAATTGCAACTTTCTATTTTATAGACTATAGAAATCTTGCAAAGGGGCTACACGAACATCGCGAAGCTGAAAAATGCACTTTATCTAATTTTGCAATTATTCTAAAAATTGAAATTTAAATTGACCAGCTTTTGATATAAAAATTTTAATAAGCCATATTTTAAACCATATAGTTCCATAATTTATATTTTAAACCATATAGTTCCTTAATCAAATGTGATAGATTAACGTACATAGCAATCAAAATATCAAATATCTTAATATTAATTTGTTCCAATCTATGCAGTATATAATGTTGAAGTTTGACTTTGACTTGAGAATTTTCAACTTAATTGACCTTTAAACTCGAACTCCAAATCGATATCAAGGAATATGGAACAACTTTGATTTGTTTTATGTAAAATTTTATGATTATTTTTTTAATTATATTTAGTATTTTATATATTATGCAGTATATATATATTTAATATAACGTATTTATACAAGTAAAGAAAATATTTCGTGAAATACATTATGTAATTACAATTAAACTTTGTGTCTAACTAATAAAAACTGTGATAAAAAGTTGTAAAATTTTCTTTTTTTTTCTTTTTTTGTAAATTGTGTATTAAACCTAATTTATTATGCGTGTATGAATATTATATATGTACATGTTCTCTGATTGTAATTTATATACGAGTATCTCTTGCAAATTAACATACACAAGTAACAATATTGCAAAGTGATATTAAATAAAAATTTGAAAAGGTATAATTTTGCATTTATTTTGAAAAATCAGCCTTATGAAAACTATTTTATATGGAAAATTAATATTGAAATGTGAAAAACAAACAATTAAAAAGTATGGTATATGTATATATATAATAGCAACGTATTATATATTATGTATGTTTGTAAATAGAACTTTTAGATGAACATTTCTGTGATCAGAATACGAGAAAAATTTGCAATAACCGAAATGAGTTTTTGGTACAAGAATACAATGCCAATTGGTAAAAATGTGTATAGAACTGTATGCAAAAGTTTTTTTTTATTACATATTTCGAATTAACAATTCAAATATGTTTTTAAAATTAGTGTTCCTGCCAATAGACATGTGTGTTTAATTGAGATTATTAACTTACTAAATTATTTTGTTAATCTTGTCGCATAAGTTTAGGTTTTTATGAAGAATATAACGCTTTAATAGAAAAAATATTTCACATTTATATATTTTAAACTAAAGTACTAAATTTACGGTTAGACATTTACAGAATTCCACTTTCAAAAGAAGAAGCGGAAGAAAAATTGGCATTTTCTTTTAAGTTTATAAAGAAAAAAATTCGAAATATAGAGAAGATTAATGTTTACAGTTTTATGTAAATTTTTGTTGAATTTATTTTCATTTTATTTGACCTTTTACTAATAACAAATTTTTCTTATGAATTTAGTTAATATTTTAGCTATAATTTAATTTTAGTCAAGTTAGATCTTAGTGACGGCTATCGTAAAAACATCATGGGGTTTTTTTTATCTTAGCGTATTTCTTGGTAACTACGTTTAATATTCTTGTTTAAGAATGGTGTTTTGTTATACTATGTATTTAGTATTAAAGTATTATTTTATAAAGTATTATGTATGTGCCAAAACTTTTTTAAGTATTTTAGTGTTAATTACCTAATTTGAGCTTTTTGCCGAAACTAAGCTGGAAAATAGATTTGAAAATATGAAAATACATAGTATACACAAAACAGTTTGCATGAAATAAGAAAAACATTCGAACATAAAGATTTAATTTTTTTATTTTGTATTTTAGGGAAATTGGACTTTAATAACATAATACTTATTATATATGACAAATATTATAAATAATGTTAAATTTTATTTTTTAGAAAAATAAATAATTTTTAATAAAGAAACGTTTCAAAATTTAATAAAAATTTTTATAAAAGTTTTTGATTAATTTGAGATTGTAATTTAAGTAGTTATGTAGTTATATTATATTTTGTTATATTATATAAGAAGTAATAAGCAAAAAAGGGAATTAACCTATAATTACGGATTTTCACAACAAATTTTAGGTGGAAGTAAGTGAGCAATGAAAACATTTCACAAATGTTTTTGATTGTATATTAAATTTTTGTGTTCATCAATTATTTTATTATTCTCTTATATATTTAAGTTTTAATAAAATAAGTATATATAGAGCATAGGATAAATAAGTTAATAGAATACAGATAAAAAACAAAATATTTTTATAGGAATTTTAAACACATACATATACATAAATTTAGATGACATATATAATAATTTAATAAGTAAGAAAGTAAGTAAGTAAGTAAGTAAGTAAACATCAAAGTTAACCATAATAATAGATAGATAAATAGAGCATAAAGTTATAGCTCTTTTTTTTTTGTTGCGGGTTTAAAATTTAGGATCGACACAATACTTATTATTTCTTTTTTGGGGACAATTTAATATGATGTTTTCCCATACACATTTCATTTTTATTTTCAATAGATTTTTAATGGGAATATGTTACAAAATGATTTATTGTTTAAACAAAACTGAAAAAAATTATAATAATAATATTTTTAATAATAGCCTGATTGTGTATCCTTATTTTTGAGTCACCTTTTTGTCATTAAATCAAAACTCTCCTTTTTTCAATTTATATAATTTTCTTATTTTTTCCCAAAATATTATGGTAAATATTTTGAAATATTATGATAATATTTATGGTAAATAATTTCAATACCAAAAAAAAAAAATTCTTTTTATTTGGAAATTAAATTATCCGAACACATACATGATATCTTCTCATTTGGTGTGCAAAAAAACCTGAAATACACAATCACGCTCCAAATATATGCAAGTGTGAAATACATACTATTACCAAATTTGACAGCATGAAATTCCAAATTTTACTATGTATAAAATAACAATAATCACATTTTTTTTTTGTTTTTTGTCTTAAACATGTATAAAGAGACAGGCGGGAATGGGTAATTTAAAAAAAAAACTTGATTTCAGTCTAAAACTGTTCTTTTTTTTAACGATTTAATTTTAAAATACAAATAAGCAAATTTAATTCATTTTTTTTTGTTAAAATGTATACAGAATTCGAAATATTGAAAATATAATGGTTAATATTGTAAAGAAAAATATGCTATATTTAAAAAAAAAACATGCTCCACAGTATATAATGTTTTAATGATAATATTAACAAAAAAAAAGGTTCTCATTAATGTTAAAATAATTAATTTATAAAAGTGATTTATAAATTTATGACATAGCTTTTGAAAATGCATTAACTCGAAAAAAAAATTTATATATAAACAAATTATTTTTTTTTTTTAATTTTTAACAATTTATATAAATTAAAATTAATATATATAAATATAATTAAATATAATATAGAAATTAAAAATATAAATTAACATACCACGAGTATACTGGTGTCCTCCGTATCCTCTATGATGATAATTTCTGCCTTCCTTGACCATTTCAACAACATTTGATACTGTATCTGAGAATCCGATATCATGATGTGGATAATGAGATTTTCGTCGGGGGCTCGGTGATCTAAGTGTTGGTGATAAGTCTTGCCTATATTTTATTAAAAGAAAATAAAAAATTATAATTTTTTTTTGAATATTTGTTTTCATATACATATATTTTTTTTTGTTTTTGTTTAAATAGACAACTGAAATATTTACTAAAACTTAATGGTTAATAAATATTGAGCAACTTAACAAAACTTAAAAAAGAAAGTTTTACAGAGTAAATAGATAATCGCAAATGTGGACCAAATGCGAGTAATATTATTTTACCTAAGCAAATATTTTTTTATTCAAATTAAATTCTAAATAGATTAAGAGTATAATATAGTAGTTAAAAGTTTGTTTCAAAAAATAAACAATGATACATAATTAAAATAAAAGTTTTAATACAAATGCAGAACATATATTAATATTTTTGCATGATTGATATATTTTTAGAGCCGTCTTTTATTGTCGTACATAATATATAACGGTCCTTTATGACAAATTTCGTTAATGACATATTACAATTTATATTATATTAACAAAAACAATAAGTAAAAACAAGTTTATTTCATACCTTAAACTAGGTGATCTTTCTCCATTTCTATATACTTGATTTGGATGTAAATGTGTTTCAGTACCCTGCATACTTTCACGTGATGCTCGTCTTGATACATTCGCTAATTCTAATTCCTGTTTATTTATTATATTTAATAAAAACATGAAAATAAGAAAAGAAAATATTTTTTGTTTAAAAAAAAAAAAAATCAACAAAAGATATTATATATACATGTATAATTAGCGAATTAATGTAATTAAATCCAATATAAATGTATATAACATGTAAATAAGCAAAGGATTGTATAGGGATCTTATCCAATTATTTAAAAGTATAATGTAAATTGATATAATTTTGTTTGTGCATATATTCTGTGCTGTAATTATATACACATTATTTTCTGTGAGTTGTGTATATGTTTACAATGTGAAATAAAAATTAAATTTTTCTTTTTTATGATAATGTTATAAATTTTTTGTGGAATTTCGTGTATTTTAATTTTAATTTGTGAAATTTTAATTTTGTTTTTTTACATGAAATTTACAAGTATTTTATTATTTACATATACATATGTATATTATACATATATATATATTTATATATATTAATATTATATTATACTATGTATTTTTATATTCCATCTAAAATTTCTAAATATCAAAATTAAAAATGTATACATTGTCGTAAAAATTATTAAAAATTTATTTAAAAAAAAAATTCTTTCAATTTTTGGACAAAATTATTTATTATACAAGTCATTGTATCTGAGGCTATATGAGGTAAAATATAAAAGGTTTATAATAAAAAAATAAATTAAGTGGAAGTGAATTAAAACTTTTTAATTTGTGTATAAAGATTAAGTGACCTAGTTTCAACTTAAAAGTTTTGATGGAATCATGTAATACCGAAAGAATATATGTATTTTTAAAAATTCTTTCAAAATAATTAATTTGCTTTTTAAATATGTTAAACTTTTACAACTATCTGTTATATATTACTACGATTTTTATTTATAGCATGATATATAACCAAATTTTTATTTGAAACTTCTCTCATCGGCTCGTTATTCTTTTTGGTATCTTGTAACGTTATGTATATAAAATTACTAGATATTTATCTCTAAATTTGTTTATGTTAATTAATATATTAATAGTTGATTCATGTCCTAATCAAAAATAATATTTTTAAAATAATATTTAATTATATTACAACAATGTATAATAGAAAACACTACCTAAATTCAACTACACGATATTGTTTTTTGGTAAACAAATATATTTACATAATAAATATTGTATAATAGAATATTAGTTATATATTTTATTTTTCTTATTATTCTATTTTTATACAAATATATAAATATGCATATATTATTAAATATTAAATAATTATTTAATTATGATATATGCATATCTATTTATTTTTGTATATAAAGATATATACAAATAAAAAACATATATTAACACTTACAACGTCAGCTAAATTATTGTTGGTTTCACGCTAATAAAATACATTTAAGATAAAGTAAAAACAGAAAAAAAAATTATTTTATAATATTAAAATAATTAATTACAATAATAATAAAATTATCAAAAATAATTAATATTCTATAATGATGTATTGAATAAGTAACTAATTATACTTTATGTATTTAATGAAATAAATTATAATAATAATAAATAAAGAAAAAAATAGATATGAATATAATTTTTTTTTTTCAAATATCCAGGCCATATTAAGAATACAATTTTGCTTATTTAACATTGAAAAATAATATGATTATGTATAACAAAACATTATTATATGTGTATATGATATAATATATAAATATTTAAATATGTTGAATGATATGACAAAGGTATGAATCGATATTTACTATACCCAAATTCAAAAATTTATGTTAGTAAATCTAAAACTAAATAGTCTATATAATGCTATTAATATTCAATCAAAAATATTAAGATGTTTTTTGAAATATTTATAATTTCTATTTTGTTTTTAAAAACAAGTGCTGAAATTTTTTTTTATATAATTTTACAAAACAAAAATTTCACATAATAAATCTATGAATATTGATTAGTGAAGGTTAAATCATTAAAAGGTAAGATACATAATTATGCTGAAATTTTTAAATTAATTTATTTTATATTTAATTAAATTGTTATTATTATTAATAATTGTTTTAATTGTTTGGCATTACTTTTACTTTTTTTTTTTTTTTTGAAAAAATAACATAATAAGAAACACATATTGAATATGTGTTTTTCTAATATGCAAATAAAATGCAATTCTTATTTTTTATTAATTATTGAAATTATTTTCTGTATATGAATGATAATTAATATTTTTGAAAAATTATATCTCATTAATTATAACATGTATTAATTTTTTTATAATTTTTCATATAATATTATATTGTTGTACAGCACTTGGAAACAAAAATTAATTTTGAATAAAAAATTCATTTTATTTAAATTTTCAGACTTTCATTGGTTAATTTGTAAAAATTTTGAATAAAAATAATATTAATATAAAACATTATTATTTTCATGTAAACTATATGTACATTTATTTTTTTACTTTTAATTTATTTTTAAAATAATAAATTGAAAATCATTATAGATTTTTAAATTTTCGTATGTTTAATTTGCGCATCATAAGCAATTATTATCATAAGTTTTGTATTTAATTGTAATCATTGTAGTTAAAATAATTTAATAACATATTAATTTTTATAACATCAACGGAAAAAAATTATGGAGTCGAGATTATTAAATAGAGATATTCCTCAAATTAAAATTTGTTACATACTCATTTCATTTACTTAAGTAATTTAAAATTTATGTTTTTATTCGTACTGAACAATTATTATAATATTTAAAGAAACATGGAATTAGAATTCCATTCAATATATTCAATAATTTTTTTAATTATTTAATTTTACTTGAATATGCTTGTATATATGCTTGTATATTTAGTTTACAAGAAAAACTAAAAATAGAAAATAAAAATAAATATTTTAATAAAAATTTTATGTAAATATTATGTATTACTATATATGTATATATATATAAAGTTTTTTTTTATTAACTCACTTCAATGTGACGTCTGTATTTAAATTATTTAAATTAGTAAATTTAGACAATTCAAACTTGAAATTTTCTATTGAAAATTTTTCAAAGAAGGAAATGCCTAAATTTAATATACACTTTTTGTTTAATTACACCTGGATTTAATTAATATTTTTTAAAGGTAAAAAAAAATTTAGTTTAAATCTATTAATTAGAACGTGTGTGTGTGTTATTATTTTGTTTTTTTTTTTTTTGTTTTCTTAAGGTGATACATTAATAAAATTATAGACGTGATAATATTCTAGTGTATCTTATTTTTTACATGCATCACATTTAATAACATATAGAAAATAACAAAATATAATTTTTATAAAACGGTGTATGTGTGTGTGATAATCGTGTTTTTTGCATTTTTATTTTTGCAATTTTGCAATTGAATTAAAGTTCGCTGCATATTTTAATAATTTAAATTCTTTTAAAAAGTTAGTCTCATAAATGAAAATTATTATGTAATTTTTAAAGAAACTTTTGAGAAAAATATGTGGAATTATGAAAAATACATTTTTATAAAAAAATATATTATGATTTAACAATAAATTAATGACTTATATGTAGATAAATGAAACTTAAAAATAAAAATGTGAAATTTAGCAGAAGATAATAAAAAAATTTAAACTAAAAATAGAATATGATATGAATATGATAGCATATTTAGCACTAATTTTTTGAAAACAAATGGATATTTGTAGGATCATTGATTTCGCATTTTATCTTCGATTTTTCTTGATAGTCTCAATCTCTTAAGAAACGGGGTACATATAATGCAAAACTTTATTTCCTTTCCAATATTATTAAATGAAAGTTTCTAAAAATACGACAGACGATAGCACAAGAAAGCATACAGTTTCTTTCAATTTTTTCCTAAAACATATGAAAATTTATAAGAAATCTCAATAAGTACCTACTAATTATTAAAATATAAAGCGAACTTATTATTGTTTTTATCTTGTTGAAGTGTTTTTTTTTGTTTTAGTGTTGATTTAAAGTTTAAAATAGAAAACATTTTTTTTTTATGTGTTTTCTTGTTAAAGACAATTACAAACAACAATTATTTGAAAGAAAAAAAACTATAATATAAAATTAACTGACAAACAACATTAAACAGAAAAAAAAAACAAGTAAAAATATAACAAGTTAAAAATTAAAAAGAAAATAATAATTAACAAACAAAACAAACTCATATAATATTTTACCGGTATTCCATCAATTTGACCAAATCTAGTTGTACGCCAACTTTCTAATATCAATAGACCAGCATAAACCTTACCAACTGTCATCTTATTTTTATTTAATTGATCGTTTTTTGGTACTAATAAATCGATCATTTTCTTAGCTTGTAATGGCCATATATGTGTTATTGTTTGCCTTAATTCCTCATCAGCTTGATCCATTTCTTCAGCTAAAATATTTTTAATAAACGTTAGTAATATAATGAATGCATATTTAAATATATTAATTTATATCAATTTTTTTAAGTGTGTGCTTAATATAAAGAAATGTATTTATTAACATTATATTACGTACCTGATCTCATTTTAATACTTAAATTTTCTCTAATTAATGCAAACAAAGTTGTTGTAAAATTTACTTTCATTTCATGATCTAATGGCATATTCATTCTAATAAGCTTTTTATAGGCAAGGCGATTAGGACACTTGTTACCGAACCCCAATGGAGGATCCATATTTTTTAGCATATCGTACATTTCCGAATAATGTATTTTGCCCCTGTTTTATTTTTTATTGTAATATATATTTATTTTCATTATGTACATGTATTTTTTGGAATAAAAAGAAAAATAAAATGGAAAAAAGAAAAATGTTTATTAGAAATTTTTCTAGTATATAATAATAATTTTATAGCATTTAATTAATTCATATACATACAAAGTGTATAATATTATGTATATGTTCATAAATACATTTTTTTATTTAATTTATATAATATAGAAAAAAATTGCACAAAATTTCATATAGGCATAAAAACATTTGATATAAATCACAAAACTTTTGTTGGCCTTCAATAGAGTATTAGAACTTTAGCATCACATTCTTTTTTTTTTTTTTTTAAATAGTTGAGCAACATTAAAAACAATGCAATGTTTCTTGATTGCTTATTTTTTTTTGTCTTGCTGATATAAGTAGTAGCCAAATGCATATGGCAATGGTGGAAAAGCAAATAAATAATAATTATTTAAATAGCTTTTTAATAATAATATTTTTTTTGTAATATAAAGTTGAAAATTTGCATAAAATTTAAAAAATAAAATAAATAAGCTTTAAAAATAAAGAGAAGATATTTATTAAAAATTTAAAATTTAAATTAAAGGAAAATTAGATATTTACATAATATAATAAAAATAGTGTTTATGTATTTAAAATAAAAGTAATAATAACTTTACAATTAAATTTATTTAACTAAAAGGAAATTTTTATAGGTTAATAAAACAAAAGCATATTTATTATATCGTTTGAAGGATAAAGAAAGTGATAAAAATAATCAAATTGCTCACAGTCATTTTGTTCATATATACTTTATAGTATATAATAATATATATAGGAGAGTGCTTTATATGTGTATAGTTGTGTTTATTATTAATTTTATAATTTTTATATTAATTTTATTAAAGGGATGTGTGCATAACCTATGTAATTATAGTAGGTACGTAAAAATTTCATTATTATATTTTTTTTTATTATTATTATTCATTTAAAAAAAAAAATTACATTCAAAAATTTGTTTTATATTGAAAAAAATTATGTGTAAGTATTAACAAAAACAAAAAAAAAATTACTAGTAAAAAATAAAAAAAAATTATAATAATTATTAGTTTTATATTTTGATATTAAATTACTTACGTTGCATTCGGGTCATATTCTGCCCATATTCGTACAAATTCATCTAAATGATGTGCTCCTAAAATACTTGAATCACGAGTTAAATAGTCGAAATTATCCATAATAACAGCAACGAATAAATTTAACATTAAAAATGAACAGAAGAATATAAATGAAACAAAGTACGCATATGCTAATGTTGAACCACATGTTTCGTGTGGCTCTTTGCCAGCTCTCTCATCGCATGGCCTCCCTTTGAGGCACGCCAACATAATGTTCGGCCACGCCTCGCCTGTTGCACATCTATATAATTTTTTTTTTTTTTTTTTGATAGTAATAATGTAAAATAATAAAAATTTTTATAATTATTTTTAATTCTTTAATTGATTTTTATATAAATTATTATTATAATATGTTAATTTAATATGTTAATTTAAAAAAAATTGTTACTAAATATTACTTTGAATATTAAATTTTTTATGTTTTTTTATTTTAATTGTTTTTTTATTTTTTTTTTTGATACTTTAAGTAACATGATTAAGTATATATATAAAATCTAAAGTCTATATCTAAAAAATTTATATTATAATATATAATAGTTATGTATTTTAAATAACTAACAATATAATATATGTTAATTAAACTACAATTATGCATAAATATATATATACTTTTATGTCATATACATACATATTTATATGATATATATATATGTAGTATGCACATATTTTAATATATATATTACACAATAATAATGATCTAAGATAGCAAAAAATACCGCATTTCTTTTAATATAAAAATTATTTAATAATTACAGAAATCAATTAATATTCGAAATATTTAAAAAAAAAATTAACTTAACAAAAAAAGAAAACTTAACAAAAAATTAATAATTCAAAAAACATTATTTTAAAAATTCGCTAAATATACTTTTTTTTCAATAACAAAAATAAATAAATGAAAACTATTTAATATTTTTAGATAATATTAATAATAATAATATAGTTAGTAATTTATAATAATAAAATATTTCACAAAGCGTAATATAAACCCGTTTGATTTTTTTAAATAATTTGTACCTATATTATATAAATGTACATATATACATATGATATGTATATGTATATATACTTTTTTTTTATGAAATAAGAAAATATATTGAATAATAGTTATAATAATAGTTTCAAAAAATTTAATTTATTGATTAATTTTATAATTTACAACTACTTTTAAAAAAAAATTTCATCTTCGATAAATTAAAAACGAAAAATAAAACAAAAATGCTGAATGAAAATTATTAATAATTATTTAAGAAATTGATTAAATTTAAAACATATCTATGTATATATGTATATTTAAATTATATATAATTATGTATATATATTATGAACATTTCATAAAAGTTTGGAAATAAATGCGCTATCATATATATAAATATCTTTTCATTATTAATAAAAATTAATTAAATTTTAATAAGAATTTTATGATATATAAGAAAAATAAAATGGTTGTATAATTAATAGAACAATTTAACTATATAATTTATATAATATAAAGAATATTGAACAATTTAAAAAAAATTGTTGGATAATTTAGAAACTTTCTGATGATTTATAGTTTTATTGAATTCCGTAAATTGAATAATTTTGTTATAATTGATATCAAATTTCATATGAAACAATATTCCTTATTAATTTTGTTATATATTGTATATAAATAAGAATATAATTCGAATAATTTGAGATCAAAGCATTTGTAACGAAAAAATAAATAAGATTAACAAAGTAATTAGATAGATTTTGTAGTGAATTTATTTGATATTCCGAAAATTATAACATTTGATATATTAGAATATAACAGCATTTTATTTTATTATCATTGCAGTGTCTGAAAATCCTTGAATTTAATTTCAAATATCAATTCCTTTTTGATAATTTGAAACAAACACCAATTTTACATTAAAATTAGAAAACCAATTAGTAATTTACAATAAAAATACTCTTGTTAATACAATTAGAATATTTTTAAAAAATTTATTCAATTTAAGAACTTCAGGTTTTAAAAAAAGGTTTTATTGAAATACACAATTAGCAAATTTTTTGAATATTGCAACACAAAGGATTACATAAATTACTGTTATATTACTTACTGTAGCTTATTTAACTTTTCGGATATCTTAAAAATATTGTGAATAATGAAAATTTTTATTTGTGAATAGTTAATTAATTGAAACTTATGAATTTTTTTTAATATTTACCTATTGATTATTTAATATTAAATTTAATACTTCAAATTATTTTAAAATAATAAAAAGAAAATCCTGTAAAAACAATTGAACTTTTTTCCAAGATGAAAATTTTATAAATTTAAATATAAAATTTTAAATTTTTTTGTTTTTTGATTATTTTTATATAATTATACGCTTATTTAATGTTTATACATAGTATATTCCTTTTTGTAATTAAATATATATTAATATTTTTAATCAAATTCAAAATAAACACAAATAAAAAAATATAATGTAAAGTTGAAAAAAAAACTTTAAAATTATACATATAGAATTTTGATAAATAAAATTAAAATATTTTGTTTGTATCTCCAATTGATATAATATTTCAGTTAAAAATTGTTCTTTTCATTTAAATTTATAAGAAAATAATATAAAAAAGCAGTTAATTCAAATTAAGCATATTACAAAAAATAGTAAAATTATAATAAATAATCAAGCAAAAAAAATGTTAATAACTTTTTTATATTTTGTTTTATTTTTTCCTTTTCAAAACGATACCTTTGAATTTCATTTTCGCTATAGCAATTATTACTTAAAAAAACATTCTGTTTAATGATACAAACATTAGACTTAATTTATATTTATGAAAAGGTTGAATTCCAAAAATTGTAGAAAGCTTTTCTTTAAGCTGGTTTATTATAAGAGCATTTCTTGAATTCGTTTTATAAATTTTAATAAATGTTTTCTAATAACGATTCTTAAAATTGATTTGTTTAATTTATTATAAAAATAATGCAATACACGCTTTAAATAAAAAAGCTTATATAAAATCTGCAATAAATTTGATGAATATTTACACGAAAAATTAAAAAAGTTTTGCGATATAATAACAAAACTGATGTAACTGTATTTATTTAAATATCACGCATATCAAACTGGTAATATCTTTTCAGAAAATCAGTGTCGTGTACCTTTTTGAAGGCAATCTAAAATTTACCTAATTTGATGTGTGGAAAATTTCAATAATGCAGTCATCTATTTTGTTATAACACACAGAATACATATACACATAATTTTCATATATTGCACGAAAAAAATATTATATGAAACTAAAATAAATAATGGGTCTTATGTACAAAGTGATAAATTTTTCAAATCTATTAATTTAAAAAAAAAATGGTTACCTTTAATATTAAAATTTTTTAAATTATTTCAGCTACGCTTAAAGTTATAACATACTTTTTTGGAATCCAACCAAGTAATCCTTCCATTTAATAAAAAATTTTAGCATTTTATTGGCTATCTTAGATATTTCAAGTTTAATAATTATTTTTTTCTTTTCGTCCTTTATTGTTCTTTAATTTTATTTATTTTCAAAAAATTATTTCTTTGTAAAATATTTTTTTTTGATTACAGGGAATGGATATAGGTTTAAAGATTACGTTTACAAAATTATCTATTCAATATTTTAATTTTGATATTTATATCATTTTTTGTTGATAATTTTTAATTAAAAACTCAAAAAAAATACGAAAACAAGACTAAATTTTATGCTACATATACTTTTTAAAACTACTACGATTTTTTAGTAACGAAACGTCTTTTTTTTATTAGCTATTATGGGGAACTCTGTTACAAAAACCAAACTCAATATATAAATATATAACTCTATTTAAACTCAATTAAAAAAACCGCATGCTATGTTAATGTTGTATAATAATCATGTATTTTTTTAAAATATGACGTTGTTTATACTTATAATACTGGAATACGATTTTATAATATTAATAAACAATAAAATATGTATGTATTTTTATACTAAAAGAAAAATAAAATGTTAAATATTTTCATTGAAAACGAAATGGAAAAACTTAAAAATTTGAAAGTGATTTTTATACATGGTTGCAAAACGAAAATATGGGTCTAATCCATATTAATATTTTACGATATATCGTATAATAAATGTAAATGTTTGTACCTATCTCGTATGTACGTACGCAAGTATATAAAATTTTTAAAATTCAAAATTAAAGAGTACAACAATTTTCCATTTTATAAAGATTATGATCAAAAGGGTTCTTAATGGCAACTTTATTCCTTTAGTATGCAAAAAAAGTTTAAGCCAATTTTAAACTGATTTATTAGGGCTTGCATATTATATATGCAGATACATGTCAGTATCTGTATATACACACATTCATAGGGATATTGTTATTATCGTATTTCTAAAATTAGGTTTAGAATTAGCTTTGTGATAAATAATATTGTTACTCTCGTTTGAAAATTAAATAAATATATACCTAAAAGTAAAGTAGTTTAATAATTACAATAATTGAAAAATATTTCACTTAAAAATTGAAAATTATGCCTGGTGGGGGGTACATATCTGCATATACAATTTTATTATGTACTGCTATTTTTGCATTATACTGGACTATAGGTTAGTTGAAAAATTAATTACTAACAGCCTGTTTTGATCATCTAAACATGTCTGGAATAGAGTTTTTGAACTGATTACGTATACTTTTTTGAAAATGATTGAATATACACACTTACTTAATACTGAAAATTGCTAATATTGCAAACTATTTTTCATAAACTCTCACACTTTTATGAATGATTTTCTTAGAGTAAAATCTTGATCTTTTAGGATCTTTTTTTTTCCGATTAAAATATAATGCAACTGTATAATGCAGCAAAATTTTTATTTTTAACTTTTTTCATTTGTTATGCCCCTATTTCAAATATAATTATTTCAAAAAAATTTAGCTTAACCTTTTAATTCTTGTTATTGGTGAGCTTTTATTTTAATTGATTTGTCAGTAAAATGTCAAACGCAAACTTCATATTTAGAAGTACAAAAAAATTCGAAATAAAAAGGAAAAATCGAAAAAAAAACTATTTTCCCTCTATGAATGAATAGGGTAAACTTATAAACTGTTTAACGTATGCAATGAAAATCATATCGTATATTTGATAATATGTTTATAAAAATTGTAAAAATTTGAACCTTTTAGAAGTTAATTAATTTAAGATTCTGGTAATCATTAATTAAAATTACAATAATTATTAATTATGAAAATAATAATGTAGACATTAAAGAAAATGTTAGTTAAATACAATCTTGCGTTGTTCAAATTTGATGTTAAGAATAACGTTTTGCAACACTGAAAAAAAATAAATATTTAAAAAAAAATGAAATTAAAGGTTTAAAAATATTTTTCTTCATAATTTTAAATAAGTAATATGTGTAATATAAAACGAAAATAATAAAAAATTTTCTCTTACCATTTTTTATATAAAATTTTTATTTTTTTTATCTCTTTTTTTAGGGAGGGAATCATTTTTTTTACTTATAATGAAATTAAATAAAAAAATAAAAAAAATAATAAATATAATATATATATATATTTTTCAAGTTTTGTGTTATCTATAAACCTTATGTATATATAAAATTTAATGTGATTTTGGAATTTATCTCTATCAAACTCATTCTTAAATATAGGTACATAAAAATTTGAACGCCTCACTTGACTAAAAAGGGTTTTTTTATTTATATATATAAAATTGCTCTTAATTCTGTCTCTATGCAATGAATTTATATATGTATATATAAATATATTCTGATTTATTAGTTCTGATAAATATTGGAAGAGGAGGGAAACTCATCTATAGATTATTTGATTAAAATGCTGGTTAAATATATATTTAAATAATGAAAGATACATTTATGTATTTTTAGTATATAATTCAGAGATTTAATGTGATTTTTTTTTTGCTAAACAAAAAAATTTCGACTAATATTCCACACGTTTTTTTTCTTTTTATTTAAATATGAATTTTTTTTCTTCTTTTTACAAAATTCAGTTTTTTTTTGTTTTGTTTTAATTTCCTTCTTTAAAAAAAGTTGTTACCTACCTGAAAAGCAACATTAGTCCTTGAACAAAGGATTGGAAGTTGTTGTGTCTTGTAATTGATTGTTCCGGTGTACTAAGTTTGATATTTCCAAAAACCTATACATTGGATTATATTATAATGATTTGGAGAGAAAATTAACTATCGTATGTCTTATATATTTTTTTACATATATATATATAATATATAAGTATAATAAACTATATATATATATGTATATATAGTAATTTCTTTTTTTTTTTCAAAAAAATTTATATTATAAAATTGTTTTCTGCAAATAAACAAAATTAATTATCACTCCGAATATGGAAATAATGGTATATCAAAACCATAGGTTAAATTCATTATCATTAGTATATAAAATAAATCGTGGTATTAAGTTGAAAGGTACTTATAAAATATGGTAATTAATACCATTTTGGCATATATGTATATAAAAATATTCTTCTATTAAAATTTTAAATTGTTGATTATACTATTGAAAAAGACTATGTAAATTATATTAAAATGTGGTTGATTAATTGTTCATTTAGTTGAATGAAATTATATGAAATGTTTTTCCAATTCGAAAGCCACCCATTTTAGTCAAATTATATATTTAACACTTTATTTATTATATATTCGATAACGTAGTTTAAAATTCTCTTTTTTTTGATAGCTCTATATATATTGAATGATGTAACTTGTTTTGATATGATAATATTGATGTGTGGTTGGGATATCATTGTATTTATTTATATTATTATGTTAGAGAAGTGCACTAAATCTTGTATTTGTAAGTAGTATAAATAAATTATATAAATAATATATGTATATGATATATAAGCTTTATTGTAGTATGTATATATTGTAGTATGTATATTTGTATAAATTTTGTGTTCAAGTGAATGTGAATTTATATAACTACAATTATATATAACATATACTATTATTTTTTTTATATATATATACGGCCTAATAATTAACGAATTAACTGAGTTTTAACATAATCATTTTTTTTATTTTGTATAACTTCAAATAAATTTTCATCGAGAGTAGTAACGTTCAATTGTTCTTATTTCTAATTTTGTATATATATATAATATGTATTTATAACAAATGTAAATTTCTATTTATTTATTTTCTATACATTGTCGTTTATAATAATTAATAAATTAATATAACCAATAAATCATTCTCCTACAGTCTACTAAATGCAATTAAAGAAAAATAAATAATAAAATTAACGTTTTTTTAAAATCGTATATGTTCACAATTTATTAATAAATAATAAACACATTCGAAATTCTAAATATTTAATATATATAACATAATTAATCAAATACTTTATAATCTTATTATGTACATAATATTTTTTTTACATATGTATTTATATATATACATAAATTTCGTAATATATACATGTATATTATATGCATATTGTTGTTTATATACGTTTGCAGTTGTTTATACAACAAAAAATTAGGCATTGTTTAGGTATTCTTAGAAATTCATTCTTGGTAAAAATTTCAGTTAAAATAAATGTTTTTAAATAAGTCTCCGTCCAAAATCGTATTAGAAAGAGGCAAATTCTTGTTTGCAAATTTATATAAATGATTTGCCATTCTATACAATAGAATGGAAAATAGAATACAAACACCTTAGAAAGTTATTTAAGAAATATTTTTTAAAATTTTATAAAACCACATAAACCCAAATTGAAATTTTCGTAAAACTTTGTATTGCAATTGCAATAAATATTTTAAAAACAATATTATTAAAATTTTCATTAAAATCCAAAGATTATAGAATATTCTGTACTATGGCATAATTTTGTTATAACATAATAATCGAAAAAGAAACTTGATATAGTTGTTATATAAGAGATTTGGTTGTAGATGCATATAATATATATATGTGTTTGCATATCTATTAAATATATATGTATACTATATATTTATACATGATTTTTATTTTCACTTATATTAACTTTTTAATAATATAATATCAAGTTTAATTTATATGAATTTAATATAAGCACACGTATGTATGTAAATATTTTATATAATAGATAATTATATAGATATGTGGCACATCGGAATTTTAATATAAGTATATATATAACTACATGTATGTATATGAATTTTATCTATATATCTAAACTATATATATATGTATATAACGTAATATAATAATTACTATAATAACTGTATATTAACTGGAATTTATTTGAAGCTACTATTTACTATATATAACAGGTTTGAGATTAATAATATGAATACATATATATCTAAATGTATATACATACATATATATATATACATACATACATATATAAATGTATATACATACATATATACATGTATCATCAAATTTAAAGAAAAACGTGCAAATTTTTACGAAAAAACTATTTAAATCAATAAATATTATGTATATAATAATACTATATAATATTTAAGCATAACTTATAAATTTGGGGTAATACAATATGAAAATAATTAAAGTATTTAATATTAACAAAAAATAAATATGTTAAATAAAAATAATTAAAAAATAAAAAATAGGTATATATGTTGCGTATATGTGTAATTGAAATATATATTTGAATTATATTTGAAATATTTTGAAATTGATAATAAATCCTATATGATTTAACAAATTTATAAGTGACTGACTGACATTCGAAATTTATAAATATTTTCGCTCAATAAATTCTCGAAAAGATTATTTCTCTTCTCATCACATACAAGAAAAACACGAATGTCCTCAAGTTTTATTTCATGAATATTAGATCATAAAAAAATAGGCTTGAATTATTTCTCTTTTCAATCTAAATAAACAATGAAATAGTTCTTTACTGAAAACTAAATGATTCGGCCCATACACTATAAATCTATTTTATTTGCTAAAATAACTAAGAACGTAAATTATAATAAAAATATAAAATTTTATGTTTTATAATTTAGATGAGTTATTTAAAATTTTGGGAAGATGTGATTTACTTTACTAAATTTACGCTAATTTGAAACTAATTTATATAGAAAATATACGTATATGTAATTTTTTTAAATGTTTTAATTATAACATTCCCTAAACTCCAATTACTTTTTTGAATTCTGCCGTATATGTATTTTTAGGATTATTATGCACTTTATTCAACATTCTATTTTTAAACAGCATATTATTGTTCAAACAATGGCATTAATAGTATACCTAACTTATATATTATAAAATAAATATTTTTATTCCAAGTCCTAGAATATTCCATATAGTTAAAAAAAAGTACTTACATTTAGTTCCTATCCTTACATTGTATAAGACATAAACAAAATTAAAATATTACGGAGAGCTTATGCTTACCGTCGAATATAAAACAAAACTTACATTGCATATAGTTATATTTATATTATGCACTTTATGAAAGCTAATTTTCTTTTGTTAACATTAAATAATTTAAAAAATAAAAACTCGCGAAAATGCATAGCATGAATATTGTTATATAATTACATGGGTATTTTGCGATTTAGAAAGCTGAGTCTAAGTACAAATATTTTTATAATATATAATATTATTCTTTAAATTTGAAGGCATAAAATTTATAAATGAAATTTTCAGAGTGGGCGCCATTTAAAATAAAAAAATATTTTATGTATAAAGATATATATTATATGTCTGTGTGTAAATATGTAAATATAGAAAATATGTCAAAAAATTTTAAAAATAAATGTATAAATAAAAATTAATTTAAATAAAATATTATTTTTGTATAAAAAAATTATTTAATTTTATAATATGGAAACATAATCTATATATTATTGTATTTAACAAGGAGGGTTATTTATAATAATAATAATTATATAAAAAAGTATGAATTACAATATTATTTTTTTTTATACAAATTTAATTTGAAAATTTAAGCAAATAATAAAAAAATTAATACAAATAAAAGCATTTTATTATTTTATTACTATTTTTTTAATATTTTAAACTTAAATTAAATATTGTAAAGGCTTAAATTAATAATATTAACCCAAATTTAAAAGCAATCATTTTATTATATTAAAAAAATATTTAAATGTAAAATATATTTTTAAAAAAAAAATTCACATAAGTTATAATAATAACAATATTTTTAGAATATATACTTTTTTTTTTAATTTTTATATATATGGAATTTAAATGATTTTTAATTAAATTTATTTTAAATGGTTTAATTTTTTTTTGTAACTTTTTCGTTTATAAAATTATATAATTATGTAGATTGTGTTTTTTTTCTTTATATTTTTTTTTTCTCAAATAATTAAATTAAAATTTTTAATATCAAATATAATGGAAATATTCAAGAATTTTTTTGATTTGTGAACTTCAAAAATTTTAAAAATTTTAATATATATGTATGTATATATATGTATATAGAAAATTAAATATACTAAATATGGTAAATATAAATTTTAAATTTTAAATAAAAAAAAATAAATCAACTTTAATATTATCGTACAAATTTAATTAAAAAAAAAAAAACAATATAATTAGCTTTTTCAAAATTTAAATTAATTTTAATTGATAATGTAAATATATAAGTAAATTTAATTATAATTATGTATGTATGTAATAAAATTTTACCATAAAAAAATATAAAGTATTTGTTTTTAGATATTTTTTTTTCTTTTTTTTCATTTAAATGTTTTCTTTTTTTTGACTATACTTATGACTTTTTTTTATCAAAATTTTAAGGTTTTTTTTTGTTTTGTAAAATGGTTTACCGAAAAAGCAGCATGATTCCTCCTTGAAAAGACTGAAAGTTATTATGCCGGTTGAACTCGGTATCCGGATTATATTTTATATTTCCAAAAACCTTAACCGGTAACATATAAGTATATAATATTTTTTATCTATATAATACGCAATAAAGTATATAAATATATAGATATTAATTAGCATACTTTTTTGCGTTATACATATATATGTATATAACGTATAAATTTAATTATTTTTACTATGAATATGTATATATATATATTGGGATATATATATATATATATATTCATAATAAAAAAATTTATTTAATATATATATATATATAATGTGTAGTACATATATATAAATTTGATATTGTTCT